ACTAATAAATAACTTTAACTTTAATACCTAAGTTTATTTATTAATAAATAATTTTAATTTAATTTAAGTTTATTTATTAGTAAATAACTTTAAGTTTATTTATTAATAAATAACTTTAGCTTAACTTAAGCTTATTTACTAATAAATAACTTTAGCTTTAATACCTAAGTTTATTTATTAGTAAATAATTTTAAGTTTAATATTTAAGTTTATTTACTAGTAAATAACTTTAGTTTAAAAAAACCCTATTTTTTCTAACCCTTTACCCTAACTACTAGTATAGTTTAGCTACTATTATTATATAATATAGTATAGGGTGGAGTATGTATAGAGTATAAATATACTGCGCCCTAGAATAGGGGCAGTTCTAGCCACTTAAGTTCCGGCCTGGCCAAGTGTGAACATATGCAGATGCATAAGGCTGCTCCCAGCAGGCCGTAGGTGCCCAAGTGGGCGCGTGATAAGGGGAGACATAACAACACAGCATTTAAGCAGTAAATTGGCTTCTGCAAGTATTGTTTGAATTCTTTTTTAGTGGATTATATTATGCAGTTATCCTTGTCTAGTCTGTTTAGTACGCAATGTCCACGTTTTGTTGTTAACCCCGTTACACATTATCTCCAATTCCCAACGGGCATGGACGTACGGAACCTAACTAAGTTAGTTACCACGTAATATTGGAACTTTTGCGCTGAAACTAGCCAGGTTGGGCATCCGGGGCTTGACCTACATAGTGGGAGATGCTCCGCTAATGACAACGTGGAGAGGGGAGGGAGCATGTGAGTTTCGGATGCGCCCGATTGGCTACCCGGTTGATCTTGTTTGCTTAATTTTAGCGCATAGCCTCACTGGCAATGTCTTCCTAGCCCCTCTCCGCAGTGGCAGCGGTGCCTGTTCCCTTGGAGATACGCCGCTGCTACTATATCAACATCAACGGCTGCCACCTGCTTTTGTTCCTGTTCATCTCTTCTCTCGTCGTTTCTTCCAGTCCCTTATACATGCGAGCAGTCATTTTCAAAACATCAACTGCTTCAACCTTGATCAGCTGATCGTCTCCTGCCTCTACTACTGCCAGTTTCTAAGCATACTCACCAGCATCCCTCTTCAACCATCCAATATGTCTCCCGTTTTCGACGCCACTACCACTGCCAGTGAGCTCGTCACACACTACGCAGCGCAGATCAAGGGAAAAGTCATCCTCACAACCGGCGTCTCCCCAAAAGGCCTCGGCGCCAACTTTGTCCTGGCCATTGCCAAAGCCCAACCGTCGCTCCTAATCCTCGCAGCGCGCAACCCATCCAAGGCTGACCAGACGGCTCGCGACATCGAGGCTGCCAGCCCCGATGTCAAGACCAAGATTGTCGAGCTGCATAATGACTCACTCGCCTCAGCCCGCGCAGCGGCAACTACTGTGCTCTCATGGGCCGACGTCCCCAGCATCGACGTCCTAGTGAACAATGCCGGCATCATGGCTTCCGACTACAAGCTGTCTTCCGATAAAATTGAGAGTCAGTTTGCTACCAACCACGTTGGTCACTTTCTCTTTACGAACCTCATCATGGAAAAACTGCTCGCGGCGGAATCTCCTCGTGTTGTCAACGTGAGCAGCGACGGCCACCGCCTTAGTCACATCCGCTGGGACGACTATAACTTTGATGTAAGTGCTCGTTCTATGCACATCGACAACGATGCTGTCTAACTGAAGCAGAATGGCAAGACGTACAACAGGTGGACCGCATATGGCCAGTCCAAGACTGCCAACATACTCTTCTCCAGGTCCCTTGCCGAGAAGCTGAGCAGCAAGGGCCTTCTGTCCCACAGCCTGCACCCAGGTGTTATCAGCACCCATCTCGGCGACCATCTAGTTGAGTTTGATAGCCTAAGTACGTACAACGCACAACCCTGGAAATCGCCCTCGAAAGACGAACGCTAATGACACCGCAGAGGATGCTGACCGCAGTCTCGGAAACAAGGAGGGCTGGGAAGATTTTAAGTGGAAGACACCTGACCAGGGTGCCGCTACCCATGTTTTCGCTGCCTTTGAGCCGTCGTTGAAGGGTAAGTTACTATAAAACCTACATTTTTAAACATTTTATTGATCTATCTATGTTCAAGACAATAACGGTACCTACCTGGAAAACTCTCGCGTAGCGGACCCCAATGTAGAAACCGTCAAGCCGTGGGCAACGAGCCCTGTTGAAGCTGAGAGGCTATGGAAATTAAGCGAGAAGCTGGTTGGACAGGAATTCAGTTACTAGGATAATTAGCTGGAAAATACTACTTTACATTGTATAGGTAGTATTGCAATCAGTAACTACGCTCTATATTCCCAGTCGCGAGTGCCGCCTTCCCACCCTTTCCCCCCCCCCTAGACTCAGTTTTTATAAAGCACCAGGTCTCCGAGCCAGCTCAAGAGTAGGCAGGCGCTTCCAGGCCCAAAAATGAGACAGCACAAGAAAGACCCAGCCAACAGTTTGGCCCAGCCTAAGTCCCCTGGCAACAGGTGCCAATTGACGCACCCGCAGCAGCAAAACCAGCAGGACAGTGCCGTAGCCGAACACCTGATCCCACAGCATAAAACTGCGAGTACCATCTCCGACAGTCCTGACAACTTCAATAGCCATTGGTGGTACGAACACCCTGCGAGGGTGTAGGGTATGCATGAGGCCAGGGTTGAAGAGAGCCGGGAACAAGCGCGTCGATACCGTAACTGCCAAAATAGCCACGTGCGAGTAAGTGCTGACCACGAAAGATATACCATAAGCTACACTCATTGCCGTGATATGCTGACGGTGCTGGCCATCTAAGCTGGCACTCTTGCGCGCAGCTGGTGGAGACTTGGGTGCATACGCGCGGAGCGCTAGCAACAGCACAAGGACCCATAGGGGAAAGACGTTCCAGACGACCAGTGTGGCCTGTTTGAGGTTATATGAAAGCATTTCTGGGGTAGGAAAGGTCATCAAAATTGCCGGTCCCGCATATCCTATAAAAAGGGCTGCGAGGATAGAAATAGCGACATTGGCAGGCACCAGAGATGACCGCTTGAGAGCCGCCAGTGAGGGACTGGCTGCAAAATCTGCGGAAGATGCGAGATGCCATACTGCCCAGAAGGGTCCAGCACATCCGATACCAGTCATCTGGAACATTGCCACCCAGAATGTCGTCCTTGGATGGGCAATTAGCTTTCGTGAAATATTATGCTCGCCGCAACGAAGACTTACATCAATACGCTGGAGCCCACCCCAGCACGGCTACTCTCAAAGTAAAACACTGCCAGCATAGAAAACAGCTGGCCAAGAAAATAAAGTCCTATGGCGGACGAAGTGGGGTGCGAGACATCGGCCACTTCCCAAAAGAAGACGACAAGGATGCGCAACAGGTACAATGGGGAAGATCCCGGTAAACGAAGCCTGGAGGTGGGCGTGCGTGCGTGGAAACTGATAAACGTCTGGCCCATGCAGCGCTGTCAAGAGGTTTCCGAGAGTGCCGTCTAGGACAGATCGGCCCCATAGCTGCACAGTGCCCAGAAGGCTCAAGGTGTAAAAAACTAATCTGGCAATTGAGAGTGACATCGTTTGTGTCTCCATACAGCTACTTGTTTGCCAACTTCAACTTTCGATGAGAAACCGAACATGAAATATCCTGACATGAGCTATTATTCTTTGTCTCCCCCCTGAATGACTTACGTTCCCGGCTCTCTAGTTATCCCAGGCTGTATAATTTCAAAGTGGGCATGGGCCGCCTCTCGGGCGGCTTTCCCATTGTCTAAGTGGCCGCCTGATTCACCTCGGGCAACTTGCCCGAGCGAATGAAAGAGTCGGGGAACCCCGGAGAAGCGGAGCACCATGCTCAGCCCAACGCAATTACTGAGCTAGCCAAGCCTTATTACCATCTAGGAGCTGCGACGGAAAGGCCGCTGGTCAGTCGACGTCTTACTGGATAGGGGCATGCCCATTTGTCTTACATGGCTTTGAAGAGTAGAAAGTAAACAACAGCTAGTGCGAAGCGAAAAGAGCAGGGGCTATAAGAATAGGCATATTTATATGGACGCAGTGCTCGTTTTGTTTTCATCTCGTATTGGAGTGATACTCAATTTTCTCCTTGCTGCACCTCAAAATCATGTCCGCAACGTGCCGTTCCGTGCGGTGGTTCGCAGGGGTTACCCTTAGCCTCGCTGCCGCTGCCTTTGCAGAGACTATCGGCGCGAAAATCAATGGCGAAGGCATAACCGAAATCTTTGGAAACTCGTTTGGCATGCCTGGCACTGACATCACATATGACTACATTGTCGTTGGTGGTGGCACGGCCGGCAACACCATCGCCGCGCGTCTGGCTTTAGATCCCGCCAACTACACGGTTGGCCTGATCGAGGCGGGCACCTTTTACGAGATAGCCAGCAGCAACAGGACCCAGGTCCCTGGATACAACTTTGCGGCGGCGAATCCGACAAACGTCGGCACGCTCAACTCCCTGACAGCCGTTCAGATCAATACAGAGCCCATTGCCGTAAGTAGCCTTTGTCATGCTATAGCACTGGTTGTTGACTTGCTCGTTTAGGGATACAACGGTCGCAAAGTTGGTTACACTCAAGGCCTGACCTTTGGTGGCGCGTACGTTTCTGTCTTTTTTCATGCACAAAACTCATAAAAACTGACCGTTGCAAGCACCGCTGCCAACTACGGCGGCTACTCTCGCTCCACAATCGGCGCCCATGACCTATGGGCAAAAGAAGTCAAGGATGACTACTGGTCCTGGGACAATGTCTACCCCTTTTACAAAAAGAGTTGCACATTCACCGAGCCCGACTACACCAAGATAGACCCCAAGTACAACATCACCTATGACCCCTCCGCCTTTGACGCTTCGGGCGGCCCGCTCCACGTGTCGTACGGGAATCACGTTGGCGAATCTATGCTCGGTATTGGCGCCTCGTTGGAATCACAGGGGCTGGAACACATTGACGGCTTCAACAGCGGAAAGCTCCTCGGCTACGGCGCGATTACCTCGAACGTGGACCCCGAGACGGTGACGCGCAGTTCCTCGGAGACATCCTTCTTGCAGGCAGGCGTGAAGAGCGGCCGCCTTTACATATATCCCAACACCGTCGCCAAGCGCATCTTGTTTGACGGAGACAAAAAGGCTACAGCAGTTGAAGTTCAGAGCAGCTCGAAGATCCAAAACTTGAAGTGGAGTCTCTCCGCTAAGAATGAGGTCATTGTTACCGCCGGGTTGGTATGTACTTGACCGTTCTAAGGTAATGTCGATGTCTAATCTTGGCACGCGGCAAAATAGTGGTACTCTCCTCAGCTCCTTATGGTTTCTGGTGTTGGCCCTTTTGAGACCCTTAAGCAGCACGGCATCAATGTTGTGGCCGATGTTCCGGGCGTTGGGCAGAACCAATGGGCAAGTCATGACTGCATGTTTAGAGTCATTCATACATACTGACAAATGTACAGGACCAACCCTTTCAGGCCCACATCTTCAAGGTCAACGTTGAGACCAACTCTCAGATTGTTGCCCACAACCCAAGCGTTCTCGCCGAAGCCGCAAACGAGTATCTCACCAAGCAGTCCGGACAACTCTCCTCGATTGGAGTCTGCCAGGCCGTTGGTAAGCCTCCAAGCGCTTGCGTATAGATAGAGCCAGTCTCCAAACCTGCATGCTAATGCCCTACAGGCTATGAGAAAATCCCCGCCCGACTCCGTCAGCGCGTACTCAGCAATGCGACCACGGCGCTCCTTGACTCCTTCCCTGCCGACTGGCCAGACATCAACTTCCTCGGTCTCGAGAGCTCCGGCATCCCCCCCAACATTGGCCCCGACGACTACTATCTTCTCATCGGTTCGACGCTTTATTCGACTGCAGCTCGTGGCAACATGACCATCAAGAGTGCCGACATGTTTGACCCGCCCGTCATCAACCCCAACTGGCTTGGCGACGAGCGCGATCTCGAGATGGCCGTGGCGTCATTCATGCGAATTCGCGAAGTGGCGTTCAACAGCACCATTGTCGAGGCCACCTGGCAGCCTGGGCCTGAGGTCGAGACCAAGGAGCAGATTGTGACCTGGCTGCGGGAGAACATGAGCTTGACTTACCACGGTGCCTGCACCAACAAGATGGGCACAGACGATGACATAATGGCTGTGGTGGACACGCGTGGCAGAGTGCGCGGCGTAAAGAACCTGCGTGTTGGTGATTCTAGCGCCTTTCCCATTCTCCCGCCCGGGTACCCCATGTCAATAACGTGTAAGTAACAGCCCCCAGTTTGCGATACCAGAGGCAACTTACTGACAAATGAGTACAGACATGTTTGCTGAAAAGATTGCACACGCGATTCTCCACAACGCGTAGCTCTGGACAAACAAAATGCTACTCTTCTAAACTAAATAGGCCTTACTACTTAATAGAAAAAAAGAGGATAGGCGGGGTTCATACTATTTACAACGGTTTGCTACAGCTAGTAGCTTTGTTGAAGTGAAATAGTGTCCATAGCGAGCAGGGCAGTTGGTGAGAGGTCCACTCTAGAGTATATTAGAAAGTATAACTAACTACTATATACTACCTAGCTATATTCTTAGTATTTCAGAATAGATAATATTAAACCCCTTATGTATAATAATAAATAGCCTTTTATTTTATATTAATAGGGGTTACTATATTAAATTGTAGGCCTTATCCTTAAATATCTCTATCGATAAACGATTGAATGATCCCTTCATCCCTGGCTTCATACAACTTCAACACCACTTGGCCATCCTCTTCAATAATGGTATTTGGCTGTACAATCTTCGATCCAGGCTCTGATTGTACTAGGGATGAGCTCTTACTCGACCACGCTGTTACGGCGACCTGCCTCCAAGCCTCGAATAGGCCATCAACGGCGCTCAACGGCTCGTAGAATTCTCTGCATGTCTTGATATCTGCTGTGCAGCGCCAAATGTGCAAACGAAGCAGCAACCGACCCAGCGAAGGCTTGCCATGCGAGAGGATCTTGGAGCGATCGACACGGACGTGCAAGTTTCCCTCGGAGTAATCAACAGTGATGGTACCGTCAGTATCCTCCAATAGGTGCCTCAGAATAGCGAATGCACCCTAGGGTAAGATTTGTTAGTGCTCTATTTCTACATCTCAATCGCCGAGTAGGGGCTTACCCTGGCGTGCTGGTCACCCCAGGACTGGTCTTCCGCATTGAACGAGGCGAGGGCGTCGATACCCTTCGTCCCGATCGTCAGGTACACATAATAGATGACTGCCATGGTGTCTTAGTAGATAATGAGAGAGGGGGTGGGTGGGGGACTAACAATCTGGGATGCTGATCTCATCCTCCAAGCCAAAGAGGCGTAGAACCTGCTCCTCATCAGCAAGATAATACGAAATCAAGTTTGCCCTACACTCTTCAACCGTTGTTGCCAGTTTGCCGAACACGCCAGTCCACGTTTGACCCAGTTTGTACCACGACTCGACAGCTTGGCCGGTGAGGGGATTTGTTGGGGGGTGGTCTTTGTCAAAGTTGTAAACGTTAGGCGCCGTTTCGCTTAGCAGTTTTCCACTGCCATGGCCTATGAGCTCGTGAATTGATGTCGTGACAAAGTTGATCACCTGGCTATGACTTTTCAGGGGCTCTGCCTCAGACGGATGAACGTGGCGAGAGGGCGGGAGTGACTCGACCCTAATTCCCATTCGGTTCCAGAAGAGGATATTTTTCAAGCCACAAGTCTCCCGGATATCGCTATACTGTAGAGCAGTTAGCAGAGCCCTTCAATGCCAGAGGCTCTATGCAGCAGGAGTAGTTTCGAAGGATACATACGTTCGGCAGATTGACCCCATCCCACACGACACTTGCGCAACACGCAAGTGCTGTCCATGTTAGCTATCGCCCGAAGAAATATGAGAGCGTCGTCCAAAGACAAGGGGGGCCCCAAATGACTCCACGCATGACCTACGTTCCTCGCTGTAGGCTATCATTTATGAAAATATGCCTTAATACGAGGTAACAAGGCGCACTGCGAAAGGCATCCTACTGATGTAGACACGGCCTGTTGCAGCGAGACTTGAGGCCTTCTGTGGAGCGGGAAGGGGTTGTTTGGAAATGGAGACTCACCGTGGACAATGGTGAAATCCGGGGCTTGGAAAAGGCTTGCCTCAAACGGCCCCTTTCCGTCGTTCTCCATGGACGCCCAAGGAAGCAGGGAAATGACCTTGGCAGAGTCATTGACCAGACCCGCCAGCTTCCTTGTCTCGTCGGGGTCGGATATGGAAACTATTCCCTCCCATTCAGCGCGTACGCCGTGTGGATCTCGGTATGGTTCGACGAAGCCGAAAATACTCTCGACCCTGGGCGACAAATCGGTAACCCATGTCTTCTGCGACCTGCGGTATGCTTCGGTGCTCCCGGTGGTGAAAGATTCGATATACTCGTTTAAGGCCTTCACTTGCGTGCGGTTGGACGCGTACTTGGCCGCCTCCTGAAGAGCGGCGCAGACTCTGGAGAGTTCGGCTGCGTGATCCCCGGGTGCAACACGCACTGTAAGCGCATGGTCGCCTCTAGGCAGCTCAGTGCTAACCGCAGACATCTGAGCGGATGCTCGTAGAATATGGAAGACAGGAGAACCCCCCTCTACTCTCTTGCTCAAGCGAGTGTTTTCGGGCTCGATCTCGTTCTTTTCCATGATCTCGGCGATCGCGGTGATCTCATTCTTTGTGATAGCTTCGGGGCCGGGATAATACGTCGACTGTGTACCGGGACCCGGAAAGCCCAAGCATTTCGGCGTCGCGGCGAGAAGGGGGTCAATGATCTTGTCAAGTAGAGAAGTCGTTGCAGGTGAAATACTGGCCATCTTGCGAATGGCATCCGCTGAAACGTGCGGGACTACCTTGCGATTCCCATCGGCCTGTGCTCTATTAAAACGGGGTCTTGCTTTGTTGCATTTATTTGTAGAAGAACATACGTAGTAATTACCTAAATGCGCAAGGAATTGCCCGGCGTAGTCGAGGAAACTCTCGACATCTTCACGTCCGACGCCGTCGTCGTTAGCCAACTTAGACCAGTCCCCCTTGCATGCTTTGTGTAGTTCGAGGATGAAGTCGAAGATGCCTTCGCTTTCAGGCGAGGTCTGTCGGAGAACGATCCTACTACCATGCCACGCAGCCTGAGCCAAATGGTGAGAGTAGAGCTTTTCGCGCGGCGAAAGGCCGTCGAAGATGCCTTGAATGTTAAGCTGGTATGTCGTTGCCATTTTCCCAGAGACAGGTCGCGCTAGTTGCAAGGGACGAAAGCGGGGAAGATGATGCCAATCTGGAATCGTTCGCGGGGATAGATTGATGCAGTTGAAGAGCAGGGGAATATGAAGTGGAAACGGCCTTCCTCATTTTCTTGGATTGGCATATTTTAGCACGGCCTTCCTCATTTTCATGGATTGATATTTAGCAGAAGCGGGGTAATGGGCTTCGGTCGGGCCGCCTGATTGCCAGGCTTCAATGTGTGCCAAGTATGACATTAAAAGCAAACAGGTCCATGAATCTCAGTTGTCGCGATGTTCGAAGATAGAACTTTTGTAGTAAGAAAAGAAGGAAAAAAATAACTGGGATTGCGAGGGCCATGTATCTTGCGCCGGAGGCAATTATTCCTATATCGGTCGCGACCAGATAAAAATCTTCCATCTGTTAGTTTTGCTTTAACTACGTTCAAGGTGGAGAGACGCACCGTATACAACGAGCGACATGGAGTTTGGCAGGTCCTGGCCTATTATCGTCATGTCCCCGCTAAATCTGAAATCGTCTATTAATTAAAATCACACAGTGATATTGCGAATGTCACGTACCGGTTTAGAAGAAAGCCCGCGTCGGTTGATGTGATAAACTGATAGGTTGCACTAAACTCCCCGGTGTCAGCTGCTTGTGTGTCGGGTAGGGCGCGCTTGAGAATCTTGCCTCATTACAACATGGAGAAACTGTCTATGCAGATTCTCCGAGGCTTTGGGTGTGAGTTTGAGCCAAAACATGCTGCACTCTGTTAGCAAATGCGACAGAGCACACAAGCGGAATAGACTCACTAGATCTGCGAGAGACCAAGGATGCCACATGAGACACCAAACAGGCAATATCCTATAAAATAGAGCTTATTTGCAGGGGCCATGGCCAGCCACATCCGTATGAATATTTCTATTGCCCATGTCAGCTTGCCTCTTCAATTGACAATTTTCGCTCTGTGTTGAATGAGTTTACCTGGTGACCTCTCAGACAGGGCAAAAAGAAAAGACAAAGTGAGCCACAATACCAGTAACTGCTTTGGTACTGATTTAAAATATATTAAATAGAGATTCGCATCTCCATGTTGTCGAAACTGGTCGGGGTCATCTGCATCCAGCGCCTGGGCAAGGTGCTCGACTTGCGTCGCGGGCGCAGTAGCTTGGGCTTGGCCAGCTTCGAGTCTGTCTGAAACAGGCTCCTCGGGAAGAAACTTTGCGTACTCCGGGATATGAATTCTGTTGGTGATCATGGTAACTTTACGACTTGCATCAAGAAACAACAAATGGTCTGCCATGGAAAGATATTTCCCTATGGCCAGGCAGGATTAGTCGATGCTGCACCACAGTGTGTTTGTTACCTATGTATTCTTTGACGTACCTGAGGATGTGGCCAAGACAACTGTGCACGCCGTTCTTCGCAGTACTCCTTGCGGCCCAAGCAATGCGTTCATGATGCCGTCCGCCGTTTTTTCGTCTATTGCGGAGAAGATGTCATCCAAAAGAATTAGGGGTGCCAGGGCGTATACAGCTCTTGCAAGTGCCTTGTTTCGAAGCAGTCATGTCAGACCAGGGCCTTGAAGCGCGCTTATGTACTACTCACCAGTCTCGCTTTCTGGCCACCACTCAACTTTAGGCCGTCTGACCCAACAATGGTCTGGTCGCCAGAGGGAAAAGACTGAATGTCGCTCAGGAGTTGACAAGCGCTCAGCACGTGGCTATACCATCGTGCATCATAGTTGCTGGCGCAAATGAGATTCTCCCGAATGCTCCTGTTTTGGATCCAGACTTGTTCATCACAGTATGCGACAAATGCGCGTTCTAGGGAGATGGTGCCCTCTGTGACAATGGCTTCCCCTAGTAGGCCACGGAGAAGAGTGGACTTGCCGCAGCCCGTTTTGCCCACAACCATAGTAAACTTGCGACGCGGTATACTGAAAGTCGAGCAGGGGATGATGGTGCCCGAAGTCTTTGTCGCAGATATGGAGACTTGATGTACATCGGCAGGGTAAATATCCCAGCTTTGCTCATCACAATGGGTTAATTTTTCGGCTTCACCAGAAATGCTCCCGGTCGCCAATGGGCGTCCTATAAATTCTCGCTGCTCAATCCTCTCGGGCAGCAGAAGGAATGATTCAATCCGCTGCAAGCGTCCAAACGTAGCTGCAACTCCAGGGTAAGATGCAACTACTTTGCTGAGGGGTGTAGAGACAATAGCGACAATGGAAAGGATGGTGAAGATATCACTAGACTTCAAAACAACATTTGGACGCGTCCAAAAAATATATCCTGCTATGACACTGATAGGCGTCAAGCAGTAGATGAGCATGGCGTTTGCAAGGAGTGCTGCCTGCAAGAATCGATATTTTTGAGACTCATCAATCTCCTTCTTGCGTAGTTCTTGAATATAGTCCGTCGCAGCAGGTCCTTGACCAACCATTTTTATGGTTCGTATTTGGCCAAGAATTGCTGATGTTTTTGAAACGCGGTCTTCGATGCTCTTGTTCCACGTAACTTGGGAAGGCCCGACCTTTTTGCCAAATTTAGTCGAGGTAGCAGAGAGCAAGGCTGTCGGGGCGAGAAGCAAAATGCAGGCAGGTCCAACCCTCAACGCCAGGATTGTGATGCCCACGGCCAACTCTAGCAGGTTGGCAGCGAATTCGTACAAGGTGCGAGCATTGCGGGTAACCCCATCCGCGTCCGTGCTCATGAGAGTCACTGCGGCGAGCTTTTTAGCTTGATTATGCTCTAACTTAACCGTCTTGTCGTAAATGGCTGCTATGAGGATGCCCCGCGTCTTCGTAGCCATGCGCACCGCGAGGTAATTATACCATGCCCGTGAGACGGTAATTCCAATGTATATCAGAGCGGCAGCGCCAACGAGACCATTTTCGAAGTTGTCTCGCGGATTCTTACTTTCGAGGAGGAGAACGACGCGTTCCAAAAGGTACGGCTGTGAGAAGGAGAAACCTATGAGGGCCAGCCGGGGTACTACGGCGACGAGTATTGACCGTAGCAAAGTCCGAATCAAGACTTTGAATAACACTTTTGACGATCGTTTGTTCCAACGCGACCATATGGGGACAAAGTTTGCAAAGAGCCGATCGCCTTGGAGATCATCTTCCAGCGTATGCAAGTCATGGACGTTTAGCAAGCGCTTCGAGCCAGCGTACAAAGTCTGCAGCAGCCAAAAGAAACAAGACCTGTTCCAAAATCCTGCAAGGGCTTCTGGACCAGCGGCGTCGCGCTGCTCTGGGTCGATGATTTCAGCAAACTTGGAAACTTCTCCGAGAACTAATATGACGGCCATGATACCAATGTCGAGACTTTGGAGGATGGCCAGGGAATGTAGTTCTGCTCGTAGAAAAAAAGACCGTGCTTTAGCGATACCAAGCAGGGCATAGAGACCCAAGCAAAAGCTAAGCCATCCAGAGGAGTGAAGTGATCGGCGGTGCTCAGTATCTGCCAAGATGATGACCAAAACACTCGCTAGACACGAGGTAGCTGCTGCAGCGACAGCAAGGTTTGTTGGTTCCGCGGCCAGTGACGACAGTGTCAAAGCGCCCAAGTCAGTGGCAAGAAGAAGCGCACTCATAGTCTGGTATGTTGAGGTCAGAATCGGTCAGGTCAGAGCGGAGTAAATGTGAGGTACGAGCTTCAGCCACCAAAGAAACCCACGGCGGACTAGGCGCGGTTGGCAGAAAAGTTGATGAAGGCAGATCAAAGACCCAGCCACAAAAAAACCATTGGGCAGAATACTTAGTATAGTGTTTTCAAAGTAGGTGGTAAAGTCAAGTCGGCCCGGAAGTTGAGGGCCAAACAGTGCATCCGCGCCATATTGACCAGATTCGCCCATGATGCCAGCCATTATCGATGGCGTTCTAGGACTCGGGAGAAAAAAAATTCAAGAAAACAACAAATGATTCACGCAGAGAGAAATGACAAGACAGTACACTCAATCCTCGCTCAAAAGTGGACTACTTCTAACGAAGGGCATGTTCATGTGAATTATACAATGGGGGGCTCGCGTTGGTAGTCCTACACCTGGTGTTCGAACGTATGTTGTCGGCTGCAGTGGGCCGTGTTGCGTCCTTTCAATATGGGGGTATAGATTGGACACGATCCTTTTCATGCCAGCGGGCGGATACACTGAAGATGAGGACATGGGGTAGCAGGTATTAAGGTACTGTGGTTGGCTGCTGGGAGGAACTTTTGTCGGCCGCGAGGGAAAGCTGCATCACACGAATGAAGTAGGTGAGTTTGTCCAGCCCGTCTAGCGTTAAGCCCTTACGAGATGAATTTCCCCCCTCGACGAGTCTTCGCCTAGTCATGCAAATCCGGCAGTGTTGGGGGAAAAGTTGAAAACCCAAAGGCGCGAAAGCAAAGAGGAGACGGAATAAGGATCACAGTAACCCACCATCCATGCCGGCGACCAAACAAAAAGGATACACATTATCTAGAGTATATTAAAAATATTTTCAGGTATAAAAGGAAGAAATTAGGAAGAGTAGAGACCGCCCCGGCCCGGGAACCCGCCGCCGTTGAAGTTTGTGATTTACCCCCACGATACACACCCCCACGGAGCGCGAACTAACATGATTGCCAGAGGTGGGTGGGTTGTCTTTGGAAAGATGTGGTGATACTGGCACGGCTCTACAAGTAACCCCTGGGACATATGGTCATTTATCTATGTACTCCCAGCCCTCTCTCGGCCAGCCCACAGATTGCGACCCAGCGAACTTGGCGCAGACTGAGTACCTCGAGCTCACCGAACACTTTGAGTCGCGATATTTTTAATTGCTTCTAGGTCACCTAGTTGAGTGGATGATCCATTCGGTCATTTAATTAAACAAAATTCAATTTTCTCACCTACTTAATTGGACTGATGCAAAAGGATGGAGTAAATTGCAAGAAGCAGAGACTTGTGACGAGCAACCAGCAATAGCGTACCAGCTTGGTGCGGTGGCTGCATACAGGAAGACGTTGATGCAAGTATATTATTCATTCATTACTCCTACAAGAATAATGTGCGGGCTGCGACGGCTCCAGAAATGGACCAGACAGCCAAGAAAGAAATATAACCACAGCTGTCCCCCGATGCCTTTGTACATGGCACAAACCGCGCGCATAGTGCTCTCTCATGAAGCAAGTTCTAACTAGCATCATCACAATGCATGCCCAATTTCAACATATCCTGGCTGCAGGACTGTTCATCGGAGCCACCACGGTAGTAGCCCGACCGAGTATGTCATCCACGACCTGCTTCTCCTCATTCTCTTTCTCACATTCGTGGGTAAAAACAGTCGCTGCCGATTCTCTAATTCCAAAAATTGCCGTCTTGGAAGGCGTCATCAACAACGGCTCCGGAAGCATGCAGAGACAGGCTGGAAAAGGGCCGTACATCAAAGACAGCGAGAATGCGGACCCTTTGGAAGTGTTGGGAAGTCCCCGGGTTGACGGCGCGCGCACATGAGACTTACTCATGTTATTTAGCCTATATCCTACTTATATAACTGTGTGGGTGTGCATTTGTAGGGCATTTGAGTTGGTGGTTAATGCATCGATTCCGTCCATAGATCTTGTCCTCCTTTGTACGCTGCCTCTTCTCCTCACCTTAGGTCCGCCGTTGTGGATAGGTATGATACTCGTTGTGCTCGTCGCGGTTATGAAAAGTGGCATGAAGAGAACACAGGTGGATGGATTTATTACTACTCGCATTTCGGGCCTCTGCTTTGAAGGGCCGCTTTACTCAACGTTTGGAAAGAAATTGAAAAATGAAGGATCATAGCGCCCTGTGATGGCGGGGCGCGCGGGGGATGAGTGAGCCAAGGGGCCAAAACGCAAAAACGCACTGAGTAATACCCGTACTTCTCCATGGAAAACTGCACCGTAATGAACTGGCCTCGGCTGGGGCCGTCATCGGGGTTTCTTTTACCTGAGCATCATCATCCTGCTTAGCAATCCGCGGGCTTGCCTCTTGAGTCTCCTGCTGGCTATATTACGCATCTGTCCGTAAACACCCATCTTCGCCTTCGCTGCTGCCGCTCGCGACATGTCTCTGGGCTGTATCGCCTTTTCGGTGCCACACAACCAGCCATTACGCGGCTCTCGGGGCTTGCCTAATGACCATGGCTCCTATGCTCTCTAACTCGGACTCTGTCTCAGTCTCCAAACAGGAATCTTCCGACCAACATGAGCACTGCAAAACTCCCTCTGGTGCATTGTCAATTGAGCCCGAAAATTCAGAGTCGCAGGACTCGCGCGCGAATGAAAAAGATGTCGTCGGTTCTGGGCTGGACGGCCTCGCGCACAGCCCTGTCGACCCCTACAACACATCGGAACTCGGCATGGCGCGGATCCAGTCAAGAGCATCGTCTACTTGCGCGAGGCCGGCTGTTAAGGTACCGCGAAGCGAGCTCCGTGGACTCTTAAGCCGCTTCACTATTGTACCAGAAATCACAAATCCATACGATTATACAAGAGGGACTAAATGGGGCATTACTGCGACTATTGCGGTCGCAACCGCGGCTGCACCACTCGGGTCCTCGATTTTCTATCGTTTGTATTCACCCAATCTTGCATCATGTTGAGCATCGATGAAAGCCTAACGTCTAATAGCCGCTTTAAACACCATATCTAAAGAGTTCAACACTACTTCCACTATAACGAACTTAGCTGTTGCCATGTACATGGTTGCCATGTCCATATTCCCCATCTGGTGGTCGGCCTTGTCCGAGCAATTTGGTCGCCGAACCATCTACCTCGTATCATTCACACTCTTTGTTCTCTTCTCCGTCGCAAGCGCACTCAGCGTCGACATCTCCATGCTGATCGTGATGCGCATCGGTGTCGGTGGTGCCTCTGCGAGTGTGCAAGCCGTCGGTGCCGGGACGATTGCCGACATTTGGGAACCCCGCGAGCGCGGCCTCGCCATGAGCATGTTTTACCTCGGCCCTCTGCTCGGGCCCTTATTCGCGCCCATCATTGGCGGCGCGCTATCCCAGGCGTTTGGTTGGAAATCAACCATGTGGTTTTTAGCTATCTACGGCGGCGTCATTGTCATAATGCTGACCCTCCTCCTTCCCGAGACGCTGGCTCGGGACGCGCCGCCACCCAGCGACACGGCGCCGCTTCGGCGCTTATCGACGAGAGAATCGGCGAAACTGCACTCCAAAAAATTCATCAATGGTGTCCACCGGTTTGTCTTTGCTCCTCTTAAAGTATTGCTTTTTCTTAGGTTCCCTCCCGTCCTCATTACTGTTGTCCTGGCCGCATTTGCCTTTGGCAGTCTCTTTGTCATGAACATTACTGTTCAGCAACAGTTTGCTAAGCCGCCGTACTCGTATTCACAGCTTACTGTCGGCCTGCTCTACATTCCGTCCGGACTTGGCTATATTGTCGGCTCACTGCTGGGTGGTCGCTGGCTAGATTACATCATGGCGCGAGAGGCTGTCAAGGCGAATCGCTACAACGACAAGGGCAAATTGATCTATCTGCCGGAAGACCGTCTTCGCGAGAATGCCTGGATTGCCGTGACAGTATATCCTTGCGGCCTTCTCTTGTTTGGATGGACCATCAACTACGGCGTCATGTGGCCTGCCCCAGCTGTTGGGGCATTCATCTTCGGAATCACTTCCATGCTCGTCTTTGTAGGCTGTTCCTTGCTTCACCGCATTACTGGCAGTAGTTACTTCCAGTCACAGACCCGACTAACAAGAAAATAGTCCGCGGCAACGACGATGCTTACCGAGTTCATCCGCAAAAGAAGCTCAGCGGGTGTTGCCGTCAACAATTTCGTGCGCAATCTTCTGAGTTGTATCGGCACTGTTGTCGCTGCGCCGTGGCTGAGTGCCGTTGGACCCGGCTGGGTATTCACTGCCACATCCCTCTTCTGCATGGTCATCAGTTACATCTGTGTCTTCTTGCTCCAGCGCAACGCCCCCAGATGGCGCAAGTCCATGGAGAAGGCACTCGCTGAGATTTCATAACGCGGCTGTCGATAACGAAACGGTATTTGATGCGAATTTTTGTTACTTAGAGGCACTGGACAGGTGATTGGCGTCGTTTTACAACCGTCTGCATGTAAGCAAGGGTCGGCACAGAGGAATATGTTTGACCAAGCAAGTGTAGCAGTTAAGCAGAAGCAACACAGAAAAACAAGGAGCCTACTTGGATACAAATCCATTGAGAAAAGGGCGCCCTGCAAGGTCTTTTTTTTTCTTGTTCTTGTCCGTAATTAAAGTTGTCCGCAGGGGTACTCTTCTAAGCTACATAAGCTCTATCGCTACGCATATCTCTCGGGCAGTGACATAAATGCGACGACATTTGTCAACACTGCGATACATCCCTCCTCACAGGTCCCTCCCATTTTCTAGCGGCATTTATCTCTCGCGTCAAAGCTTCTTCTTCAATGCACTGTGAAGCTAATCAAATGGGACTTATTACTTAGAAGCTGCTGGGCTCTTCGATGGCAGGGTTGCAAGGATCGCGCAGCGTGAGTACATGGCATCCGCCGATGCTTCGTTACCATACTAGCCCGAACAGTTAGCACAAATGCACGAAGAGCTTTGGTAGCTCAAACTTGCCTTCGTATAGACGATTTGAAGTTCGGTCTGAGTTGGCTTCGTGAGCCAATGAATCGGGCCGTTGGCATAGGTGCCGCCCCATAGTGTGAACATCCTGTGATAGTCTTGAGCTATCTCCTCCACTCGATACCCCCGGTCTATTGCCACACCAAACTTGTTTCCGATTATCCACTTTGACGGCATATGAGGAGGCATCCTTCCTTCGGACTGGGTGCTAACTTCATGGTAGTCACTTCCCTTATAGTGGTCGCTTTCCTCGTAATAGTAACAGTATCTTTCGCGGGTCTCACCGTCCATTTCGACGATTGGCGCAGTCTCAACACTGATGCCAAGAGCTTTGAGACTTTCCCACACGGCTGCATCAACGCCTTTAAGCGTCTCTGGGAGAGGGTTTTCTTGCTGATTATTATAAGCGTAGGCATGGGAGCACCAAAAGCCGAGCGTCCCGCCTACGAGGCATGGGTTAGTGTAAATGCTGCACATTACGTCGAGAAGCGACATTCCGCACCTTTCCCATAGAATGGATCATTGGAGATCACTTTCTCAATAGCGCGATACAACGGCAGTCGCGTCGGATCCAGTGTCAAGTGTGTGCCCGTCAAGCGCCCAGCTCCCTGGACTGCGTAGAGGTTGTAAGTCAGGGTGAGTCGAGTACCACTGGAGACTTCCATCACTTCATGCTCGCAGTCGCTGTAGAAGGCTGCCCATTCAATATGCGGCGTCTGTCTCTCATCGGCCGGAATACCCCAGTCGAAAGTCATCTCTTCACCTTTGTGGCGAACTTTGAGCTGTCCTCCCTGGTGCTCGACGGGCAGACAAACGACAAGCGACCCAAACTGCATCGGTGAACGAGGCGTGTCGACATGAGCCTTGAACATGCCAGATGGGCCGGAGTAAATCTATACGGAAAAAAAAAGACGTCAGTCATACTTGCAGACGCAATAGTTAGGTCAACGGCTTACATTGAGTTTGTAGAGCCTCGCCTCGACCGCTCGGTGTGTTGCCGAATCCAAAAAGCTCGGGAGGAGCATCTGCGCCACAGAATCAACAATTCCGACAGAATAAGGGTCAAATGTGCTACAGAAGGTGTCTGTGTTCATCTTGAGTGCTTTTCGATAGGTCTCGTCGTAGACATCCTTGCCGTCTTGGCCAAAGGTCGCCGGCTGGCAATCTTGAAGCAGGTCCTTGAGAGCATCGCGATCAGCCGGTCGAGTAGCTGGAAGAGTTACTTTACGACATCGAGACTCTTCGGTTGGCGACAGTCCGCCGACGTCCCATCGGATTGTTACTGGACCCGATCGCCGTGGCTGCTCAGCTCGAGAGAGTGACGATGCTGCGTCGCCTCCACTTTCAACGGTAGGCATCACGACGGGAATCCGGCCGCCGCAAGCATATAAATGCTTCGATTCAGCCAAAGCATTTTTGAATTCTTCGAGAACTGGGTTTGCTTTGGCTTGAGGCATCGTTGATTTAGCGTTGATTGTAAGGAGGAGAGAAAGATGTGTCGTGTTTGTGAGTAATTCTTCTGAAAGAGAAACAGCAGGGCGATCCCACCGATTTATATTTTCAAGCACACAGAGCACAATGTTCCGGACACCCTTGGTGCGCACTGCTTTACTCGGCCAGTACGTGTCGCCATCAGTACGCGTTGCCACTTGTTGGCGCGCCTTGTACTTGCCTCGGTCGCAGTACTTCTGCGAGAGAGAATTTTACGTCTGGGATAAAGTACCTATGGTGCAGTAATCCCCTGAGTGGTTCACTTGGTTTTCACGGATACACAGCAGAACCGTGAGACTTTTTCACGGCCAGGTCAGGCTGCAGCAATGTTTAGGCGACAACCCTGACGGCTCGCGACAGGCCCCCCTGTCCGTTCTAGGCAACACTTATTAGGCTTCATTTACAAACTGGGTAGGACGATATCGGAAAAGTCTCGCCTTGTACTACATTGAGGTTCAAAACTGATTAAAATCTGCGAGTCTGACGATACATTGCGCAAATGCCAAATGCGACAGGAGTCAAATAGCATCAGCCCCGCGTCGATCGGTGACCGAATTCCGCAACTCGCCAAGTAGTTACGTACCCTGTTTTATTGATCAGATCGCCGTCTGGCGGAAAGCCTTTCCCGAGTGCCCTGCGCCCGAGCGAAACACTTTCCTATCGCGGTTCCTCGGCACCTGCAAGCTCCCAGTTAGTGGCCTGAAGAGGAGTCCTAGCGCACTACATGAATAATAAAGAAGTTGATAAAAAGAGACAAAGCGAAATAGAATAAGGTCTTGGAAAATATCAATGATTAAAGAAAAACAAACTAAGATCGCAGTATTGCCAAAGACGTTGAGTGGCCCTTATTCGGTTCCTCGCATTGCATCGAATTAGGCTTCAATCCAACAGGGACAGGCGCAGGGAAAGTAAAAGCTATCTTCTATATCATCCTCGTTAAAATTACTTGCTAAAGAGGCCTACTGCCCGCCTCGGCGGATAATTGGATAATTGAGGATGAAACACGTTCAGCGGTACTTTCTATAAACCAGCTTCAGCGTTGCAGCTAGTAATCTTGGCAGGCCGCATATCTAATGGCAGCATCTTACCTTCCCTAGAGTTGGATGTGTCAACAAGTTTCAACGCACATGTTAATCAACCCCTCTATTCTCACTATTCTAGCAACGATTACGAATGTTCTCCGACCCCCGCTCGCCGCCCATGCCCTACGACAGAATGGCAATAGCGGAGTCGATCGGGGTGGGTATTTGTCTCTTGAGCGCAACTTCGGGGTAATTTATTCGGCCGCTCTCGGCTAACTTTAGCGTGGCAACGGGATCTGATTCAACTCGGTCGCAGTCACAAGCCAGGGCATGGTGTACTTAAAACTGACAGCAGTCTCTAATAAGCCTCCATCACGTTGACCAACTTGCCGGTACTTTGAACCATCTTCACCAGAGAGGCATAATAAAACGCCAACATGGGCAGAGCCCAGGAACACAACCAACACTCCATGGTCTCGGATTGGCCCCAGGCGGATCCGAAGACATGGAACGGAGCCCAGCGCGCCGTTGACCATTTCAAATTATACCCCATCTACCCAGACGAGTCACCGCCAAAGTTTGCCATGACGGACAAGATCCCTTTCATGCCTGCGTGGTCCCAACACCGCTATATTCTCGTTTTTGCCACCTTGCCACTCCTCATACACCAAGCCTGGTTTATGCTCACGGGGTGGCCTATGGGCAAAATCGCCGCTATCCTCTTCTACTACACCGCATACAAACTAATCGCTATACGCGAGGTTAGTCTATTGCGTGGGCTCATCTACAAGTACGGTGTTCTTGACGGCGATGCGGCCCGCGACGGCATCCCCAACACGGGAACGTGGAAAATTGTCGGCGAGCTGGAAAAGACGACCGGGTTCCGGATGGCAATGGCTGTCTATCTCACCTACGATCCCGAGGTGTCCCCCTTGGCAGCAATAAGCGACACCAGCACCTGGGCGCCCTTCTTCCTCAAGCTCAGCCTCTATGGTGTTGTCCTTGACTTCTTCTTCTACTCGTACCATCGCGCGTGCCATGAACTACCTGGCTTATGGAAATACCATCGAACTCACCATCTCGCCAAACACCCAACCGCTGTACATTCTGGCTTTGCCGATGACGAGCAGGAAATTATCGAGATCCTCATTGTCCCCTTCCTCACGTACCTAACCCTGCGGTCGATTGGGCTACCTCTTGGTTTCTACGAGTGGTGGATATGCTTCGAGTACCTTACTTGGGCCGAAGTCTGGGGCCATTGCGGCCTGCGCGTCCATGGCGTTGTTCCGTCTCCTATTTCAGCCATTCTCGGCCAGATTGACATGGAGCTTGCCCTCGAGGACCATGATCTGCACCATCGCAAGGGTTGGAAGAGGAGCTTTAATTACGGCAAGCAGACGCGGGTGTGGGGTCGTCTTTTTGGCACCTGTACGGACAGATTGGAGGCTCACAAGGCTAATATTGATTATGAGAATCGTGTATCCATGCCTCTAGCCTAGTAGGTTTTATTTGTACCATTGAGAAACCAACAAAACACCTCCATAGTAAGCTCATTATCATATCTGTCTTCATTCTGTGATTCATCATCTAGTAGACATAGTAGTTGGTTGTCTCGTCATCGCTAGCCCTCAACTTCCTGTTCCGTCGAAGCATGATCAGCTTGGCTATCCACGCCAAGACTGCCGTGGCGATACTGAATCCCGCGCTGCTGGCCATAGCAATAGCATAGCGAGGGCCATCACTCTTGGGCCACAGATAAGGCGTCCAGATGAAGCTGATATTCATAATCATCGTCACTAGGCCGATCGCCGCCGCCTTCTTCTCCTTGGTCTGACCGCACACGCTGCCACACCAGCCAAGAATAAGGCTGTTGACGCCATAAGTGCCAATGGTGAAGACAACCATGGAAACATAGCGACCGACAGTGTTGAGAGTCGCAGCGGCGCAGGCAAAGCCGATCACAGCTACAGCCTTGGAGAGTGTAATGTGCCATGTGCGCTCGTTCATCTTACCTGAGGACCATGATAGCAAGATCGTGACAGCGCCGGCAATGAGGTATGGGGGGCAAGTAAGCACGAGTGTGATGGTCGTATTGAACTTGAGGGTTTGAACGACTGTGGGGAACTACATCACGGTGGCGGTTGTGTTAGCAAGAACCTCTTCATGTACATTTGATTGGCAGGCTTACAAAGTTTTTGAAACCATTGGCCGCAAGGTGCATGTGCGCCATTCCACAGAAAATCCATACCACGGGGTCCTTGGCAGCCTGTTGGAGACCTTTCCAGGTGCTTGTCTCACCCTGGTTGGCGACGGTGTCCAGCTCCATGCGATTGTACGCCAGGTCCCTCTCCTCTTGAGTGAGCCACCAGGTGGTGAGAGGAAAGTCGGGCAACAAAAAGAAACCGATAATGGCAATGACAAAGGTCACAGCACCCTGGAGGATGAAGAGCCACTTCCATCCAGCGAGGCCGGCAGCACCGTCCATGCCGTGGAAGATGCCGGCCGCGATGAGTCCAGCAAAAGCAGTAGCCAGGATGTTTCCGGTGTATAGAATGGCAATGCGCGTGGCTACCTCTTTACGCGTGTAGAAAATAGTGAGTAGATAGACTGCGCCGGGATAGTATGGCGCCTCTGTGACCCCAAGGAAAAAACGCGTGAGGAGCAGGCCAATGTAGTCCTTGGATACAGCCGTAAGAGCACTGACGATAGCCCATAGCATCATCATGATTCCCTAGTTGGGAAATGTTTAGCTCTTGGATGCAAGTACGTGACTTGTCGACCAACTTACCATGTATCGGCTTGGGCGAGTGCGAGTAAGGAACATATTGGAAGGCACCTGGCCAATGATGTAGCCAACAAAGAGGATGGAGACGCATGTTTGGTACTCTTTAGAGTTCTCCTGTTAGCACTTTTGTAGCTGGCGGTAATAAATATCGGAGCATACATACGGGTGCTGGTGAGGTTGAGATCATCCTCGAGATGGTTTAGCCGTGCCAGGGCAATGGCGTTTCTGTCAAGGTAATTAAGCCAATACATGCTCCAAAGCATCGGCTATTATTCCCCTTTTGTTAGTTCTGGTTGAAGCCATGGACATCGCCAACCAGATGGGAGGCTGGGTAAAGACTTACCATAATCCATCTATCGAGTTTCTTCACAAGGGCGATCTCCTTGGGGTCGGTCTTCGCGTGAGCACCCGAATAGTCGACTTTTTCAACCTGGGGAACCGGCTTCTGAGGGTACTCATCCTCAACAACCATTGACTCGTTCTGTTTCTTCTCCGAAAGAGCCATGTTCAGGTGTTGCGGGAGTTCAGGTTCGGAAGCGAGGCAGGATGAGGAAATAATTGAGGATTTCCTCAGTGATGGATTTGAGAAGTAGAGAGTAGTCAATGGCAGTGCTCCCAGTAGCTGGAACACGAATGGATGCAGGGTTGCCTCTGTCTTTATAGTTCTTTGGGAGACATACCAGGCCAAGAAAACCCAGTGATGGCCAAGACGGGCGGTGAAGTAGCAAGCAAGTCATTCATCCAAGCTGCTGAGGCTATAGGTAGATATGATAACCGTACTTGGACAAGTTGACAGGAATGTGATGTAGAACTTGTGACATGCCGTTATTTGGTATTGACGATCCACACGCCATGGCTACTGAATCAGGTCATGGTCGTGACAAGCGAGTCCCCCGCATAAGACGCCACCGACCAGCAGGGTATCGAGGGGTATATTACCAGTGTGGTTGATATGGCTCTTGGCTAACGGCCATGGCGCAGAATAGCCAAGATGTGGCTGAGGCCTCGACTCCCTGATCAGGATAACTCCTCCGTGCGCAAAAGCAGAAATGAAAGGCGTGGTGAGTGTATTTATTGTCAAGATTGAGGCCAAGGCCGACTTGTCCCGCTGGCTTGCTGCCGGCCAAGAAGATAGCCAGTTTCACGAGAATTGTGCCCAGGCAGATGACAGCCCTGCCTCAGCGCCTGTTCCTCGCGCCGGGCTAGAGCCTCTATGCGGCTCTGCTCTGCCGAAATGAGAAACTGGGGTCAAAAGGCAGAAAGCAGTAAGACATTGGCCCGGTTTGGCGGGGAGGCATATAAAAAGCATGCTGTCCCGCACGTGTAAACGCTACCCTGCCTTCCAATTTCAGCGCAAAGCAGGTTACTATGCAATGGATACCAAAGATCCCCTCAGCGTGTTACCCAACCCAAAATGACAGAGCAGCCCTACCATCCCCGCAAACGCATTAAGGGTGGCGTGGAGGGGGAGTCGTACGTGAAGGTCGCCAAGGCTGGGGCCTAGTTAGCCTCAATCACCAGCCGCGAAAGTTTAAATGCAGCTGGACATCCGAGATTACCCTACCCATGAGTACACACGAGGCTGAAATGGGCGCAATTACCGAAGCATCTAGCTTGAGAATAGAGCAGCATGAGTCGGAAAGTGAAAGTGGCAACAGCCTCGCGGAAAAAGAAGGAGCTGGTTGCGAGCCAAGATCAGCAATAAGCATTACCAGAAACCGCCATGTGCATGCAAAAAAAGCCAAGATTGTAACCCACTACCGTGTTGTCGCAACCCGCAAAACCCACACAACACACAGACAAAGAAGAACAGACCATCGCTTGTATGCAGAGAGCGTGGGGTCCCCGGGTTACGAAGGAGCATTTAGTTATTATGCGCCTGGTCATCTTCAGGTGAAACTCGCAATTGCACAAGAGGGCGGGGGTGGGGTCTCCAACAGCCCTACTGGTTCAATTGCGAAGGTCGAAGGTGCCCTCAACCTTCAGCTCGTCAGCTCAACAGCTCGTCAGCTCAGGCGGATCCTTTTCTTTCCTTGGCACAAGTCCACGAGTTCGACATCATCCGATACAACACACTAAACAATCAGTCTCTCAGAATGCGACCCCATGCTCTGCACTACAAGGTCAAAGTTTCGTATGCGAAACCCTTTTCTGTTACCAACGAGTTGCTCGGCGTTTTTAGAGGCCCGAGTCCCCACGTGCTGCAAAATAGGCGCTATTAATCTAGTAGCTTTGTTGTTTGGACTGTGTGTCGGGGTTGAGCCCGCAAGCTATGAGAAAGTATGAGGTAGGATGTATTGAGTTAGAAAGTCTAAGGTAGAAAGTGTGAGGCACCAGTATGAGAATGACTGAGTAGGTTTCCGCGTAATAAAACAATCACCGAAAATGGCGAGGTAAATTATCTATATACAATATCTAACTTCAAGCTCAAAGACAGACGAGTCATCCGTCTACTTGTTCCTGTCGCGCTTCCGTGCCGACTTTTCCCTCTCGTACGCATTTGACTCACGGCCCTCTTCGCTCTGAATCTCCGAGACTAGGCGCTTGAACTTCTTCTCGTACGCCTCATCCTTGGCGATTTTAGTGCGCAGCTTCTCGCGCGCCATGAAATTCGCGTCCTTGCGCAGCTCTCTCATCGCTCCCTTGCGCTCGCGCTTATGTTCCTTTTGCAGCTTGGCCAGCTCAGCCCGCTCTCTGTCATGGTCGTAGTGCTTGTCTGGATCAAACGTCTCCTCAAATTTGGGGATAAAGCTCTTGATGGCCAATCTGCGGTGATGATGGAGCTCGAGCGGGCGACGCGCTATCTGGGCGAGACGCGACATGCGCTCGAGCTTGGTGGAAAGCTTGTCAGCTAGCTGCGCGACGGACGGCGGCAGCCTACTGCGGGATTTCGGGGCAGACAGATACTGAGACGCACGGAGAGCAGGCGCAAAGGTCTCTATAAAGGCCGATTTGCCAGTCCACAAGTCTGCAGCAGCGTCGAGGACTTGCAAAGTCGTGGCGAGGGCGGCGGCGGAGATTTTAGCAGCTTCGCCATCCGGGCCCGGGTGGCCAGCTTCGCCGGGGATGCAATCGGGGAAGCAGAGCTTGCGAACCTCGGTGGTGGCTGTAATGAAGCGCTTTTGGGAGTTCTCATGTATAGGGATGGTCGTGGTGATGTGTATGCTGGCTGGAGCGGTAGGAGCCAGCGCACAAAGGGTGTTGACGGCGAAGTTGATGACTTCGGGGACGTAGCGTTTGGCGAGCTGCTGATATTGAAGGGAAAGGACACAGAGAAATGTGCCAGTAGCAAAATCGGCGAGCTGTGTTGGCACTTTCTGGCCAAGATAACGACCGATAGTTAGCATGGCAGGCGTAACGACCTGATGGAAGTGGTCCGAGGTGGGAAAGATGCTTCCAATAGCGCTCAACAGTAGAAGATCCGATGGCTCTAGTGTAAGAGTACGGCCTTCTGCAATATCTCTCAAGTGATGACGAAAACGATTGCTGATTTCGATAGGGAACATCTTGGCAAGAGAGTGGATGTGACGGATGACACTCTCTACGACCGATGATGGTGGTGCTGTGGCAGGGTCCCACGGCGCCGCCACATAGTCTACCAAGGCCATGGAAAAGTTTCCGAGGCGCTCTTTATTTTTGGCATCAAGCTTGGGATGATAAAGCGCGCGCACACGTTGGATAATCTTCGGTGTGTTCTCGTGGGGGTATTGAGATGTGATAGCTTGCAACTCGTGGAGAGTTTCTGGGCATGGAAACGTAAATGGAAGACCGTGCTCGTCGCCCCTTGCAAGAGCAGCGTTATTGGAGTCGGATACGGCGCGAAATACCGGGTTTCGAGACTCTTCCTCGTCAAGGATACCCTTTGTGAACTCGTCGTCTTCGATTTGCCCTCCACCATCAGAATCGCCTGACTCGTCGTCTGATTCGTCGCCGCTGTCTACAAGATCTAGATCTAGATCCGAGCCGCTGGCAACAAGATCATCCTCGATGAGAAAATCGTCTTCGTCGTCAAGTCCGAGGTCAGTAGCTGTTGCGCGGGTGCGAATGCCTTCGCCGAGGCCAAAATCGTCGTCAGCATTTTCGTCGTCATCAGTAGCTATTTTTTTGCCCCGATTATCGTCGCTTTCGTTGTCATCTGAGACCTCCTCGCCGCGCATACGCTTTTGGCGTTTTTCTTCGAGTTCGCGTAGTCGCTTCGATTCTTCTTCCAGCTTCTCTTCCTCCGTCTTTGTGCGATCTTGAGGCTGTGCGCGGCGGTCTTGTGCCAGGCGCTTTACTTGCATGTCGAAGTTGCTGTCGAATTCCCCACGTTCAACACCTGCAATGGCAGATACCGCTGCCACGCCTTCTAGGCGCTTGCTTTTTGCGGAGGATGACAGCAGCATCTGAATATTAGAAAGTTCTTTATCAATCCTGACTCGCATCTCGTCGTCATCTTCCTTGGCGGCCTGGCGTTCGTACTTGTGCATTTTAGACTTGGCGATGACCTCTTCCATCACCTCTTTTTTGGACTTTTTGCGGTCAGGTTCTTTGTCGCTTGTATCGCTATTAGCCTCTCCAGCTAGACCTCGTAGTCGTTTCAAGCGTTGTCGCTCCCGCACAGAGCCGTCGCTATCTTCAGCATCCAAATCTCTTTCCTCGAAATCGTCGGCCAATACATTGCCGTCATCGTCATCATCGAAAGAAATCGACTTCCCGCCGTGTGTCAGTCCACTAATTGGGCCGTCGTCTTCGAGGTCGAACATTGAATTCTTCTTGTGAGCACGCTGTTTCTCGTGGGCAAATCGTTCCAGCATCTTATCTTCCGGGGCCATGGTCGGGTCGTTTTCTCCGAATCGTCTATCCAAGATACCGCCGACCTTATTACGACGCTGCATATCCACCAACAGAGTTTCGCGACGCTATTCAGGACTTGGTTAATTCTGGCAGAGGATAATTATGGTTGCGCCTGGCTTACCCGCTCTTCGCTGGCAGCTTTCGCAGCACCGGGACGGCCCTGAATGCCCTTGGCAGCACTGGCACTTTTGGGCACGTTACTGGTGACATCGAATTTAGGTCCTCGTGCAGCGTGCTTGAGATCAAAAGGGTTAAATTGCTCACGGATGCCGGACAAAACAGCACCTCGTTGCAGCCTCTTGTCGTTGCGGCCCTTTTGTTCTTCGGCGTGACGACGTTTTTGCTTTTTGGATTGCTGAGGTCCAATAACTCCCTGCTCTCTTAGAGACGCCTTGAGGCGCTTCAACTGAGAGCCCGCCATGTCGCGTGAGAAACTGTGGCACTGTTGAGCCGATGCACGAGGCTAAAAATGTGATGCTGGGAATACCAGTCCGGATTTTTTCTTTTTGGCGGGCCACTTATCGATAAGTCTGTTCAACCCACCGATGTATGACCTTGTACAGTAAAGTACCTCCGTACCTCGACTCTTCGGCGTAACTGGTGTTGCAAAATCAATTGCCGCCCGGCAGATCATCTACAGAATATGTTACTACAAGAATACCTGCCATACAATCCAATACAATTCGATGATACAATAATTTCTCTTACAAGAACTACTCTCTTGCTCCTGAAGAGTTCTCGGCTTATCCCAAGGATTGACTGTCTGGTCAAAGAGCCCAGTTTTCTTTTTAGATCGGCACTGCGTCTCCACCAACATCGCCAACGTCCCAGACACCTCCTTCTTTCCGCATCCCAAACTCCCACTTCATCGGTATCGAATAACCATCATAGCAAAGCCATGCTTATTGGTAACTTCTTAGTAGCATATTCTACAGCTAACCGAGTGCAGCACCCTATAGCATCATGAGCTGGAAGGCTGGCCTCTGGGCATTCGCGCGAGATGATCGCGTCGTGTTTCTTTGCGTTGGCCTGGCCGCATTCAGTGTGGTTAATACCATGAGGACCGTCCTTAACATAATTCGGGATACCAACGAAATCCCCCCATCAGAACCGAAAACACAATATATTACGCAAGATACAGAGGACGCTCTTCAACTTCACACGCTGACCAAGCTTCTGGAGCACCCCAATTTCTCAATACGCGATATTGCCACCAAAATTCTCTGCGACAGAGCTGTCAACGACCCAGGTGCCATGACATATCTGTTATACGGCATCACCGTAAAAAGCTATGATGAGCGCCTATACTGCCTTCGCGCGCTGTCGCTGCTCACGAACCAAACATTTGGTAAGTGCGATGGTGAGGTTGATGGATCCAGCAAACTAACCATGACATAGGGCTCGATGGTTTATCAAAGTTGAATACTCCGAAAGCATACTCGGCTCTTGTTCGATCTCTGGAGCAGAGTCTTGGCGACGGAGATGAGCCTGTCGTGACCAATATTCACTGGGATGAATATTATCTACGTGACACAGCCGAAAGGTTTTGTTTAAAGTTTCTTCAGGAGTTGACAGGCAAGTACGGCGCAAATATGCTCATCAAGGCGAAATTCGTGGAGAAATGGCTTGTCAAGCAAAAATGGGGAGACACGCCAGAGAGAAGGAAGCAGCACTTCAAGGCCTACAAGGAGGTGCGCAGCAACCGGATTGTCGACATTGTCAGCCGGATCGAGCAGTGCCGACGCGGGCTACGGGCACTGGAAAAGTCGGGGCTGGTGGACAAGGACAACTCGCGACGACGCATGCGAGAGTTGCCGGACCTCTTGATGGAAGTGGGCGACGTAATCGGGGAGGCGCCTCCGACAGATGGACAGCTCCGGAGGGCGCGTGAGCATTCGGCGGAGGAACGGCGCCTACGGAGACAACACCGGGAAGCGATGGTGTTGAATGACGGAACTCGGCCACTGGCCCGTGAAGACATTATTGAGCGAGATCACAGCTCTCCGGCTTGAAATGTGTATTATTAGGGTAGCGTTGCGACGATGGATTCCATTACTAGTACTAGGTAGTAAATGGGACATGGCACCTGTGTACGCCGTTTTGCAGCTTTGGAGCAGCGCTGATGGTGTCTGGACTGGTTTATCGAAGATCTGGGAAGAATTGATTAATATCTAGGTACCTAGGTAGGTAGGTAGCTAAGGACAATGCTGTCTGAAATCCGGTATGTACGTGAATGTCGGGCGGCATTAAGTGTTACAGACTTCGAACTGGATGCACTTCTTCCGCTGTATCAGACGAAATTGCACAACGATGCAGAAACGTTTCAATCGACTATTTCCTGATACAGGTGTATTTCCTGATACAGGTGTATTTCCTGATACAGGCGCTGTTTACTGTTCCCTTGGCTGCCATTTCCTGCTCCGGTGCTGGGGTTTGTTGTTGTTTACCTCCTTACAAACCATAGGGGCGTGTTGCAGTGTGACGTGGGAGCTGCACGCACTGCAGCAACCGTTTAGCAGCACGCAGCGCGGCTGACTGGGCTGGGGTCGTGCCACACGGTCCTGGCGCTAGAACCGCCGTCGCCCAGCGAGTCGGAACTTGAGGTCGCCCAGGCCCTTTTTTTCCAGCTCGTTTGCTTTGCCTCTCCTCCTTCATTTCTCTGTCTTTGGCAAGACCCAGCAGTTTTGTTTTTCGTCTGTCTACATTTACGTCTACGTAGCTTCTTCACCAACATTCTTTTTGTTCAATTTTCATTGCAAATTGTCACTACAACCACGCTGCCTACCAGGCTACCACCAACAAGGTTAGCTGTCCAGTGCCACCACTTGCTCTCCAAGGCGGGCGGGAACCCAACAGTGTTCCCGCAATCGTTCAGCGGGCGGCAAGCCCTGCTAACGCAAAACCGCGGCAGCTTCAGCGATTCGATAGCGGCTGCGGATAGGTACAACGAGGGCCTATCCTCGGAGATACATACGGCACGATTCATCTATGATTTATCTCGGTGCCTAGGTACCACGGAACACCTAGGTATTAACCCAGGTATTGGCGGTATTGGCGTAAAGCGTTATCGGCCCAGGTACATCTTTACCTACATTAGCGTACCGGGTTATCGCCATCGCTCTCAAGAGGGACGGCGGAGAACTGCTGCAGCCACTCAAGCCCTGCCTGGCGCCGCCCCGAACCACCGGCACCCACCTCCAGTTTTCTCCAAAACCGCCCAAACAGGGGCTCCCGCGCCCATCATGGCCACAACAACCACTTCAACTTCCACCACCCTCCGTACCCGCAAGTCTTTTGGTCGCGCCTTGCGCAGGCCTGTCGCCCTCTCCGCTTCCACTCCCGATCTAAACGCCGCCTTTACCGCTCATTCCAGACTCTCGGCTGCCTTGTCGCGCAAGCCGTCGCTCGCCGTTCTCACCCCCAGCACACTCGCCAGTATCCCCGATGTTAGCGAAACCTACGCTCTAGACTCTGTCCTCCGCCATTCCAGAATGATCCCCGCCACCCCCGGCCGCCTTGGTACCGCCGACGACGTCGTTTTGGGCGACAACGTCGAGGTACCCGGCGGTCTCCAGGGCACCGTTCGCTTCGTCGGTGCTGTCCAAGGGAAGAAGGGTCAGTTTGTCGGTATCGAATTGACCCGCGAGTTTGCCCCTCGCGGTAAAAATAACGGCGACGTCGATGGGTGAGTCTACAGAATGCACAAGGTTTTTGGCGTGTTGCAATTTGCTAATACGAGGACTGGAAGTATATCCTACTTCAACACCAACGTCCCTGGCTCCGGCATCTTCGTACCCATCACAAAGGCTATCCGTCGCGAGTCGCCCAACCACGCACCCTACCCTGCGACGCCTACCCCGTCTACAAACCGGAGAGCTCCCGCCCAAAGCTCAGGCTATACACCACCAATGCCGGCCTTGCCCAAGCTGAGCGCATCAGTCGGACCTGGTGCCAGAGCGGTCAGCCCGCAGTCCAGGCAGCGCCCCCGAATGTCGCTCCCCCGCCCCGAATCGCCAGTCCGCCGAACCCAGATGACTCCGGGCCCTCGACCATCTATTCCCTCTCCTTCTAAGGCCGCAAGGCAAGCCAGTCCGACCAATCGATTTGCCCAAAGTGTCAGAGGCACCGCCGGTGACCCAAACAAAAAAATCGGCCACCTTAATCAGAGCGTGAACCACGGCCAGCGCAGCAACTCTGCTATGGGTGGCGGCGGTGTCATGAACTTCGACGATGACCCCGCACCCCTCGCACAAAGGCCTATCAGGCCGCCCGCCTTGTCCACCTCGGCCTCGGCCTTTAATCTGCGAAGACCGGCTTCGCGCGCAAACAACGCCAACGAGGAGGAGATTGGGCGTCTCAAGAGTCAGCTGGAGGATAGGGACAGCCAATTAAAAGAGCAGGCTAGCACCCTGGCTGAGATGGAGAGCAGCTTGGTTGAGCTGCAGTCCCTGATCGATCAGTCGGACGGCGGCCCCAGACACGCACGGAATAGTTTGGATGACAAGGACTCTACCCAGCTACGCCTAATACTACGCGAGAAGACGGAAAAGATTGCTATGCTCACAGCAGAGTTCGATTCTCATCGCGCCGATTTCCGCAGCACAATTGATACACTGGAACTTGCTAGTACGGAGACGGAGCGTGTGTATGAGAAACGCATGGAGGAGCTCATGGCGGACATTAGAGAGCTTGAATCGAGGAACGTCGACGTAGATTCTGTCGCCAATCAACTCAAGCAACTGGAAGAGCTGGTCCAAGAACTCGAAGAGGGCCTCGAAGATGCGCGTCGCGGAGAAGCCGAAGCCAGGGGTGAAGCCGAATTTCTACGAGGCGAGGTTGAGAGAACAAGGTCGGAACTTCGACGCGAACGTGACAAATCAGGCTCGCCAGGAGGGCAGGTCAATGGCGGCAGCGATTCTACCCTTTCCAAAGAGCTGGAACAAAAGGAGGATGAAATTCGTGGTCTCAAGGCTATTATCCACTCACTCAGTCGCGATTCAGTTCCCGGCGAAGATGGGCATACCCCAACGCTGCGAGATTCTTTCAACGATCAACCGGCTCCTACAGCCAACGGGGCGGGCCGCGATCATTCGGAGCGTCGTGTGGTCGAACTGCAGGCGCTTCTCGATAAGAAAAATAGCCGGCAAGAGGAACTTGAGCAAGAGTTGGAGTATCTCCGCCGTGGCACCGGTACAGACCAAGGTCAAACCGGGTACCAACATCATAGATCTTCGTTGAGGGATTCCCGCGATACCGTAATCCCGACACGCGCGGAGCCTCGGTCGCCGGAAGCCGCAACGCACCGCCGCGGCAACACGCTGGATACTATGCCGGAGAGTGACACATATTCCTCGGAGACTAGCGCACTCTGGTGCGAAATTTGCGAAACTAGCGGGCACGACATTCTCACCTGCACCAATATGTTTGGACCGGAAGGCGTCAAGAGCGTCTCTAATGCAGGTGACGGCAACAGCAAAGCCGGAGATCGCGATACACTCAAGGCGCCGCCGACTTCGCAGTTTACAAATGGCGGTACAAACGGTGCTGATGATGCTGCCCGTCCCGCTCCCCTCACCACAGTCCGGTCAAAGCAAGCCACACAGCCAACACCACCCATCAAGATCATGCCGAACCCAATGGAGTCTGGCCCTGTAGCAGGCAAAGAGAGTGGCATCATGGATCCGGAGAAGTGGTGTGCCGTCTGCGAACGCGACGGCCACGACAGCGTCGACTGTCCTTTTGAAGATGCGTTTTGACGGAGTTTACGTATGAGAAACATGAACAAAGATGCGGTCGAGGCTGCGTATCGAGCTAGTGGTGGCGAAATGCTTCGTCACCGTTGGCATTACCAACAGCAGTGTAATTTGGCTGAATTGACTACGAATTTTCTTGCCTTGTCGATAATGGGCCTTTGGAGCAAGATACCCCTTTCTTTAGAACAAATTAATGCTGCTCCCTGTCTACCCAACTTTCTTGTCATTCGCGTAGGGCAGATTTCAACTTAACTTGGCCTTTTGCTTTTGTTGCGAGGTGCAACTTGCTGGCCAGAGGTGATACAGATACCGTAATAGCGAACACGCCACACATTTCTAGTGGCCAACATACTGAAAGTCAGACCTCCAATACTTCGCCAACACTCAAGAGACTGCATCTTCCAGATGTCAGGCAGAGGCAACTAAGCGCATCCAAAAGCTGGCCAGCGACGAAAAGAGGAAGGACTATAGAATGAACGTTCTCGAAAGAATTAACAAATATATAACATCAAGCCTTGCGCAGTTGGTGACCGGCGTGATACAATGGCGGCGGACCCCACGCATTCCAAGGCTGGCGATTTGGATGATGAAATACAGTATCTTTATGATGCCCTGAAGTAATATCGTCATTGTCATTTAGATCAGATTTGTGGTGAAATTATCTCACATATTCGGCTCAACGGCTACCGAGATTTCAAGACTCCAGGTAGCTCAGTCGATTTCGTCATGAATACTTCATAAGAATTCGGCGTTCTCTTCCTCGGCCACCCACATACCCACCGAAGCCATTGGCAAGAGGCCAGCATCCAGATTTGCAATCAAGGCGCCCACTCTCCTGAAGCTGGCGAGAAGTAAGATATCCTTCGACAAATATGCTCACAGGCGCTCATGGGCGACGCAACGCTGACTCGTGGGCATAAAAGATGCACTGACAAAAGTAAAACGGAGCGAGGCGATGCGCCAAGAGAGCACCGCTGGATTCCGTACGAAACGTTTTGTTAACAAATCAGCCGTCGTGATCAGGACTTACTCTGCCTATCTGCATATGAGGGCAAGCTCACGCACCGCAAGCGGGCCTATATGAACCGACAATGGCTCGGAGACCAATAGCCATTGTCATTGGCCAGGCTCCTTTCTAGCTCGAACACTTCTCTATCCGACAAGTCCAAAGCAATATTTTCGGTGTTGACTGCGAAAACTACATGGCAATTTTACAATTCTGACCTGATATCTCAGGGCTTGTCAGGCGATAACCTATACTTGATGTATGAATCGCACTCTGGTATCTCGGGTGCGTTCGTCAACGAGCCTTTGCTACGGGCTCAATACACTGACGAAGTCATGGTTCAGCCGGAGCGTCAAATGATTCATGACATGCCTCAGATCTTTGCTCTTGGTATATTACTCCTTGAACTGGAAACTAGAAAAACGATGGCGATGCATCGAACTAATCCAAGACTGTGTCCCTCTGGTCCTGTCGGAATAAACACAAACTATAGGATATATTAACTAGATTCAAACTAGTAATTTATACACTAATCCATATACTAATTTATATAGAACTTCTTATTATAGAGCTATTATACTAAGAATATTAATATATGAGGAGTCTAAAATTAGTGTATTTGTCCTAAGTATACTAGGTAGTTATTAAGATATAAGGGACTTTGTTTACTCTGGACTCTGGTTTCTAAGGCTTTAATTGGCTGCTTAGGACCCACGGAGTACTGCAAGTTAACCTACTTGCCAACCGCCCGTGGAACTTGGCCAAAGGCCAAATACGCCGCTCCGATAGGCTGACCCATCGCACCGCCACAGGGTCGACATTCTTCGAAACCATTCCATGGGGCGCACGGAGCAACGCTGACGGCGTTCGCCCCAGGTATTGAGAGTACCTAACCACCGATCCCGCAAACCCTTCGTTTTTTAATTGTTCATCACCCTTGTTCTTATTCCATCTTTCTCTCTTCTCTTTCGTGCGCCTTCTCCGAACAAGATCGAGAATTACATCTTCGTACCCCAACACGCGTATCTTCCTCCCGTCTCCCGTCCAGCTCACGATTTGCGGTCTTCGCTTGGCGTCTCCTCCGCGAATCTCGCGAGACCAAACGCCCAACGCGAATCTCGTGATACCGAACACATAATCGCAAAAGATCTCTAGCGCCACCGATCCCTGGGCATTCGAAGGCTGCATCGTCCTTCCTCGACTCATCGTCGCTCTACGCGATCCTATCTTTGCCCAGGTAAGCCGCAGTTGCCCGAGGCTGCGAAACCCTGCTCGCAATATTTACGACCCCCTCCTTCGTCGCTTTTCCGTCGCCTTTTCTTCCCATATTCCCCATTCTAGCTACGATAAAGCTAGAAGCTAGATACTGCGTTCCAAGTCACTGCGTCTGTTTCCACTGGCACCACCTTCATTCGTGCCTAGGTACTTCTCTCTCGCATCAATCCGTCTCCCAATGCTCGATTGCATTCTTTTCACGTCGGCCCACAGCAGTGCGCAACACAACTTGGCAGATTTCGCGACTGACTTATGCGAACAACAGTAACCCTGCTCGCAGTTTCGCCCAGGAAGAACTGCCAGAGACTGATTTTGCTCCACAAACACGCTTGAGTTTCAGTTACCGAACGACAGTCTGCGCTGCAAATATCACAATGGTGGCGGAGACTAAATACTACGATATCCTCGGCGTACGCTTCGTCAACCCTAGCCCTACTATTGTACCCTTACTAACGGTCTAATAGGTCACTCCGACTGCCACCGACGCCGAACTGAAGAAGGCATACAAGATCGGCGCGCTTCAGTTCCACCCGGGTACGTCCAAACAGCCCTCCGCGATGACAGTAAATTGACAAGACTGACATGCGAGCAGATAAGAACGCCAACAATCCCGAAGCCGAGGAGAAGTTCAAAGTAATTTCCCACGCTTATGAAGTCCTTTCCGATAGCCAGAAACGACACATCTATGACCAGTATGGTGAGGCTGGCCTCGAGGGTGGTGCCGGCGGCGGCGGCGGCATGGACGCCGAGGAATTTATGGCTAGCATGTTCTCCGGAAATGGCTTTGCAAGCTTCGGTAATATGTTCTCTGGTGGCATGGGCGCCGGCATGGGCCGCAACAGAGGCGCCGCCCGTAAGGCTCGCACCATTGCTCATACGCATATGGTCTCGCTCGAGGACATATACCGCGGCAAGATCTCAAAGCTGGCGCTTCAGCGCTCTATCATCTGCTCCAAGTGCGAGGGCCGTGGTTGCAAGGCGGGTGCCGCCAAGCACTGCCCAGGCTGCAATGGTCAGGGGACCAAAATATATGAGCGCAACTTTGGCGGACGATTTCAGGTTACCTGCGCTGACTGCAAAGGAGAAGGTGAGATCATAAAGGACAGAGATCGCTGCAAGCAGTGCCAGGGCAAGAAGACTGTTGTTGATCGCAAGGTTCTGCATGTCCACGTCGATAAGGGTGTCCGCAGCGGCACCAGGGTCGAATTTCGCGGCGACGGTGATCAGGCGCCCGGCTACCAGGCGGGTGACGTTCTCTTCGAAATTCAAGAAAAGCCCCATCCTCGCTTCAGGCGCATAGACGACCACCTTTTCTACAACTGCAAAATTGATCTCGTCACTGCCCTTGCCGGTGGTACTATCTACGTTGAGCACTTAGACGATCGTTGGCTGAGCGTCGATATCCTCCCGGGCGAGGCCATTACCACAGGTACGCTGAAACCATGCCTTTGAGGATTATTGAATCAAGACTGACTGGCAAAAGGCTCCATGAGAATTGTAGCCGGCGAGGGTATGCCTTCCCACCGCCATCACGATCACGGCGACTTGTACATCAATTTCGAAGTCACTATGCCGGAGAAGGACTGGACACAAAACCCCGAGGCTTTTGAGGCCCTTCGCAAATTCCTTCCTTCACCCGCTGTGCAGAACGTTCCTCCGGCCGAGTCAATGACCGAGCCATACGATCTCGATGAAGTCGAGCCAGAGATGCAGGCCGCTATCCAAGAACACGTCGCGGAACTAAAGAGAGCTGAGCAAGAAAAGTCCAGCAGACAGCAACACGGGTCTGCTGGTGGTGCAACTGCTGAGGGCGTGCAGTGCGCGACGCAGTAAAGCGTCGACTGGTATGTACTCGCGCTTACGGGATCGGATGGCAAGAGCTGTTTGGAAAGTCGCGTTCTTGCTGGAGATACCAGGCGACGCCAGGGTAGTTCCAGACGACCCTTGCGGCATAAGGGTATTCTGAGCGTTACAGGTCATCTTGCTATTTTTTGGGGGGGATAAGAGAGGGGATGGGTGGGCAGTGTGTCGTGGGGAAGCATAATTCTTTTGATAGTTGTCGTCGCGTCATCAAGTCCTCTCAGTTCAGAAAGGGGGGGGATAATGACGGTAAATGGGGGACAGGAATACCAGGCAGGACCGGAGTGAGGGCCGTTTCACTTCCCAATTTCATTAGGAGCTACGAAGGCAATGGAGAGAAGACTGACAAGACCGGCTGGCGCTTTGCTTTACAGATCGTGGGGATGTATACTTTTCTTCTCGGCCAGACTTCTTTTTTCAATTTTTTTTCGCTACCATTAGACCATGATTACAATCACTCTAGACTAGTGTTGTTGTCTTTCTTTATACAGTGCTGCATCTAGTATATTCCGTCGCTAGTATCGCTATTCTTCAGCAACGGTTCCTTCCTGTTGCTCTCCCTCGACCTCCTCCAGACCGCCGCCCACCGGCTGCTTGCGCAGGTGCGCCACTGTGTAGAATAGCATGTGGACATCTACTTCGGCGACAGTTTGCTCCTGAACCTCCTGAGACTCGTCATGTACGGGCGCAACGGTGTCGACCGTGAGACGACCGTCGTCATTCATGAGGCGAATGATGTGGAGGCTCTGCGCACCGCAAGCCTCTGAACGCTCGGGAATATGCAGCGCAATAGCGAGGCTCGCGGCGTCGCTAGTCATGCTGGTGGCGATATCCAGGGGCTTACCAGGGAGTTGGATGATGCCTGATCTGGTCAAGGTGTTGTCATGGAGAAGCTGCCATGTGAAAACGGCAGAGATGCTGCAAGATATGAGAGTCAGTACCTATCACAATAAAGCAACGTTCAGTGCCAAGTCTTGCTTACCCTTCGCAGATTGCAACAATGAAGGTCTGTGTACCTTGCTCGCAAGGGTGCTCGAGAGCAAGGAGTTTGGAAACAGCGACACTGCTTGCCTGTGGGGTAACTTCGTGGGCGGGCATTAGGATGCTCGTCCTCGACAGAAGCTTGCCATGGATCCAGTCCCAGACGAACAAGTCCTCATCACCGCCTCCAGAGACAAGAACCGCCCCGCGCCCAGCCGGAATCACCATGGCCCCGACAAACTCCCTGTGGCCCAGGCAGTACCCGTGAATGACGTGCGCCTGGGGCATGTACCGTGACACGCGAATGTGCTCGTCGCGATCGCCCGTGAGCACGTACCGCCGGCGCTGCACATCCTCGCCCAGGAGAAGTGTCGTCAGCATGGAGACATGCCCCAGCAGCAGCGTGTGCTCAAAGTCCGGGCCTTCGGCTCTGACATGGTCTGCGGGGTTAATTGGGTTCGCGAGCTGCCGCTGCTGCGCGGCGAGCGCGGCGCGGTTACCCTTGGAGTGCACGGTGAGGACGGTGGCGGCGGGTTTGGAAAACGGCTTTGAAGAGCCGGAGGAGGAGGAGGTGGCGTTTTGCGGTGGCACGTAGGGCTCGGTGCTCTTGAGGAGGGGGATGGCGTAGACGTCGCCGAACTTGTCGGCGACGATGATCTGAGAGTCTGGCGACACTGTTATGGAGGAGGGCCGCTTTGGCATAACTCTACGATGGAGCGATTGTTAGCGAGGTCTTTCGATACGAGTTTTACTCTAAATTAGGTATACCTTTTGCTGAGCTGTGAGAGTTGGCCGTTGCCATCGTGTGTAAAGACCCAAACTGCCTTATCATGGCCCGACACGGCAACCAGGTGGCTTCCGTTGCCGGTGGTTGTCAATTGGATGATGACGGGACGGTCAGGCACCAGGGTCAACTTCGGCTTTCCCTGACCCTTGGCCCGGCGCTTTTTCCTTTTGGTGCCGGTCTTGTCCTCGTCTTCGTTGTCTGGTTGCTCGCCCTCGGTCACTTTTTGGCGCTTCGCAGGAGGCTGTCCGGCCTCGTCCGCCATGACGGAGTCGTCTGCGTCTTCGGGCAAGCTTTCAGCGGCTACGGACGCTTTCAGATCTGCCGCCAAGTATGTCTCCAGATCGGGGTGTTTCCATGTTGCGATGTGAGCGCCGTCGGCAAGGCGAAAGGTGTGAATCTTTCCGCCTCGGGTGGCAAATAGGACATTGCCGTAGGTGTAAAGACAATTGTATGGGATCTTCATCTGAGGCATGTTTTTTATAGCTTAGCGGACAGCCTCGTCTACAAACAAGTGCACGCAAGGCAGTGAGCTGCTCAATTTTTCGTATAAGAGCCAGGCCGGAAAAACGAGGCTTCACTCTAAGCAAAGCTACATTGGCAATGTACCATTTCCGACACTTTAAAAAGGTACGTACCTTTTGCTCCCGTACTAGTCCGAAAGTAGATGCTGATCTACTGTAAAGTACTCGCTCGGCAAGCCCTAGATAGGAGGCAAAGCGTTAAGTGGGGCGAGCACACAATCTCGCTAAGCGGTGTCTATTGGCGCAAAAGAATTAGTGGCCGCAAGGAAAAACTATTGTGAGAGCGCGCGATGGTTGACGGCTCTTCTCCTGCACAACGTTAAACAACCACCACCATCACCTAATTACTTCAATTACCTTTTGCCCTTAAATAACCTGCCTTTAACAAGAAGTCATGGGGGGCAAGACTGCAAACAAAGCCGGCTACTTCGACAAGCTCAAGGGCTTGCTCGAGGAGTACAAGTCGATCTTCATCGTCGAGATTGACAATGTCACGTCTCAGCAGATGCACGAGATTCGCCACTCGCTTCGCGGCAAGGCTGTTGTGCTGATGGGCAAGAACACCATGGTATGCTGTCAATCCACTCGGCGCGCACGCGCAACCTCGCTAACACTTCATCTTTAGGTTCGCCGTGCCCTCAAGGGTTTCATCAGCGACACCCCCGAGTACGAGCGTCTCCTGCCCTTTGTCAAGGGCAACGTCGGTTTCGTCTTCACCAACGAGGACCTCAAGGAGATCCGCGACCTCGTTCTGGCCAACCGCGTCGCCGCGCCCGCCCGTGCTGGTGCCGTCGCTCCCCTCGATGTCTGGGTCCCCGCCGGCAACACCGGCATGGAGCCCGGCAAGACCTCGTTCTTCCAGGCCCTCAACGTGCCCACCAAGATTGCCCGTGGTACCATTGAGATTACGACCGATCTCAAGCTCATTGAGAAGGGCCTCAAGGTCGGCCCCTCCGAGGCCACCCTGCTCAACATGCTCAACATCTCGCCCTTCACTTTCGGTATGGGTGTCGCTCAGGTCTACGACGAGGGCCAGTGCTTCGACCCCAGCGTGCTCGACATTGAGGAGGAGCAGCTCCTCAAGAGCCTGAGCAGCTGCATCAGCTCCATTGCCTGCATCTCGCTCGCCATTAACTTCCCCACCCTCCCTTCGGTTATGCACTCCCTTGTCAACTCGTACAAGAATGTTCTTGCTGTTGCCATTGAGACGGAGATTACCTGGCCCGAGATTGAGCAGCTCAAGGACCGCATCGCCAACCCCGATGCCTACGCCTCTGCTGCGCCGGCCGCGGCCGCTGCCACTACCACTGAGGCTACCAAGGAGGTTGAGAAGGAAGAGTCCGAGGCTGAGGACTCTGACGCCGATTTCGGTGGTCTCTTGTACGTGTGCCTGAAAGAGCTTTTTATAGATTTCTCGCTAACCCAATTTTTAGTGACTAATTGCGGTCACTTGATCACGACGAATGACAGACTTGCAGGGCTTTTGGTTGGGATCACACCATGGAGATCAACAGTATCGAGCACATATTTCACCGCCAGCTGTAGAAATTGCTGTCGGCACGATGGTATGATTGACACGAAACAAAACAATCAAAAAATCGAAGTCGGTTTCTCGAAAGGACCTGTCCTATTTCGCCATTTTGCCGTGAGTGCATGTTGAACCTACCCGGGTGGCGACAGTACTCTCTCCTAAAGGTTAGTTTGCTATTTTCTTTATCAAAAACCTGGAAACCAAGCCCCCCATCGGAAAGATTATGCAAATGTTCAAGAGCTTTTTAACCCTGAATCTTCTGTTGACACACACACACACCCTATGACCGACTACTCACTCTTTTCACCTATTTTATTACCTATTTTACAAAGGGTATCATCGCTAACTGCTTGAAGAATAGTGTACACATTGATTGCCCAGTCCAGCCCCCCATTGCATCCCGATTTCTACCCGAACACTGCGCATGCCCAGTTAATGCGCGTAAATCTTTTGTAAAACCCTTTCTGCCATTCGTAGGGCCACTTCTGGCAGTCCAGCTCGTCTCGCCGCCTTTAGTGCATGACTATTGCGATTGATGCCCTTTCGCAGTCGGTGAACGTAGACAAAGCCGCCATCCGCATCCTCTTCAATGTCTGTGCAATACAGCTGCACTGCGCCGTGGTTGGGATCGCACAGTCCATCGGCCGCCGCAAGATCTGCGATGGCATGAAAGTGTGTCGCAAACAGTGTGCGGCACTGATTGACGGTGACAAGATGGTGCAAGCAGGCATATGATACTGCCGCGCCGTCCTCTGGCGTCGTGCCGCGACCTATTTCGTCCATGATGACAAAGGAGCTGGGTGTCGCGTGTTTCAGGATGTGGGCCGTCTCAAGCATCTCGACCATGAATGTGCTCTGATCGCGGTACAAGTTGTCGGCAGAGCCGACGCGGCTGAAGATGGCGTCGACAATGCCGAGCTCGGCGTAGGATGCTGGCACATAGCACCCAATCTGCGCCAAGATGGTAATGAGTGCATTCTGGCGCAGGAAGGTGCTTTTGCCAGCCATGTTTGGTCCGGTGATGAGCCAGAGGGAGCCGGCGGTGCGATTGCCGACCAGACAGTCGTTTTCAACGAAGCTCCGGCCCTGCTCGACGAGTCCGCCCTCGACGGTGGGATGTCTACCGCCAATGATGGTGTGTGCTGTAGAATTGTTGAGTACAGGACGCAACAGGCCTCGCTCGGAGGCTAGTCGAGCAAAGGAGGTGGCAATGTCGAGTTCGTCAAGGACAGCGGCATTGCGGCGCAGGTTGACGAGGTTGACGACGACGTACTCCCTCAATGACTGGAAGACGCGCTGCTCCTCGCGGCGGATCTGGAAGCGTGCGTGGTCGAGGCGCTGGCCGAGGGCTGTCCATTCAGGCAGGTGAAAAGAGCGCGTCGAGCGACTCGAGGACAATGCGCGGATGTCGGTCATGTTCTTGGCGTCTTTGCCCTTGATGTGCGCAATGTGGCCCAGACCAGGTGTCCATTTCAGAGAAAGGCTTGGTGCGCCAAGACGGTCACGAAGGGCCTCGCTGAGAGACTCGCGTTCTTCCAAAAGTGAGGCAAGCTGCTCGTGTAGGATTTTGAGGGCCGGGCTTGCTTCGGGCTTCATGATCCATGTGTCATTGTCTTCGGCGTAGTACTCCCTGATACTCGTGGGTCGTTTCTTGGTGCTCTTGGGCAGCGAGGAAGCATCTTCGACGGAGCCTTGCATGGCCACGATACCTTCTGCGAGGGCCATCATGTGGCTGGCTTCTGACTCTGCAGCCTCATGCTGCAGCTCGACGCCGTCCTCGTCAATGGCGTCGGTGATGCGACGGGCTAGGGTCCGAGGCTCTTGGAGACGGATGCGCTTTGTGAGAGTAGCTAAACACCGTGATGAAGTCTCTGCGGTCGCTTTCTCCAGAAGATGGACAATGTCTGCGGTCGCTTGGATTGTACTCGCGAGATGAATGAGGTCGTCGGCGTCGCCCCGACCAAGGGCAAACTTTTGCACCAGTCGCTGTGAGTCGTGACTGCGTCGGAGTAACGTGACGATGAGGTCGCAGAGGTCGGGTGATTCAAAGAAGCGAGCAACCAAATCTTGTCGACCAGTTATAACGTCGACGGAAGTAGATGGCGCACTGAGCCATTCGTTGAGCAATCGCGAGCCACTCTTGGTGACGGTGCGGCGGATGGCATGCAGCAGGCTGCCGCGAAAGAAGCCGTCGCGACTGGTCTGCTTGACCTCTAAAGCGCGCAAGCTGTTTTTATCGATCATCATGATTTGCATGTTCTCATGGCGTAGGGGCGGTTGCAGCTTCATGCTCATGCCTTGCAGCCTGTCTTTGACATAGTTGAGTACCAAGTGCCCGGCACTGATTTCGTGTGGAGTGAAGCTCTCAAGGGCTGACGGTGGAATGTCAGATTCAAGCATGCTGCTCCAGTCGGAGATGTGGGAGAATTGGCCGGCAGGGGTGTATGTGATGAGATGTCTGTCTTCTGCGAGGATGGAGAAGAGGTCGTGCTCTGTTTGGGACTGCAGGTCCTGGTGCAGGACAATTTCGCGCGGGGCGATGCGAGACAGGACCGAGCCAAGTGATGCCAGTTCCGTCTGCTGGGTAAAGAAGTTGCCGGTGGAAAGATCCAACCAGGCCAGGCCAAGGGGGATACTATCATGAGATGCAGGATCAGAAGCCATCTGGTTGGGCACGTGGATGGCCATGACATAATTGTTGGCATAGGGATCGATGAAATTCTCGTCGATGAGAGTTCCAGGCGTAATGATGCGGGCAACTTTTCTGTCATGCAAAAGACCTCCAGATTTGATTCTTTCTTCCGGATTGTGGGGGAATTCCTCAGCCACGGCAACATATCTATTTAGGTCTTGAACCAGGATCTTGAGGTAACGGTCCAGCTGGAAGAATGGGAAGCCAGCCTGGGCCATGTAAGTATTGATCCTTGATTTCTTTGATTCGCGGAAAGGGGAGGAAAAAAATTGGAATTTACCATGGCAACTGGGCCAGCACTCGTTTTTTTGGAAGCCAGCTTCAGGTTGAGCAGGGGCGCATACTCGTCGGCATGTTCAAAGTAGAGCTCGTAGAAGCCACCAACACGGGTCAAGAGGACGCAATTTTCGAACTTATCCATGTTGCGACGTGCCTGCTGCACTACAGTAGGATACACGGCGGCAATCTTGTCTTCCTCTACCGGGGGAGACTCTGCCTGTAGAGAGCCCTGCGGCAGGTCTGACAGCTGCATCGTGGTCCTGGTTTTCTTTCCCCGAACATGGTTCGCCGCAGGCAAGCTTGGGGGCCAGCAGCAGGAAAGCTGGATGCAGGTGAGGCATCTGGGCGCTATGACGCGTGGTCGATGACTTGCCAGACTGTGTATAGCGTGGCTAGTACGTCTGCGAAGCATGGGAGCGATGAATATAGGTGTGCGTTGGAGATGCGTGGGATGGGTTGGGTTCCAGTGGCCTACTGTAGGTAGGTAGGGTTACGAGTTGAGGGGTGGCCAGTGCTGCTGTGGTAGCCCGCTGCCCGCCGCTACCATCTGACTTCTGACAAGGGATAGGTAACAACTACAAGCATTACAGTAAATCTACAAATTATTGTGCCGAGCATTGGCATTAGGTAGGTACTCTTCCACTGCTTGAATTGTTGTTCAGCAAAGGCCTCACTCGAATAGCCGAATATCGAGTAGTACTTATCCCTATCGTGGTTTCTTCACTGGCCTCCCGCTTGTGCTTCAGCGGGAGGTGCAACAGAGACAGATAGGCTCACCTGCCGCGCCTAGTTATCCTTCACACGCAGACTTGCCATTTCATGACGCGGGAGAGCAGTCACAAATCCTGAACAGCACATCATCTCCTCTACGGCACGTCTTGGCCCTTGGTATCTCATTATCCTTTATTTGACGTGTTATTTCTCTCTTCTTTTTTATAGCTCTGCCATGGTCAAGCTGTCGTCCATTAGTACTATCCACAACAGTGATTACCGACTTACACCCTAGGTACTACTTACCTACCCGCTACCATACCTCGAGGCGACGACTTGCATCAACAGCTGAATATCGCTCTTCTTTGACGTTCCCGGAATACCTTTTCTTTCAAAATGGCGACCACCAATTTGCCTGACCGGCTCGCGATGAGGTAGGTTCAGAAACAGTCTGTTACCTTGGCCATCTTCCTCGTCACCGTCGCTCCTACATACCTACCCTACATAGGTAGGTACCTACCTAAGCGCCGCACCCGACCACCCCGGCACCCCAAGTCTACGCCACCGCCGGCGAAAACAAGCCCAGAAGAATTCCTGGCGACCTAGCCAGAGAAGCCTCTAGGTTTTTGGTCTGCCCACGAAGCAAACTCTCTCCTTCTCCAGTCCACTTGGGATGCAACGACCTCAAAAGGCTGTCGCAGGCAATACCGACCTGCCCGAACCAGCGACTTGCCCCCACCCAGTCTCCAACCTCGCATGGCGCTAGACATGGCACTACAATATGCTCCGAATGCCCTGAAGCCACCTATCCCGACGGCTGTAGTGGCTTACCGTGACAGACACCACCACCAGCCCCCCACTGTACCTCTCGGTCTAGTGGCGCCCATGTCTCGTTTCCCCAGCTTCTTCCCCTCCACAAATCGTCACAAGGTCCTTATTATGCCCATCTCTTCTTCCTCTTCTTCTTCCTTGTCTTTTCTTTTTCCAACCTTCCTCCTTTGGTTTCTCAAGGCCGGCATCCTGATGTGAGGTTGAGACACCCTCTTCCATAGTATTCCCCAATCTTTTATGGCCTTGCGCTTTTGATATATTACTTACCGCAACTTCTGATTGCGCAGTCCAAACGCAGCTTTCACTACAGCGCTACCCGCCGACTGCCCGCGCCATTCTACTGTTGCCGGCCTTTCTCATCCGCTTCCGCCACGACTTCGTCGCTTCTCCAACCGATCCGCTCCTCCTGCACCCGGCCACGATTTCCAAGTCGATACTATGGGTGGCGGCCACGATCACAAGAGCAGGGGTGCCTACCCCGTCTACGCCGACAAGCCCGTCGGCGTGGCCAAGACGAGCATTCTCCAGGGTCGCATCGAGCCCTTCTACAAACCTGGCCAATATGAAAAGGTCAATTTGTTGGCGTGCGTTATTCCCTGCTGTCTTGAATAGATAACCTGCTGACACTGACCAGAAACATGTACAATGCCCGGTACTCGGGCGAGCCCAACATCAAGCTCGCCGTTTGGGCTGCTCCCGGCCAGGACCGTCCCTCATTCCAGGAGGCCGTTTCACACGAGTTCAAGAAAGCTCATATTGGTGACGCTTTTGGACCCTCATGGACTACCCACTGGTTTCACGTCACAATCACGATCCCCAAGGACCTCGTTGACGAGGAGTTTGTCATTCTCGAATGGGATGCCAACAATGAGGGCATGGTCTGGACCGACGACGGCATGCCCCTACAAGGCCTCACTGGAAACGGTGACCGCATCGAGTGGGTTATTCCCGACCATTTCCGCGACGGCAAAGAACATGTCATTTACATTGAGATGGCCTGCAACGGTATGTTTGGCAATGCTCCCGACGGCACCACCGACAACACCCCTCCCGATCCCAACAGATATTTTCACATCTCCAAGGCGAGTATTGCCGCCGTCAACTACCAGGCCCGCATGCTTCTCTTTGACATCTGGCAGATCGGCGATGCGGCCCGCGAGCTTCCCGAGGACTCGGCCGAGCAGAACAAGGCCTTGGCTGTCGCCATGAGGATTATTGACACTTTTCAGGTCGACAACCAAGACTCTATTCTCAGGTGCCGCAAAATTGCCCAAGAGATTATTGGTCCCGACGTCGACTCTCACCGTGTTTACGAGGTGGGCAAGGACCCTACCGTCTTCGGCATCGGCCACTGCCACATTGACAGCTGCTGGCTCTGGACCTTTGACGAGACCAAGCGCAAGGTCGCCCGCTCTTGGTCTAGCCAGTGTGATCTCATGGACCGCTACCCCGAAGCCCACTTTGCCTGTTCCCAAGCTCAGCAGTACAAGTGGCTCAAGACGCTCTATCCTCGTGCCTTCGAGCGCGTCAAGGCCAAGGTCAGAGAGGGCCAATTCCATCCCATTGGTGGTAGCTGGGTTGAGCACGACACCAACATGCCCAGCGGCGAGTCACTTGTTCGTCAGTTCTTTTACGGCCAACGCTTCTTTGAAGCCGAGTTTGGCTCCCGTAGCCGCACCTTTTGGCTCCCCGACACCTTTGGCTACTCCAGCCAGCTGCCTCAGCTTTGCCGTCTTGCCGGCATGGACCGCTTCATGACCCAGAAGCTGAGCTGGAATAACATCAACAACTTCCCTCACACCACCTTCATGTGGGTCAGCCCAGATGGCAGCCAAGTCATTTGTCACATGCCTCCCTCTGAGACGTACACCTCCGAGGCCACCTTGGGCGATATTCGCAAGAGTATCACCAACCACAAGACGATGCGTACCGACAGCTCTTCACTTCTCGTCTTCGGCAAGGGTGACGGTGGTGGCGGTCCCACATGGCAACACCTCGAAAAGCTGCGTCGCTGCGCCGGCATCAGCAACACAATCGGTGGTATCCCCAAGCTCAAGCTTGGTCTCTCGGTCGACGACTTCTTTGACCGTCTGACGTCAAAGGCCAACGCCTTCCCGACCTGGTACGGCGAATTATACTTTGAGCTCCATCGCGGCACCTACACCACCCAGGCCAACAACAAGTACTACAACAGAAAGGCCGAGGTCATGCTCCGCGACATTGAGCAGCTCGCTACGATTGCTTCTATCAAGAACAAGTCGTATAAGTATCCAACCGAGGATATCGATAACATGTGGGAGACTGTCCTGCTCTGCCAGTTCCACGACTGTCTTCCAGGCAGCTCCATTGAGATGTGCTACGACGACACCGACAAGCTCTACGCCCAAGTTTTCAAGACTGGACACACCCTCTTGAAGGAGGTTTACCAGAGCTGGAACGCATCAGACAATCGCGCATCCTCTGTTCATGAATCCGTTGTTCTCAACACTCTGCCCTGGCATCGTAAGGAAATTGTCGAGATCTCAGAGACGGAAGTGGGGGTCGCGTGCGGGGATGGACAGTTGCTTGCCGTGCGTTCCTTCAAGACTCAGGGAACCGAGCCTGCCGTGACCCTGCGCCAAGTCACCAAGGATCAGTTTGTTCTCCAGAATGAGCACTTCCGGGTTGAGGTCGAGGGCGGCTGTATCACATCTCTCCATGATCGTCTCAACGACCGTGAGATTGTCGAAAAGGGCGCCAAGGCCAACCAGTTTGTCATCTTTGATGATATCCCCATCTACTGGGAGGCTTGGGACGTCGAGGTCTACCACCTCAACACGAGGAAAAACTTGCAGTATGGCGAGACTCGCATTCACGAAGTCAAGCCTCACCGGGTGACGCTTGTGACGGATATTCAAATTAGCAAGCACAGCTTCATGAAGGCCTACATTAGCCTGTCTGCTGCGCTCAAAGGCCAGTCGTCATGGATTGAATGCTCGGCAGAGGTCGACTGGCACGAAAGCTCCAAGTTCCTTAAAGTCGAGTTCCCTGTCAATATTGTCAACAACGAAGCCTCGTACGAGACGGCGTACAGTATCACAAAGCGCCCCACTCACTACAACACGAGCTGGGACATGGCCAAGTTTGAGGTGTGCTGCCACAGGTTTGCTGACCTGTCGGAGCACAACTACGGTGTCTCCATTCTCAATGACAGCAAGTACGGCTTCGCCACAGCTGGCAAAGTGATGCGTCTTTCCCTCCTCCGCTCGCCCAAGTCGCCTGATGAGCACGCCGACATGGGCAAGCACACAATTCGCTGGGCCATCCTTCCCCACAAGGGTGGACTCTCCTCGGCCACTGTCCGAGCTGGCTATGCTTTCAACACGCCTCTCAAGGTTCTCTCGGCACCCAAGGCCATCATTGACAACCTCGGCAGCGCGCCAATCAGACTGGTTAATGTCGATGAGTCTGCTTCGCTGATTTTGGATACCATCAAGCGCGGCCACGACGACGAGGACGTGAGCCGTCGCGAAGGTCTCTGTGTCAACCCTGGGAGGAGCATCATTATAAGAGTCTACGAGTCGCTCGGCGGTCATAGTCGAGGCACGATTGAGACGAGTTTTGATGTCAAGCGCGTGTCCAAGTGCAACATTCTTGAGGACGAAGGGGACGACGTGCCGTTTAGCGGCGGCAAGTTTGCGATGAAGCTACGACCGTTTGAAGTGGCCACCTTTAAGCTTCAACTGTAGGGCGACTATGAAGTAGGGTGCGCGTGTTAGGGTGGAAGTGTGAGCCAAGGTTGTCAGGAGAGATTGCTCGAGCAATGGATGAATTGTGTGTTGTCAGTGTTAGCCTCTATCCTAGGTCGACGGAATCAAGACATGTCCCATTTCCTTCAAGGCTATTCTCTCATGAGCACATGTCAAGGCATTTCTCAAAGAACATGCTCTATCTTTGAGTCAAAATGATGAAGGCATCCCCCAAAGACTAGTCGGGCTATCCTGGATAAAGCAAAAACAAAAAGTACAGGCTGGTAATGGCCCATGTCAGGGGCTAGTATATGAATCCGAAAAGCCGGGGGAAAAAAACCAAGAAAAAACGTTGCGTGCTGTACTTGTACATGGTTGAAGAATATAGACACCCGACTTGTACATGTCAAGGGCACGGACACGTACTCATCCTCCATTACGAGTCGTAGTCTCGGCCGGCGCCAGGCAGGCTTTGAATGGCATTTTCCACCATGGTGATGAGCTGGTGAATGTCGGGACGCTCCGCCGGCTCGACCTTGAGACACTGGCGCACAATCTCGCGAATAGGTTCGCTAATAGCAGCCTCTCCGGACGACGAGCCCTCTCCGGCACCGGCGGTCGGTGGGCCGGCGGCGGCTTTTGCCTTGGCGACCTGGATACTGTTGACGCGCTTGGCGCCGTTGGGAGACTGGTCGGGGAAGCGCCAGTCGCCGCCCATGACGCAGAGCGACAGGGTGCCGCCCGTCTCGTCGGAGCGCATCTCAAAGGGCGACTTGCCGACGAGACAGGCAAAGAGCGTGCAGCCGAGGGACCATATGTCGACCTTGGTGTCGATGACGGTGCCCGTCTGCACGTCAAAGAGCTCGGGGGCGCGGTAGGGCATGGTGGAGTGCTCGGCGGCCGTTTCCTGAATCTGGAGCGCAATGGACTGCGATGTGACGGGTATGGGCGACGGCGCGACGGAGCCGAGGTCCATGAGTATAGGGTTCGAGCCCGAGTCATCTATCATGATGTTTCCTACCAGTGGTTGTTAGTGGATTTGGCACGGCTGGAAGAGGCTGGGCTGGCAGGACAAACCTGGCTTGATGTCGCGATGCGCATAGGCTTTTATCTTGCCACCCTGACCCATCTGATTTTCCGACTCCATGAGGGGTCTCTCCTGCTCCGTCTCCTCGTCTTCCTCTGTGCGTTTCGTTGAGGAGCGGCCGCCCCTCCCGCTGCTGCTATTGCTCGGGTCCGGATTCGTGTCGGCCTCGTGGCCCATTTCCATGCGCTCCGCGGGCGGGGCGTGGTAGTCGTGCATGGCGCGAAGGGCCTTGCAGACGCCGAGGAAGAGGGTCAGGAGGTGTCCTTGGGGGAACCTGGCGTGGTTGACGAGGTTGGCGTTGATCATGTCCTGGAGGTTGCCGCGGCGGTAGTAGGGCAGCAAGACGTAGACGGTCTTGGTGGCCTCGTCGGCGCCGCGCTCGGTGGCGACGGCGTGGTCGGCGGCGGGGATGATGTTGGGGACGTGGCGGAAGAGGCGGTAGGCTTCGACCTCGCGCATGGCTTGCTGTACGGACTCGGCGCCAAAGGGGCAGCGGATCTTTTTAAGGGCAAAGTGCTCCTTGGTGGACAGGTCCTCGACGAGGTAGACGTAGGAGAAGCCGCCCTTGGTTGGGAGGGGTGTTAGAATGATGCGCTGGCCTTGTCAAGTGAGGAGAGGGTGTCGCTGGCGCATGGGGAATGCGCGCACACAGGCAAGCACGGGACGGGGACTCACTTCGCCAAGCAATTGCAGAATCTTGAAGCTGCGGCTGTTGACTTTGAGCGTGGGGGAGCCCGGGAAGCAGCTCAGGCAATTGGTAAACGAGTAGACGAGGTCTTGGAGTATTTGCGCCATTGTAATGGGAATGATTTCCTTGTGGGAGCAAGTGCGGCGGAGTGTCGTATGGCGTAACTAGAGAGAACGGCAAGGTTGGGAGTTGTGACGAGCCAAGGACGACGAGGCTTCGCTGTCAGCGCATCCGGACGTGTCCGACAGAGGCGCAGGTGTACGTGCCCCAGGTCAGCTGTGGCGCTGCACGCTGGCGGAGGAGTGTGGTATGTCGTGTCTTGGCGGAGGCAGATGGGCGGGGAGAGATTGGGACGTTGACAGAGGGGTCGCGAGTTCGATAGAATGACGGTCGGGTTTGGTTATCTCGGATTGGCGGCAAGGTGGAAGATGGACAATGTTCGTTGAGCGGTTGCGTAGGTAAGTTGTTGCGTTGCGTTGCTCGTTGGCAGTTGTCTCGATCTGGAATGGTGGCTACTTGGGGCGCTGTTTAGTCAGCGTTTCGTGTGTCATCTGTTTTGACAGGACATTTTGCAACTCTTGTCGAAATTTACGGGCTAATATTACGACCATCAATCGAACAAACAGTTTACATGTAGCGGGAGACACATGTCCGAAGGCTGGGCTCCGAACTTGGAACTGCAGAGTTCAAACCCTCTTGGGCTCTACAGTGCTGGTTTGGCACCAGCTGCCGCGATGCGAACGAGTGTCATCGAAATCAATCGCTGCGTACTATTTTCTACCTACTCTGCTACATTGATCTTCTAAGTCACGCTGGAAAGCAACCATATTTCCTCCGTCTACTCCGTACGAGGCTTGTCATAATGGCAGCGCTGCACTGTCTCACACTCCATCCTCGCCGCCTCCAAGTTCCGTGGGTGTCGATGAACCTCTTCGTTTCCTCCTATTCCTCTTCTTCGCCGCCTTTGTCTTCTTTCCTCTTGTCACCCAGCCTTTCAAATAGTTCCATAATTCCCAACAAATTGCGCAGTAGCTCCCGACTAGCTTGCAGATCTTCCAGAAGTCCTGTGGTACCATCAAGGCGATCCTCCGGACGATGTCCTTCGTCATTCCCCATGCATGGACCGTCAGCAAGTTCCATACAGGCAAACCGAGAGTCAGGGAACCTCTCTTCATCGTCAACAGTAGCCGCACACGGAAGAAAAATAACCAGATGGGAACCAGAAAGAGTAAAGACAGCAGACAGATCCGGTAGCACCCCGGTCCGAAAAAGAGCAAGCAGAGAAAATGACTGACAATGCTCAAGGAAACGGCGTCGAAAATGACATCTGTGTAACCCACCAGTTAGCATAGACTTCTTCTCAGTACACAACTAGCCGCCAAAGGAAAGGAACGTACCTCTGGCAGGGCCCTGGGCTCCTTGGGAGACAGCGCTGAGACACTCATACACCACCCACAGATTGGTTACTGCTGCCCAAAGAAACGAAAATACCCGTCTTGTCAGATCCGCATCGGGACTCCATCTCCTATCCCCAGAATCGCACGCCGACGTGGTAGGCTGGGGTTGGAGCCCGCAGGTCCGCACCATCTCGAAGAGGCAGTCTCCCACGCCCGCGCCAAAGAGCCTTTGCAGCCTCGCCGCGCTCGCGTTCAGTAGCCTCCGCCCACTGCCGCGCTTCCACTGCTCCGCGCGCTTCGTCGCAGGCTCCACGCTCCAGCACATGTTGTTGACGAGGAGGTTGGTGATGTGGCGCCGCACTTCACTGCTTGGCCACTCTGCCGGAGGCGGAGAGGCTGAGAGACGTGTTGCCCATGGCATGACAATTTTGCGCCACATCGTGTAACAAAAGCTACAAGGGAAAGATATTGAAACAAAACGAGAGTGAATAGTAGGAGAACAAAGCGTGCAGAGGTGTTTGGGCGCCTTGTTCATGTCGCAGCCCTTCAAGTGTACCTCTCGGCAAGCAGGAACTACCACGACAATTCTCCCGCTGAAAGAAGGACCACGACGTCTGAGCTTGAGCTGATCCAAAATCTCCGCTTCATTTTAATGGACTCCAAAATACGCTGATGCAACTACCATCGCATTTCTTCGCATTTCCTGTTAGATGGATGGGGAGTGAATTCGCGAGCTCAAGTCAGCGAAGCAGCTTGGTATGACCAGGGAGCGTGCAGACTGGTACCGAGTGGCAAAGCATCGGCCAATTCCGCCCAGACTAATCCGAGAGAGCTTTAGAAGAGACAGAAAAAAACAGGGACGGAGGACCTTTCAAGAAGCTACATCGAAAAGCCACGAGACGAGGAGGAACAAGTGACGCGGCCGCTATAGATATCTGGAAGCACGTACGTCGATAGGTATTTCTAGCCATTGTCTGAACTTTTATTCCGAAAGAACAAAACGAAGAATAAAAGTCGTGATGGTGCAGATGGTGAGAATGGAGACAGTGGTGATGATGGCCGTGATGGCCGTGATGGCCGTGATGGTCTCTAAAATCATCTCTGTCAAAGTTTTGTCAGCTGGTGTGTAACCGAGGAAGGAACATGGGCTGTGCGCTCCTCCCCCGAGCAGCTCCCGGGTCCTCCCCGTCGTTTTGGACAGAAATGCAACCCGACATTATTCACAGAAACAAGCACAGCTACGACAAGGTGGTCATATACAAGCATGTTTTATTCTTCATCCACTTCTACTCATATCTCAAAAACGCTGCCAATTCTATGATATCTAATCGCTCATATCCCGCAGAGTAGCCCAAGTCTGTTGCTCATCTTTCTGTCAATCAGTCAAGCCTCTGCCATACCGGTTCACCGTAAAATCACCGTGCGCCCATAGACAGGAAATGGTAAAGAGAAAACAGTGAAATGAAAGCAAACCTCAACTCCTTTGCAAAGTAGAAAATCAATTGTTCTTTTCCCACTTTCCCAATACCGAAAAAATAGGCAAACATAGTCCCTGAAACGACTGCTGAGGGCATCGGAATCTTTTCCAATCAATGTGTTATACAAGCACGACTAAAAGCTCGCTGCGCAAATTAAAGAGGGGGCAGGGGTGTAGAAAATAGTATTGCTAAGACAACAAGTTTCGGAGTGCTGGGCTTGCGCTGGCACCGTCTGGTCGCGGGTCAGACCGTGCTGACATGTGATCCCGGGGAGGATGCGGTGGCATTCCATTAGGGCCGGAAGGGGGCCCAGAAGGGCTCACATGTACTGAGGAGCGATACTGGGATCGCTGCGGGTGAAGCCCGTGAGCAAAAGAGTCCCGCGGCGGTGGCAGAGGCGGGCCACCATTCAGGCCGTGCGGGGACGGATGGCCTACAAGCCCGCGATAAGATGGTACATAGGCTGAAGGCGGAGGTGGGGGTGGAGGCGGTGGTCCTCGTAAGCTATGGGGCGAGATCGGTAAGCTGTTCGAGTACATGGGCGAAGGCGAGTGCCGATGTCCCATGCCAAGTGGCGGCGGTGGTCCAGATGTTGGCGGCGGTCTAAGAGCCGAGATGGGTGGCGGCGGCACGTTGACGGGAGAACCATTCAAATGACTTGTCGGCGGCGATCGATTCGTCGATGTGTGTTGGATTGGGTTCGGAAACCATTCGTATCGTGAGGATGGAGGCGTAGAAAACGCGTGCGACGGCGGATGCGATGGCCGGGCACCTGTAACATGCGACTGCGAAATGATTGGCGCATGGATCGGATGCGGCAAAGTTGGGGGAGGCCCATTGTGATGACTGGATGGAGGTCGTGGCCATTGGCTCACAGTACGATGATCGCGATACTCGGGAACCAGTGGCGGGGGGGGCGGAGGCGGGCTACGCAGCGAAGGCATCGACGAAGGCGCCTGCGTCGGAAAAGATGGTCGCGAATCTGGCGTGGATAGTGGTGCTGGCGTGGATAGTGTTGCAGGCGTGTGATGTGGGCGGGGAGACTTGGCAAGCTTCTTGCACTTGTGGCACTGAAACTTTCTCTGCTCGACAAACTTTTGCGCCTCGGATCCAATGGCTCCATAATGACCATTAGCGAGCTGCCTTTCCTGATTTGTATCAATGGGCCACCATCGGAGAGTGACATCGACGCCACAGCTGATGCAGACCTTTTCGCCCGGCTCAGCAGCATTCGTGGCCGGGTTGCCATGTTCGCCGTTGGCCAACCCGGCAACTAGGGGAGCGCCATTGGCAGCTGTCGTAGAGGACGCTCTGTGCGTTGCAGGGAATGCAGCCCCGCCCGCCTTGGCTGCCATAGTCAACAGGTTGGCCTTGCGCACAGTTCCCGTAAGCGTCAAATCGGCCTGCTTGAAATTGTGCACGTAAAGCTGTAGTGCAGTAAGGCCGTTGTCGCCGACAATGTCATGCATCCTGTGGGTAATGATCTTGCTGGGAATATGATCCTTGCACCACAGCAAGGCTGACATGGTACCACTTTCGCCATGAATCGTCACAATGTTATGCTGGTCGCGTCGAGAGCTCTTGATCGGGGTCATGTCGAAAGCGAGGAGGTGGCCAGCTTGTCGAGCACACTCGACGTGAAACGTTGTGCGGCAGTGATGACAAGGTATGCAGGCTCCATTGCCTGCTTGATTGCAGGCATGGCAAACCTCGTCGTATCGCAGCTTGGGTATAGATGGGATGCCTTCGGATGGCTCCATTGCCTTGGAATTGCCAAACTTGACCTCCGGAGTCCAGACAGCGCAGGTCACGTGGACCCAATTGTTGTCTGCCGTTCGTTTCAGTGGCTCTCGGGGGTTTGCAGGACGATTCAGCTCTTCTTGATGCTTTCGGTAGTGCTCAACCGCCTTGCGAGCTTGTTGGACGTCTAGCCTCTCACGCTCACGGTCTTGAGGCGACATTTTCTTCTTGTGATGCGTAAGTTTGGGCTGCTCAACAAACTCATGCTCGGTATGCTCAACGGGACACAAGACACATTTGTAGCTAATCGAGACTTGCGGGTTCTTGTCGTTGGTGCACATGTCGCAAAGCCATTTGCCTTGGGTTCGGTTATCCACGATACCATAGCAGTTGCGGTGAACAGTGAGACGACACTCGCGACAAGAGACATGCTGGTCGCCAAGAGGCTCCATTGCACTGCATATGGCACAGGGCAATTTTCTGGCTTGGGGTAGCTCCATCTTGGGGGTGGCTTCATTGATCGTGTCCTTGTCCTTTTTCTTGGTCAAGCCGGCACCAGAAACGCTACCACCATCGGAAGTGGCAGGGTCGAAGTCTCTGTCGATGGGGACCTTGAGACGCTTTCTGGGAGGCTCAACGCCATTGGCGCTGGTGGTGCCACTTAGAGGGGTTGAATCACGGTCAGGCGTCATAAGGCCATGCTCCTGGGCAGCCTGGAGCTCTTTAAGAAGCTCTTCGTCCTGCTTGCGCTTGTAAGTCTTGCCATTTTGGGTGACCTTCTTGGTCACCTCGTCAATGTCCTCCCATCGGATAGCATAACGACGCCAGAGTTCGGCGCATCGTCGACAAAGAGCCACGAGCGGCAGGTTGTTTTTGTCTTTGGGTGTTGGCTTGATATCGCCACCAAGCAGACCCTGCATGGAACCAGGAGCTCTGCGCCATTGACGTGAGTTGGTCGCGACGCAAAATAGACAGACAAAGGTTCTTTTCTTTTCCGTGGCCTTGGCAGTATCGAAAGCTGAATCGTCCTCGTTGTCGGCGACCTCGTCGGCAATTTTATTGACAGGGGCTTCGGCTCTCCTTCCCTGCTTCTTTCCCTTGCGCCCCGAGTAACTGCCCCAGATTTGCTTGCCGCGATCCGACTTTTTCCACGAGTAGTAGCGACGGACAACCTGACCCGGGCTCATGGTCTTGACATGCTTCTTGACGAGAAATAGCTCGGATCCATACTTGGAAATAGCTTCCTCCCAGCGCTTTTCTTCGGCGGCGGTAAGGCGGGGTTCCTTGAAGTCAGGCATGGGTGTCTTGGCAAGCATGGCGAGAGCCTTGTCGGGATTATAATTTTGACGATAGAGGTCCGCTATAGCGACGTCCTGCAGGTTGGTACATTGCTTGGGCAGGCCGTGGCTCTTGGCCGTCTCTCTAGCCTTGTCCATGTAGGCAATGACATGCTTGGTGGATGTCTCGTCGTTTTCGGGGGGAGGAATCCAGAGCGGAGTGGCTGTGCAGTTGGGATCATCAGCGTCGTGATCCTCACCTCGAGTGGTGTAGCCAGGTGGTTCGTCCTGAACCCACAACGGTCGTTTTCCACGCATGGCCTTTTCCTCTTGGATATCCTTGTTCTTTGTGCCGCCCTTGCCGCGCTTAATCTCAAAAGGTTTGACATATTCGACAGGGCGACCTGGCCAGGGAAGGACTGTGGCCTGATTTCTGGCGCCGAGGCGGGTGCTGGCACGAGGGTATATGCGGTCGTCGAGGTCAAGGGCGTCTTCGGGCTTGCAATGGAGACCGAGGTAGCGGTAGGGCCAAAGACTAGCATGGTATATTTGCTCTGCGGTGCCTTTATGGTGGACTTTTTCGTCGTCGATCGGGGTAGTTCGGGTTGTGTTGGGGTCATGGGCGTCCTCTTCATCCTCGTCGAGAGGGTCTTCGTCGTCTTCGCCGTCGGGGACGGTGTGGCGGTTTTCTAGCTTGCGTTCTTGGGCACGACTGCAGGCACCACAAGACCAAGCAAATCCTCTCGAAGGTTTTTTTTAGGAGAGGAGGGCGAACACAATTCATGTGATATGTGAAGGTGCAAACGGCGCAATCGACAGAGTCGTTGCTAGAGCGTGAGTGTCAGTAGACATTATCAAAGACGTGGCGAGAATCAAAGGAGAGTGAGAGTGGTGATGTAGGCGGTTCTGCATGCTAGAAAAGACGGAAGGAGACTTTGTGAATGGGGATGCGTGTTTGGTGGTGATGGGATGTCGTGTAAGCAAGCATCTGGTAGTGCGTGCAGGTCCCGGTAGCGTGGACATGGTGTGCAGACGGCTGCCGTTCTTGGTATGTGGCCAGGTGGGGTCGGTAACATGGGTGGGTTCAGCGGTGGTGGATGGTGGACAGGCAGCGAATGAGAGAGCCAGACAGCCAATGGCGGGCAACTGAGAGCCACTGCGAGCCACTGGGGTGAGCCGGGCTGCCGCTGCCGCTGGTTTGTTTGGGAGAGGCCGGATTGGCGGAGGATCGAGGGTGGGGACGTGCAGGGCAGGGGAAAGGGTACTGCAGCAAGGAAAAATAGGGCCTCAGGGAAGACGAGGAACAAGGTGAGAAGGCAACCAAGAAGACGAGCAAGAGAACCCTGTCTGTACTTTTGGTGATTGTGAGGATTGTGAGGATTGTGGTGATTGTGGTGATTGTTGTGATTGTTGGTGGTGATGGCTGTGGTGATGGCTGTGGTAATGGCTGTGGTGGTGCTTGCTTGCTGTGGTGGTGCTCTGCAAGTGTGGCGCGTGTGTGTGGCATCAAATCGCTCTGGTGTGTCGGTCCTCCGTCGCCGGAAACACGCCCAAGCCCCCCATGACGCCGTCGCCGCCTCACCTCGCCTCGCCTGGCAAACCTCAACCCAACTTGGGCCGTCTGCTGGGCCACACTTTGGCTGGGCCACGCCAAACCCACCCGCTGCCACGCCACACACACCCATACCCACAACACCCACAACCAGCTTGAGCCTGCAGGTCTGCATCCGCCGCAGCACCCACACACCACGTCCCATCTAGTTCGCCCCCAGTCAAGGCGTACTCGGTAAACACAGAGACAGCGGCTCCGTGCTGGGCATGAATTTGGCCAGATCCAAGAAAAAGAAAAAAAAATCGGACACAAGCGAGGGAATAGAGCATAGACAAACAGAGGGGGAAAAAAAAAAGACATACCTTGCACAATATCCGCTGCATCGTTTGCACGATTTGACGGCGCTAGTCAGCTCCTTGCCTCGCCCCTGCTCAACCAAGACAAATTTCCACCGCTCATCCAGCACCTGCTTCACCTTGTCAGGCACATTGATAATGTGCGTCGTGGGGATGAGATCGTAGTGCTTTTGGATGTAGCGGTCATAGAGCTTCTCGTACCAGAAGCAGTCGGGCGACTTGCGATATTCTTCAAAGTCGTCAATTTCGACGCGGTGGCGGATCTGACATTTTCCGCGTAGTGCTGCCAGCGGGCTAATGTCGGAATGCATCGTGGCAATGACCAACCGCGCGTCCGACACCTTGCGCCCAATATCCTTGGGTCGGTAGAACCAGTTGATGCGCACAGCATCCACCGGCCGCGCCGGGTCGTTCTGCGCGTGCAGGAATTCCATGATGCGACCTAGATAGTATGGCTCGCCGGGCGGCTCACACACCAGGTAGACATAATCTGGGCGATGCATTAGTCATTTTGCTCTCCTCTTGCGTTGTTATTCTGGTGTCATGACAGCCACCATTTTGGCATGCTGCCACCGTGGTGTTGTGAAATTGCGCAGGGGTGGAGCCACCAAGACTTACCATTTGCTTCCAGTACCGTGCCGTCGTCGGCCACCAGGCGCCCATTCTGAGGGCGCGACTCGCAGTCCTCAAAACTAAGCATATTTGTTTCTGGCCAAATGGATGTCGCCGCGCTTTGTGCCGCGTTTGCACTGGCTACACGTCGCGCCGACTGCCCACCTGTTGTCGTTGTCGTCGCCGTCGCCGCCGCCGTCGCCACCACTTGCGCTGCAGAACCATTGACTGCCTTGCGCTTGCGCGACGCCGCAGCCGACGACGCTGCTGTTGCGCCGGCAGATGATTGCCCGTTACTGGTGGCAGCGGTATGAGCATGCGATGCCGTCATCTTGGAGTCGTCGCTGCCTGGTGCGCTGCCCGTCAGAGGCTTGCGACCCCCAGCCGCAACGCGCCCTGACGTCTCACCTCCGTTGGCGGTGGTGGTGGTCATGGTTACCAGGCGCGACGGCTTTTTGGGCGCTTCGCCCTGCATCTTGTCGTAATAGTCATAATTGTCCATTTCAATGTCCTTGTCTTCGGCATAATTAATGCGTGCGTTGCCGTTTCTGTTGCGGGAGCGTGTCCCATATGGCACGGCGCCATCAGCGCCAGCGTCCTTGTCCGCGACGGCACCAGTCAAGTTTGCCATGGCGTCTCCGCCCGTCTTGGGATCTGGATCCGAGGGCCGCGAATCCTGTACAGAAGAGAGAAAAAAAAGGTCAGCGGCCAGAGGAGAGAGTGGGCGGTGGGCGGGCGACGTGCGCTGGCAGGGGCTGGGACACGGGTGAGGTGTAGTGTGCGATGTGAGGTGTGCAGGTTTTGAGTGAGACGTGATATAAGAGGGCGATGGGGAGGTGAAGGGGGGAAACAAAGGTGAAAAGAAGATTGGGGGCGAAGAAAGCAAAAATACGGCCGTCTAAACGAGGGGAAAGCTTACACTTTGCTGGGCCATGGTGGCACCACGCATTCAGCGTCGAGGCCGCGATGAGATGAGGCAGACGTCGTGTGAATGGCATGCCCCAGGTAACCAAGCACGAGGAGGGAGCGTCCAAAGCGAGACGCGTGGTATCAAGATGAAATTAGGCAGGCTTGACGGGAGGCCGAAAAAGAGGAATGCGGGATGGCAAAGAAGTAGGGCAGCGGGCTGGGTGCAAAAGCAGAAAGGTGAGGTTGCAAGATGGATCAGGGAAGAGAGGGAGAAGGTTTGGAGACGGAAGAAGGCGTGGATGTGAGTGAAAGATGCCCCTGCTGGTGCCGACAAGAAGAAACGTCCCCGAGGCGGCGGCGGCGGGCCCTTGGTCTTCGTCTCTCTCTCTGTGGTGCTTGCTGGCTTGCCTTGCCCCCCCAGATGGGGCCAGGCCAGGACAAGGCAAGACACGTCCAGACAGGGCAAAGAGTGCTCTCTGTATGTACTAGGTAGTTAGAGTGTATCCTAGCTTGGCTGGCTTTGGTTCGATCAAGTGCCTACCGGTGCCTTGCGCTAGATGGGCGTTCTGTGCATTCTGGTCTTGCCATGGAAGTTTGTCCTGCGCCGCTCGCCACACGCTGGAAAGTCGATACATCATGCTACTGCGCAAAACCGCCGTGATGCCTTGTACCCCTCCGCTCCTGCATCCAGATACAGGCGCATGACCCCCTGTAACCAGGCGCTATAAAATAACTCTGCGCCGGACCCGTGTCATGGGGGGGTGGCGCGCTATCTGGGAGCCCCGGTCATGTATCGCTCAAGTCACCACTAGCATCGTCGTCTGCCTCTCCCGCCGAGGTCCGACTGGATCATGCAGATCCCCGATAGCAGAAACTTTATATCGACTTGATGCACCCTTGAGCCCAAGTGTTGCTCATGAGGACCCACCGGTCCCGCTGGTCAGACACAGTTGAATGAAAGAGGGATCGTAACAACCCGACCACGAAGAACCTCTGCAACGAACGCCCTTGGCGGCGTGGCAGCCTTTCTCTCTCTCTCTCTCTCTTATTCTCTTTTTAGCTGGTCTTTTTCCTCGCTCTCCTAATTTGTATTGCGCCGTCTCCTCAACTGCTCATTAGCACCACCTCCGCGCCACCTACGCGCCGTCGTCCCAAGCCCCATCCCGCATCCGCTTCCCATTCCATTCCCAACATCCTTGCTCGTTGCTAATATTGGCTCCCGTACACGACTTGCCCTTCCATCATCCCATTATTATCCCAACCGCCGCTTTACTCCGTCAAGATCCGGTTGCCCTTTTCGAAGGCCTCGCCGTCGCCCAGATGCCTCCGTTACACTTGTTTGCTATGCGCCCCCGTTCTAACCTCTGTCAGCTCTTGGTTGACTAGCCTCGCATCGCCTCGCTCTGCTCCCACCCTTCCCTCGACACCGTCTTCCCGTCGCACACAACCGCGTAGAACTAGTTCCATAGCCTGTTTTTACCTGAGGCAGCCGGGTTGGTATCCGGTTTATCGATGCCATTCCGTGTGTCAAGGCATAAATATCTCCCATGTGTATATCCCAGTGCTATAACACGGGGTTGCCCCGAATACATGTACGCGCCGAGGCCACGATGACAGTCCAATGTCGACGCCGCCGTGCAAGTACTCGGTGCATCCTATTTACCGACAGCAAGAGACTGAACTGACGCTGGCGACGACAGCGTTTGCCATGTCGCCATCCATATATCCTCATCCGATATATTTACTTTGGCAGCCGCGCCGCCGTCGCCACGCTTGGCCACACGCTGACCACAAGCCTCTTTGACATGGCCCCCAACCTACTGCCCAGGTCATCGTCAAGGAGAAACGAGGAGCATGGCGAGGCGCACATGAGCATCATGCCGTCAGTTGCACACTGCGTCGTCCCTATGCAATGCCCTGCTATTCCCCTGCGCCTCGTCATTCTGCTCAAACAAACAGCTGCAGGCGAGGTTACACCATGTCAATTTCCGGGAGGCGTCAATCCCACACGCTGGTTTGCGAAACAGCCGTCAGCGTGGCCAGCCTTGGTCCGTCCACGCGCACTTGGGGGTGGGTGTTGTTGTGTATGACGCTTCTAGTTACATAGGCAGCCTGGGCGGCTGGGTCGCCGCCCCCGGGTTCAGAGAAAGCTCCAGAATTGGCTAAAAACAGAACAAAAGCTGCCGAGTATTGCGAGCAGGGGGGGGTGCCCTCACCACCACACCAGAAGCCCATGTTCACGACAACGCAGGCAAGCAGGCAGGCGGCACTGGATCCTGGGGCGCGGCGGGCCCCCCAAAACCCTGGAAGCTCTCCAGCGTTCGCCCGTCGTTTTTATAGTTTAGTGTTCCGATAGTAGACGTGAAGAAGATGGATTGCTAGATGCCATAGAGTTGGCGCCAGGCCGAGGCGTAAAATAGGAGTTTTTTCTCCAGCCAGAAACAGACCCGCCCGCCCACCGACATGAAAATGGCCGCTCAAAGGGAAATGCGATAACTAGACGTAAAATAGAAACTGGAGAGTACCAATACAGGCATGTGTTTCAGATACTTGATAGAGTGCAGTAACTAGGCAGGTAGTTATTTAGGGCCATCGCCCACCGAGCTGTCGTGAGGTGGTTGTCGCCTGCGTATAACCTCACGAGCCAATTTTAATTAAATAGCTTAACTACCTAGTTATCAACAAAAAGCCAGCGCGCCAGATGCCCTGTAAATTAATTAAAAAAATCATCGCCGCGTAGGTAGCCTTGGGGGTGGGCATGACGGCAGAGGGGGGTGTAGACGGTGTAGACTAGGGCAACGCCGTCCCTACCTAAGCCGCCGTCACCGCCGCAAGATGGGATTAAAAAAAAAAGGACGATACCATGCATCGACAAGTTGAGGCCAGACGACTAATTGAAATGCGATTTGGTCCTGCTCTCCACCGAATAGGCTTCGGCGACCGTGAGCCGCGGCGGTAAAAGAAAAAAAGCTCCAGCCCCAGGCGCACTCTGTCGTCGTTGCAAAACAAAAGTCAGTCGTGTTGTACCAGTGTGTGTGTCTCATGATGGGATACGCCCCCCCTCGTCTCCTCCCCCCTCCGGCCCGCAAAAGGGCTACGATTCGGTAATCGTGCCCCGTCGTCGCATTCTTGAGCCGACCTCACGGCAACAATAAACCTCTGCCGTCAGTGACGGAAAGCCTCGTCGCGTGTCTCGCAAGAGAAGAAAAAACAGGTCACTAAGACTCATATCGTAGAAGAGGCAGCTTTGGAATTTTCTCAGTGACATGTGCGGGCGTGTTTTTGTTTTTTTTTCTTCGCCGTAAACGCAAGCGCAGGGCCAAGACGTGCTCAACGGTCGGCCTCTCCGTCATGCCCAACATACTAGGTAGGGCGGTATCAGACGGCCAGGCTGAGACAACAGGTGCAAATTTGCACAGTTCGTGCTGCTCCGACTGGCGGCGCGCACGCTGGTGCCTTTCGGTACTTGACTCACCATGTTCTGCATAAAATATGAAAGCTTCTACTATGAACATACCCATACCTAGGTCCTGTGAGGCCCAATTCCGCCTGCGGAAATGGATCTCCCTAAAAACAGTCCCATCGTACCTAGTTTAATAGGTTGCAGGGGGTCGTGAAGAATTGCCGGAGACCTTTTTTTTTTCTCAGCAGCACGCCGAAGCTTTCCTCCCACCGCCGCGGAAAGCAATGGTTCTCTCCCATCAAGCGAGGCTTGCCCAATCCCGACCGTGCCTTGTTTGTTGGGGGGGCATCGACATGTCACATCTGGCTGCGTTACCATGTGGATGGCTGATTGCCACCATGTCATCGCCTACCTAGGTACCTAGGGAATCTGTCGACCGCCCACCACCTCATTAATCAAGTACTGGTACGCTACGTACGCTACGTACGCAAATACGCAAATGCACATGTACAAATGTATTCATAAAACAAGCCTGTCACCAGGGAGACAAAATAACCCAACCGTCCGGTTAGGAATAACTACTACCATCTTTCTCGTTCGTATTCTTTTCTTACTATTGATTCACTTCCTTCCCTTTTCATTTATCTTTCTTATCTCTCTAATCTTACTTATACTTGTTCTGATTCCCTTTCCTCCTTTTCCCAGTTTAATCTTCTTAACCATAGAGTTATGTGTAGGGCCTTTTTTGTCGCCACGTAATCGATGCCTAGTTCCCTAGTATTTTAGTGTGCGGACAGAGTTCGCGTCAGAGGCTTGCGCAACAAACTCTACGGTGGGGTGAGAAACTGTCTTGTTGAGTTTCTCGTCTAACGGTACTTTCGGAAAGAACACGGCGCTTTATTATCCAGTACCATTTTTGCGCTTTGTGGGTTCCAAGGTCACTACCGTTGGTGTAATCGCATGCCCCCCCCCCATATCTGTATAGGCCATCAAACAGGCTGCAACAAAGAGGCAAGGGTAAGTTGAGCGGCCTCGCCGACTACAAATGGAGCACCGAGCGGGTAGTCATCAATCTCTTCATGCGTCGTCGGCTCTCAGGAAACAAAGGCATAAAACCCGCCCAAGGCAACCTCGTCTCCCCGAGTCGCACGGCTATTCTCTTGTACCACGCGCTGCGTTCCATCTAAAGTACCGCCGCAGCAACCCAGCGCCAGCTGAAGCCAGAAACCAGAATTGATCAGGGTCGGGCCAATGATCAAGACCTTGGTAGGTTTTCGTGGTGTGGGTGGCGGCCCTCACGCGACTACCGGTAAGAATAAAGGCATACGGGGGAAAGGGGAGTAATAGCAACAGCCACTTGACCTCTGCGCTCTTTTTTCCACAGACTGCTTGCCAAGTTATTCGCTTGCATTCATTCATGCATTTCCCACCCCCCATGGACAGCAATTGTCGTTGCATGCCCCCCGTCGTTGTCCTAGAGCGCAGCGCGTGGGGGCCTGGAACATGCCTGTAAATCGGAGTCAGTGGCTGGTGCCGAAATGCCAGATATGCTCTCGTCCGTCTGTCAGGCACCCTGTTATGCCCTAGCGAGGTACTTGTCCTTTGTACAAATTACCTCCGCCACTTCTGCAGTCGGCGTCAATCAAACACGCCACCACCGCCGCGAATGACCCTTTTTCAGCCACATGCAGAAGCCACACGTGATAACGCGACATGCGCCTGTCCTTCTGTCGCGCATACCAGCGCGTTCTACGATCAACTAGACGCGCCATTCTGATGAATATGTTGTTCTCGAAAGTAGCCTCGTTACGGCAATAAATTGTACATCTCATTCCGAAATTGTATCGAGTAGCGTATCTGCTTTTCTGTTCAAGCTGCACCTCTTTTCTTTTTCTTTCCTGTTGATGAAGTGTGTTTTCTCGCTTGCCATGTCTCCGCCTAGTTAGTGCTTCTGTGCAATATCCCCAGGTAGGCAGACAAGAAGCAAGGACCGCGCGATACGTGATTTTCCCTCGACAAAGCTTCGCTGTGGCCTCTTTCAGCGCCATATTTGATCAACAGAAAATTATCTATCAGAGGAAGCACATGAGTGACGCAAATTCGAGCATCCTGGTGTGGCATTTGTGGGCTTGACAGACTACCCTAGACAAACGCACCGTTTGTAACAAAGTACCACAAATTACGGCACTCGCAAATCCTCGGCATCTACGGTTGCCGCGACTATTACGCCGCGCTGACGTATTAGTGGAACGACCTGGGTGACTGATTCAGCGTCATCTGATTGCGAGCGGCAGTCTTGTCGTCGGCCGATGGATGGGCGGCGGTACGGTACACGGGTGTCGCATTCCGTGATCTCGGTGTCGGCAGCTTGGATCACGCCAACACCGGCAAGAACATGTGTACATATTACACTTCCGCGACGACTACTTGGAGGGGCGACTGCCTCCAGCACCTCGGGTTTCCTGCAGCGCCCAGCCTCGGGAAGGAGATGATGTACCTGCAAGGGTTAAAACGCCGCATGAAGAGTGCACGGGCAATGGGTTGGGCTTTTTTCCCGAGCACTTCCAATCCCACCGTGCACTGGTCCCGTATTACGCCTCTGGCCAGTTTAGCCTCACCAGCTATGTGTGCGCCACAACAACACTATTAGACATATGAAGAAGAAAAACGACTTGAGAGCTAAAAAAAGGAAAAAGTTTAAAATGCCCCTATTTATAGACTTGAAGCATTGAATTTAATCAAATTGTGCTTCTTCTGTATCTCGTGGAAGCAGAGTATTCCGCACGTGATAGCGCGACTACACCTCGTTGCGTCGTCGCGTCGGGACGCGCCTCAGGCTGCGCAAGGGCGAAAGGCGGCGACACCAGATTCAACTCACCTAGCGTTCACGGTTCGGCCCTGCATCGCCCGATGGACAACACACCTCCGGCTTCTCCTTTACTTCCCAGGCCGGTCAAAATAGGAAACTGAAAAGGAGAACAGCAAAAAAGGGGACGCCGCCATGCAGCGCATGAATGGCCTGCTGCACACCACATCACTCCAGCTCGTCCAGAACAACCATGCACACGCACCGGCACCCGTCGACCCCGTCGCCGGCCAGAAGCGCTCCTGGTCCGCCGCCGACCCCAACCCCGATCCGGCCGCCAGGCCGCCGCCGCCACCGATTCTCTTCAAGCGGTCCATCGCGCTGCCGCAGGCCCCGTCCAAGCTGATCCCGAGCGCAATCACCACGCCGGGGCCGCCCTCGTCCACCAGCGAGGAGGGCGAGTACACGCAGCGCCACAAGCTCGCCGCCACGCCGTCGTCGTCGCTCGACCCGGAGCTGCACCTGTCGCATGCCGTTTACGGCCTGCCCGCGCCGCTCGTCGCCAACTTTGCGACGCTCGGAATCAACCACATCTACCCGTGGCAGCGCAACTGTCTCAAGGGCCCCGGTCTGCTCACCGGCGAGCGCAACCTGGTCTACTGCGCGCCGACTGGCGGTGGCAAATCTCTCGTCGCCGACTGTAAGACCCCGATTCTTGTGAAATTTGCAACCCCCCGCTCTCGTAATACTGGCTGACTGTAGCGGCGGTGCCAGTGCTCATGTTGAAGCGTATTCTACACTCGCGCGAATCCAAAGCCTTGCTTGTGCTCCCCTACGTAGCTCTCGTGCAGGAAAAGGTGCGGTGGCTGCGCCAGCTCGTCGAGGGCCTCAAACTCCCGTCCCCCGTTGAAAAGGATCCGCATGCGCCGTTCAATGCCAGGCCGACGCCGGATGGCTTGCGAGTCGTCGGCTTCTTTGGTGGCGGCAAAGTCCGGGCCACCTGGGACGACTTTGACATTGGTGTCTGTACACTGGAAAAGGTACGAGTTAATAGCCAACGCCAATCGAAACGTCTACAACAAAGCTCACCCGGGAATAGGCCAACATGCTTGTCAATGCAGCCATCGAAAACTGCTCAATAGCCAAGCTTCAGGCCGTGGTGCTAGACGAATTGCACATGATTGATGACGAGCATCGAGGCTACACCTTGGAGCTTATTGGTACAAAATTGCTTAGCTTGGAGCACACCGTGCAAATTGTTGGCATGAGTGCTACCATTCCTGTAAGAAGAGGTACATCCCGTCTACTTGTCCCCGCTGATGCCAAAGCAGAATATGGATCTCATGGCCAAATGGCTCAACGCGCATTCATTCGAGACCCGATATCGACCTGTTCCCATTGAAGAACACCTCGTCTGCAACGGCGCCATCTTTGCCGCCGATAATCCTCGCTGCCTCCCAGACAACGCCGACCAGCTCAAGAACAGCCTTGTCGACGCTGTTCGAACGATCGGCCCCTCTCTCCACAAAGAGCTGTCAGACCCTGTACTGAATGCCGTCGTCGCACTCGCCCATGAAACCGCGTCGGCGGGCTACGGCGTCCTGATCTTTGCCGGCAGTCGCAGCATGACCGAATCGCTGGCACGGTGCATCAGCCGTGTGATGCCAGACATTTCTGAGATGCATGAAACGATGCTAGAAAAACGAACTGACTTGCTTGATGAATTGCGAAGCTTGCCGACTGGCCTCGATCATGTGCTGGAGGAGACGATATTATTTGGTGTTGCATTTCATCGTGTGTATTTGCTCCGACGTCATCCCTCTTCCTCACTAATTACTCTATAGATGTGAGCCCCCCTCCCTACGGCTTTGCGCTTCGACGATACTAATGGCAAAAAGGCTGGTATAACCGCCGAGGAAAGAGAACTGATAGCAGCCGCCTACGACTCCGGAACCCTCCTAGTCTGCGTTGCCACCTGTAGCCTCGCTGCGGGCATCAACCTGTAATCAACCCCGGGCCATCTCGAGTTCCAACGTCTGCTAATTCATGCAGCCCAGCTCGCCGCGTCATCCTGCACAACGCCAGGATGGGTCGCGATTTTATAGGCCCAGCCATGCTGCGACAGATGCGCGGGCGCGCCGGCCGTCAAGGCAAGTCACCTGTGGGTGAGACTTACCTGTGCTGCCGTGAGGCCGACCTGGAGACTGTGGTACAGCTGATCAAGGCGGAGCTGCCCAAGGTAACTAGCTGTCTGACATCGGAAAATCGGCGCGTTCAACGGTACGTTTCCCTGCTTCGGCCTTATGCATGTCCTAGCCTAACAATTGTAGCGCTGTTCTGGAAGTAATTGCTATCCATCTTGCTACTAGCTACGACTCTATTCGCTTCTACTTTGGCAAATCTCTCCTGGCACTCACTCAAGACGAAGCCCGGGTCGATGAAGATCTCAAGGCTAGCCTAAAGGACCTCGAGGGCCTCGAGCTCATCGAGTCAGACGCCTTTGGCAACTATGCGCCGACGCAGCTCGGCCGTGCCATTGTGGCGTCGGCCATTGATCCAGATGACGGCATCTTTGTGCACCGCGAGCTCGTCAAGGCACTGCGGGCCTTTGTCATGGACGGCGAGCTGCACATCCTCTACATCTTCACGCCGGTGCAGGACCTCGGTGTCACGATCAACTGGCAGGTGTTTCGCAATGAGCTGCAGCTTCTCGATGAAAGCGGGTTGCGCGTGTTGCGATTCCTAGGCATCAAGCCGACTGCTATTCTTAAATTGTACGTCAACAGAACCACACCCTCACTGTAAACGCTAATGATGGACAGTGCGCAAGGAGTCCCGGTGCCTGAAAACACACCGGAGCAAAAGGAAATGTCTCGCGTGTATAGAAGATTCTACCTAGCACTTCAGCTTCGTGATTTATGCAATGAAATGCCGATTCACGTGGTTGCACGAAAGTACGACGCACCGCGAGGCTCCGTGCAGACGCTCTCACAAACCTGTCATGGTTTCGGCGCCGGCGTCATCAAATTTTGCCAGCACATGGACTGGGGGTATGTACTACGTTGCTACGCGAAAGTCCGCTCTAACAGCTGGTAGCCTCATGGCAGCGGCCCTCGATCACTTTTCCGATCGCCTCCTCGCAGGCGCTCGTACTGAGCTACTATGCCTCGCCAAGATACCATTCATAAAAAGCCGCACGGCGTAAGTGATTCAAGTTTGCAATTGTCGCGTCTGTCTATTGACATAGCAGCAGGCGTGTATTCTGGGAAAATGGATACCGCACCGTGGGCACCATAGCCAATGCCGATCCCAAAGAGCTTGTGCCTGTATTAAAACAGGTTTGTTTGACAGTCTGTGAAGTCTACAGCTATTAACTTGCATGTAGGCAAACCCTAGCAAGATTCGAGTCAAGGGACTAGATATTGCCAAATACGAAGAGAAGCTTCTGTCTAAAGCCAACATTATTTCGGCTCATGCCAACAGATTATGGAGTGAGTCGTCATATAATCTTCTATTGGTCAACGAAACTAATAAATGTAGGTATCCAAATGCAGGTAGAGATGGAACTGGAATAAACGAAGGCAAGCAGTACTTTCTCATGCGCCGAAAACGGAATGGTCGATTCCTCTACCGTCTCTCCTAAGCCGGCCGCAGTTCTATCCTCTCTCTATCTTACACACACGCTACTGTGCGGCCATCTATAGTACCATATACATATTCATGTTATACAAAATTATCCTCCATCGCTACAGTAAAAGTGCCATGAGACCCGCCTCCGCAAATGTCGGCATCTTGCCAACGCCCTTCATCCGCTCATCGATGCCCTCGGCCATGAAAAGCCTCGAGTTTGGCACCGACAGCTTCCTCTCATCCGGAAACTCGGCGTCGTCACGCTCGCTCGGCGCCTCCACAAAGATGCCCTTGCTCGATAGCGCGCCAAAGTGGCCGCCCATGAACGGCGTCTCCGGCCGGGTTGACAGTTCCTGGTGCGTGCCGGGCACGCCAAACACGATGCTCGGGGGCAGGTACACGGGCATGGCCGGCACATCATCGAGCGCCATGAGGAACTGCACCGTGCAGCCCGTCGGCGCAAAGGTCGATTCGCTCATCGACTGCGCGAAGCGGTGCATCTCTTCCTCCTCGGAGAGGGAAAAGTGCGTCCGCTGGGGGTCGAGAGACAGCAGGCCCTTTTTCGCGCCCCAACCACCGCCACCACTCACTGCTGTCTGTCAGTCCACTTGTCACGAGTAAGAAGTCATGTATTGGGGGGTAAGCATACAAACTTGAAGAAGCTTTGCGCCGCGCTGGTGCGAGCAGTGCAGATAAATCGCCGTCTTGGCAGCCAATTCCTGCATGCTAGACTCGCTCGTGTCGACCGACAACGGCGTTGGGCTACCGTTGAGCCAGGAGGCCGCCGCGTCCGCCGAGCCGCTCTTGGGTGTAATCAGCGCCCAGATGCCCGCCGGCCCCGTGTTCATGGCGCTGCTACCACGCTTCCCGTAGAAGGCATTAACGGCGTCCTCGAGCTCCGTCGACGCCGGAATCGTCTGGCCGTCAATTTCCACCCCGCGCACAATGTTGCCAAAGCTCGCCGCCACCAGCCGTGGTGGCGTCACCGGCACGAGCGGCGCCCACAATCCCAGGTCGCCCATTTTCCGCGGCAACTCGCTGTCCGACACCAGAACCTCTTGCGCATACCGTTCCATCTGCCGCTCCATTCTCGAGCCGTCCCCCGAGAGGTCAAACGTGGAGGCCAGCAGCGTCGAGGCCCTGTTGTTCTGAAACGTCGTTCTCGCCAGCGGAAGCGTCACTTTCGGCACCCCCAGGGAAAAGGACAGCGCCGAGACGGCTTCTTTATCCTCTGGGGACCGTGGCGGCTCGGGCTGCCATAGATGGGGCAGCATGTGGTCGAGGTGGCCCCTCAGGACGGAGATGCCCGGCGTGGTGTGGTAGCTGCCCAGCGGCGGCGCGATGCTGTCCACAATGGCGCCCAGTACGTGAAACTTGTCCGGACGGCTGCTACCGGCGAGGAGGGAGGCCAGACTCCCCATAAAGTCAGCATTTTCAAAGTTCTTGGCGAATTCTGGCGTGGCGAGCACGACGGCGGCGTCGTGGCTGGAAGAATTTGCCGATAGAGCCTTGGAGGCAATGTCGTCCATCATAGACGAGATCGCATCCTAAAATATGTTAGAAAAATTGAAATAAACACTCATAATATTGAGTTCATTGATTGAGTATCTCAATCTCGTTTGAGCTCACTCTGGAGGTGTTTGCAAGCGCATAGGTAAATTGCACTTGGTCTGATCTTGCTTCACTGGAAAACGGCCTGCCTAGGGGGCGCCGCGACAACCATAGGGCGCTGCGCCGACAAATGGCCCGATGTATCATATCTGTATGACCCAGAGTCACAACTTCAAAGAATTCGCGCCCAATACCGATAATTGGCGGAAAATCATGAGTAACATGCAGAGTAAGTCATTCCTGGCTTTTCTACGAGCCTCAGAGACATACATGTGGCGCATGTCTGTGGCGCAAGCTCCAACCAGCCACAAAAATTGCCCCTCATCCCACTTCACATAGTAACAACTAAATCTTAGCGGTGACTCAATTTTGTGATTCCAAACAGCGAAACCGCAACAAGTAGGCTCATTCTTGAGTCAAACGTACTCTGCCCTGGGTTATATCAACGACACCGCTCGAAGCCCATTTTTTTGCGGGCTTCCACATAACCATTCAGGACGACGTTTAGACTCGCTGTTCGAGCACTTCGTGTGCGGTCCGTTTCCCCACGAAGACCCTTGACTACCACACGTGCAATCATGGCCACCAACGCTGGACGCTCCAATATCGGTATGCCGTGGCTTTTTTGGCGCCTCCATATACGTCGCTAACCTTCCATCGTTGCAGCCGAGGGTGCTTCCATCCCGGCGCAAGCCCCATCCGCCGAGACGCCCGCTGGCGCCGAGACGCCAAAAGTAAAGTCTGAGAAGGAGTGTAAGTGAGAGGCGTTGCCAAATTCAGTCCGCCGTCCCGAGACTAACACCTGTGCAGTACAGAAGGAACTTCAAAAGGCTGAAAAAGCCGCCAAGCTCGAAGCGAAAAAGGCCAAGGCTGCTCTCCAAGCCGCCAACGCCGCCGCCAATAAAGAGAAAAAGGCCAAGAAGGAAAAGGCCGACGAAGCCGAAGTCCCTCCCTACGTCGAAGACACACCGCCCGGCGAGAAGAAGCGCATCCGATCGTTTGAAGACGCCAACTTCAAGGCCTACGATCCCATTGCCGTCGAGTCGGCATGGTACACCTGGTGGGAGAAGCAGGGCTACTTCAAGCCCGAGTTCAAGCCCAATGGCGACGTCAAGGACGAGGGCAGCTTCGTCATTGTCCACCCGCCTCCGAACGTCACCGGTGCCCTGCACATGGGCCACGCCCTGACCGACTCGCTGCAGGACATGATGATTCGCTGGAGTCGCATGCACGGTAAGACGACGCTATGGCTGCCTGGCACCGACCACGCCGGCATCTCCACGCAGTCTGTCGTCGAGAATATGCTGTGGCGCCGCAAGCAGCAGACCCGCCACGACCTCGGCAGAGAAAAGTTCATCGAGCAGGTCTGGGAGTGGAAGGAGGACTACCACAAGCGCATCAACAAGGCGCTGACCCGTCTCGGTGGCTCGTTTGACTGGTCCCGAGAGGCCTTTACCATGGATGAGACCCGCTATGCTGCCGTCATGGAGAACTTTGTCCGTCTTCACGAGGATGGCATTATTTACAGAGCCAACAGACTTGTCAACTGGTGCACAAGACTCAACACCACGCTATCCAACCTTGAAGTTGATAACAAGGAGCTGACGGGCCGCACATTACTTGAGGTTCCCGGTTATGATAAGAAGGTTGAATTTGGTGTCATCGTTCACTTCAAATACCCCATTGAGGGCTCGGATGAGACCGTCGAGGTCGCCACTACCCGTATTGAGACCATGCTTGGTGATACTGGTATCGCCGTTCACCCCAAGGATACCCGCTATGCCCATCTCGTTGGCAAGAACGCCGTCCACCCTTTCATCCCCGGCCGCAAACTGCCCATTATCGCCGACGACTATGTCGAGATGGAGTTTGGTACCGGTGCCGTCAAGCTCACTCCCGCCCACGACACAAACGATTTCGCCCTCGGCCAGCGCCACAAACTCGAGTTTATCAATATCCTTACCGACGATGGCTTGATGAACGAGAATACCGGTCCCTACAAGGGCCAGAAGCGCTTCGACGTCCGCTACAGCATCCAGGACGCGCTCAAGGAAAAGGGCCTGTATGTTGACAAGAAGGACAACGCCATGAAGGTCCCCATGTGCAGCAAGTCCAAGGATGTCATTGAGCCCATAATGAAGCCCCAGTGGTGGGTCAAGACGACAGACATGGCTGCCGAGGCTGTCAAGGTTGTCAAGAATGGTGAGATCAAGATCCGCCCCGAGAGCGCCGAAAAGGCCTACTACCGCTGGATGGAGGACACGCAGGACTGGTGCATCTCCAGACAGCTTTGGTGGGGACACAGATGTCCCGTCTACTTCGCCAAAATTGAGGGTGGCTCCGACCTCCCCGACGAGGAGCTCTGGTTCTCTGGTCGCACCCAGGAAGAGGCCGAGGCCAAGGCCAAGGCCAAGCTCGCTGGCAAGAAGTTCACCCTTGAACAGGACGAGGATGTCCTCGACAGTGAGTTTCAACTCGTTTGTTCCGTATTGAGTATCACAATCGCTAACCTTACCAGCCTGGTTCTCCTCTGGCCTGTGGCCTTTCAGCACCCTCGGCTGGCCCAAGAAGACACACGACCTTGAGAAGCTTTTCCCTACCAGCGTCCTCGAGACTGGCTGGGACATCCTCTTCTTCTGGATTGCTCGCATGATCATGCTGAGCTTGAAGCTGACCGGCAAGATTCCATTCGAGGAAGTCTTTTGCCACAGCCTGGTCCGCGATTCCGAAGGCCGCAAAATGTCCAAGAGTCTGGGCAACGTCATTGACCCTCTCGATGTCATTTCCGGCATTCCCCTGCAGACACTGCACGACAAGCTGGCACTCGGCAACCTGCACCCCACCGAGGTTGAGCGAGCGACAAAATATCAAAAGACATCGTTCCCCGACGGCATCCCCCAGTGCGGTGCCGACGCCCTGCGCTTCACCATGGTCAACGCGACTACCGGCGGCAGTGACATTAATCTCGAGATCCGCTCCATCTACGGCTACCGCAAGTTTTGCAACAAAATCTTCCAGGCCACCAAGTACGTCCTCGGCAGCCTGCCTGCCGACTTTGTGCCCGCCAAGCAGGGCGCGGTCCCCGGCAAGACGCTGGCCGAGCGCTGGATCCTGCACAAGATGAACCAGGCCGCCAAGGATGTCAACGTGGCCATTGCCGACCGCGAGTTCTCCAAGTCGACGGCCATCATCTACAAGTACTGGTACAGCGAGCTCTGCGACGTCTATATTGAAAACTCCAAGTCGATTATCCGCGACGGCACGCCCGAGGAGCGCGAGTCGGCCATCCAGACCCTCTACACAGCCCTCGAGGCGGCTCTCACGATGATCCATCCCTTTATGCCGTTTATCAGTGAGGAAATGTGGCAGAGGATGCCGCGCCGCCCTAGCGACGAGACCCAGTCGATCATGATTGCCAAGTACCCCGTTTACAACCTGGCCCTGGACGACCCGCAGTCCGAGACTGCCTACGAGCTCGTCCTGGACTGTGTCAAGGCCGTCCGCTCCCTAACCGCTGAATACGCCATCAAGGAGAACGCTGACGGTACGTCCAGACAACAAGTCACATATCCCAACGCAAGCTAACCCAGTTCTAGTCATTATCCAAACCTTTACCAAGGCCGCCGAGGAGACGGGCACCAAGGAGCTCGTCTCCATCACCTCGCTCGCCGGCAAGGCCGTCAGCAAGATCAACACCATCCGCGCCGACGCGCCGCGTCCCGCGGGCTGCGTTGCGTACCCCGTCTCCACGGCCGCCACCGTCTTCCTGCACGTAAAGGGCCGCGTCGACATGGACGCCGAGATTAGCAAGGCGCAGAAGCGCCGTGACAAGGCGACGCAGAGCATCCAGCGCCAGGAGAAGCTCCTCGCCGACGCCGTCTACCTCGAAAAGGCGTCGGACGCGGTCCGCGAGGCCGATGAGAAGAAGCTGGCGGACGCCAAGCAGGAGCTTGCCAGCTTCAAGGAGACGATTCAACAGTTTGAGCAACTCAAGCTGGAGTAGGGACAAAAGCATCTGTGGAGGATTAGGAAGGATTTTACGAGATTTTTAATTGTTTTCATGAATGAGAGATGAGGAGACGCCACTTTGTTTATTCAAGAGACATGTTGTCACTGACACGGCCTTGTCCAAAGATTCGTGTCCACGTAAACGTCCTTAACACATCTGTCCACTGTCGTTGCATAATTGTATAATTGTATTCATTGTACATGGCTTAGTTTCCTGGTATCAATCTGTTCATCGCCCTCCTCTACCCCCTCTGCCTCCTCGTCCACCGCCACCACCACCACCACCGCCGCCGCCGCCCTCATTCTCCTGCTCATTGCCCCTAGACCTCCCCGCGCCCTTGACCGGCCTCGTCTGGGCCGCCTCGTGCTTCTTCAACTCCTCGGGCACCTTTGAGATGGAGCTCTTGCTGAGCATCTGCCGCAAATCATACAGCACGTCGGCGTCCTCGTTGCCGAGGAACGTAATGGCCGTGCCGCTCTTGCCGGCACGACCCGTGCGGCCGATGCGATGGGTGTAGCTCTCGATGCTGAGGGCCATGTTGAAGTTGACGACGAGCGAGACGTCGGGGACGTCGATGCCGCGGCCGGCCAGGTCCGTGGCGACGAGGACCTGCGTCTCGCCGCTGCGGACGGCGGCGAGGGCGGCCTCACGCTGCTCCTGCGTCTTGCTGCCGTGCAGCGGGACGGCGCTCCAGCCCATGCTGCGGACGTCCTTGGCGACGGCGTCGCAGTTGCGCTTGATGTTGACGAAGACGATGATGGGCGGCGCAAACATGTTGGAGGCGAGGATGCGCGCCAGCCGCTTCTTGCGCGCGTCCTCGCCCGAGACGAACTCGACCTGCTGCTCGACCGTCTCGACCGCCTCGCCGGCGTTGCCAATCATGGCCATGGCCGGGCGCCGCAGGTACTTCTTGGCGATGCGCTCGACTAGCGGCGGCATCGTGGCCGTGAACATCATCGTCTGGCGGTAGCGGTCCTTTTCGCCCACGTACCGCTGCATCAGCCGCCCGTCCTCGGCCTCGTCCGTGTCGGGCTTCTCGTTGGACACGGGCAGCGCGTCGAGGATGGTGTTGACGGGCTCCTCGAAACCCATGTCGATCATGCGGTCCGCCTCGTCCATGATGACGTAGCAGCACTGCGACAGCACCAGCAGCCGCCGCTCGATGCAGTCCACCAGGCGGCCCGGCGTCGCCACGATAATCTCGGCGCCGTTGCGCAGCGCGTACGCCTGCTCCTCGAGCGAGTGCCCACCCACGATGCTCACGCACCGGAACCCGAGCGGCTCGCCAAACTTCTTGGCCTCCTTTTCAATCTGCTGCACCAGTTCGCGCGTCGGCGCCAGGATGAGCGCGTACGGCCCGTCATTCTTGTTCGTCTCTCCCAGCGGCGGCAGGTCCGAGATGTACACCAGCAGCGGCAGCAAAAACGCCGCCGTTTTGCCCGAACCCGTCACAGCAACACCGATCAAATCGCGCGCCAGCAGCGCAATCGGGATGGCGGCCCGCTGAATCGGCGTCGGCTCCTCGTAGCCCACGTGCTCGATAATGGCCAGCAGCCGCGGCGGCAGGCCCGACTCCTTCCAGTTGCGCATCGGGTTCGGCAGCGTGCCGCCCTTGGTCGAGATGCCAAAGTCCTCCTTGAAGATGCGCCAGTCGCGCTCGCGCATCTCGTCGAGCCGCTTCTCGTTCCACCGCCGGCCCAGGCCCGTCCGCTCCGCGCGGTCCCGCGCCTTGTCCCGCGCCCGGTAAAAGTCCTCCATGATGCCCTGGGCGCGCTCCCGGCCGTGCTCGGTGTCGCGTTGCTCAATCATCCGCGCCCGCTTCTTGGCCCGCTCCTCGGCCTCCTTGTCAAACTCGCCGCCGACGCCGGCCAGCGAGATGCCACGCACGCCCGCGCCGCCGCTGTAGGCCCCATCCTCCGCGCGCGAGGTATCCTCACCCGCGTCCCAGTCAAAGTTGAACTTCTTCTCCGTCGTCCGCATCCGCTTCTTTTGTGCAGAAAAGTTGGAGTGCTGGTTCACTTCTGGGCCTAGGTAGCGCGAGCGGAGCAGCTCGGCCTCAATCTCTTCGGCGGAGCGCTTTTCCGCGTTGGCCTTTTTACCCTTTTTGTCGCCTCCGCCCTCCTTGCCACTCTTGCCGCCTCGTCCGTCGCGTCTGTCTTTGTCGTCTCTGCCCCGAGGACCTGACGAGCCAACACCGTTCATGGTGCGCGGGCCTGTGGGGACGCCATTGCTTGTGCCCTTGTTCGTGGTCTTTGATGAGGCCGCTCGGTCTTCCCACTTCTTCTCGTCTTCGGCTCGTTTGCTCGCGTCGCCCGAGGCCTTTTTCCGCTTCAGCTCCTCGTCCTGTTTGGCCTGCTCGGCGGCGAGGCGTTCGCGCTGGGCCTTTGGTATGAAGCGAGGCTTAGCTGCGGCGGCTTCGGCTGCCTTTTTCTGGCGGAGGATTTCCTCGATGTCGAGAGGCATAGTGCTGTCGCGTTTGGTCTTGTGGTGTGGTCTTTGCGGTTCTCAGAAGACCGAGGAGTGTATTGGCCAGGCAGTAGGAAAATCCATATATCAGTGCCAGCGCCGCCAGATCGAGAATCATGAAAAGGTGTCGTAGCGCCCAAACTTGCGAGACAGGAAGGCTGGCAATTGTTCAAAGTCATCGAAGCTTGGCTTCGAGTTTGGGCCAGTGCGCCAATCACAGATCCCTGTACTATGGAATTGTGGGGCATCAAAAGTCGCTGGACATTCTGGATGCTTCAGTCCTCAAGATCTTTCAACCTCGCAACCATTGATAATTTTTGCGACTCGTCGTACACGACAACCCGGCCAATTTCTTGGGTCTTTCATCTCACTCCCCGGGACTCGACACACCCTCCGACGCAATGGCCTCGACGTCGCAATTCGTCCAGCTGGCCAAGAGCCTGCCCGAGCCCCTGCAGCGCTTCTTCGCCCGATGGCCGCCCGCCGCCCTCGCCTCGCCGGGTAGCGCGCCCACGACCTTTCAACAACTGCGCCCAGATCCCTTTGAGTTCTACAAGCACCCCGTGACGGGCCGGCGGCAGGATCCCGTGTACTCGGCGCGGCGGCAGGCGCAGCTGCTGCGCATGGCGCGCGACCACGGCGTCGCGGAGCTGCTGCCCGCTTCGGCCAAGAACCCGACGCAGCGCCTGGCGCACCGCGTCGAGCACGGCCTGCGCGTCAAGGGTACGGGTGTGGGACAAAAGGTCAAGGGTCACATTCACGAGCGACACATGATTGCCAAGTACGCACGAAGCCGGTTGCGGAGGATGGTTCGACGTTTGCTAACGAGGCTGTGTACAGGATGGAACAGAAACGAAAGGCAATGTTGGAAATGCCCGACCTTATCAAGAAGTGGAAGACGGTACGTTCTTATAAGTTGGCTGGTTGGAGGGAGCCTTGCTAATCATGCGAAACAGGTCGGAAAGCGAAACTGGACCAAGTTTCCGAAATAAGCACCTGTACAATACAACCGACAAGCTTGTATTTCAAAAAACGCCGTCAATCCGAGCGTGTATATACCACCATGTACTACTACAATACCATTTTAAACAACTCTGTGCCGATTGTGCTGTTCATGCCCGTCACCCAAGATGCTCTGCGCTCCTGACCACAACTTCAGCCATGGACAAGGGTAAAATATTATAGAAGAATGAAAAATGTCGGCATTTAACGAGATGCATGAACAGAACACATTTATTTCCAAATTCGCCAACATAAATGCATCACGTGACTCTTCTCGACTTCACTCGTCTTATTCAAGACGATGAAAACGAAAAAAAAAATCCTCCCCGCCCGCCACACTCTTTCACCAAAAACCAAACACGCACTCTTTCTGTGATTTTTCTTCCCACATGGCAAGTCCCTCCGCGGGACGTCCGTCCCGGACCGCCACGCATTACGAGGTCCTCGACCTGCAGCCGGCGCTCCTCGGCGCCGCGGAGCCGCACGACATCGCCACCCTCATCAAGCGGGCGTACCGCCGGGCGCTGCTGCGCAACCACCCCGACAAGGCCGCGCAGTCCAGCGCGCCCACGCTCACAGTCGACCAGATCGGCGAGGCCTACGCTGTGCTGTCCTCCCCGCCGCGGCGCAAAGAGTACGACGCGGGGCTGCGCGTGGCAAGGATCGCCGGCGGCAGCCGGGACGACGACGACGAGACAAAGTTCCACACGGGCATTGAGAATGTCGACCTTGATGACCTCGGCTTTGACGAGGCGGGCCGGCGCTGGTACCGGTCGTGTCGGTGCGGCAACGACCGCGGCTACTCGTTTGAGGAGGAGGACCTCGTCGATGCGAGCGAAGACGGCGTCTTAATGGTGGGGTGTCAGGACTGTAGCCTCTGGCTCAAAGTCCACTTTGCCGTGGTGGAGGAGTAACGACAGATTATGACAACACAAGTATATAAACAAGGGTTGAATAACCGCAAAGGCATAGAACGGGCCAAGGCATATTTCATGACAAGAGGCGCAGAATACAAAATGGCACATCAACGATCTCACAATGAGTAGATTGGATATTGGTATTGAAAGCAATTTTAATAAATTTTTATTGGTCCCGACGGGCACGGCATTAAAAGTCTAGAGCAAGCTCGTCTGTTCAACGGCTTGGTAGGCTTCTTCGGATCCGTGGGAAAACAAATAAGAGACAAAAATCAATAACCCCGTTCTTTGTTTCTGCGTGTTTACCTAAACAATGCCGAAGCTCTTGGATAAAAACGACGTCTTCCGTCACTCCATAGACACCAGTCCGCCCTAAAACCTGAGTGCGAAAAGCCAATTAGTCCCCGACATGGGTAGGCTTACTCGGCAGCCTTGGTTTCTTCGGCCTTGGGCTCCTCGGCAACGACGGGCTCCTCCTTGGGGACACCCTCGGCGGGGGCAGTCTCGGCCTCGGAAGAAGTCCAGAGAGTCTAATGAGGTTAGGAAAAAAATTGCTACATGACCGAAATGGTGGCAGGCTTACCAAGTTGTCACGGAGGAGCTGCATGATAAGGGTCGAGTCCTTGTAGCTCTCCTCGCTCAGGGTATCAAGCTCTGTAAAAAGTCAGTCGAGTGCCTTCAGATGCGCTGGGAATCCGGGAGGGGACATACCGGCAATGGCATCGTCGAAAGCCTGCTTGGCAAGGTGGCAAGCCTGATCGGGAGCGTTGAGAATCTCGTAGTAGAAGACGGAGAAGTTGAGGGCAAGACCCAGACGGATGGGGTGAGTGGGAGGAAGCTCGCCCTGGGCAACATCGGTGGCAGCCTTGTAGGCCTCGAGGGACTTGTCGGCCGAGTCCTTGCGCTTGTCGCCTGTGGCGAACTCGGCAAGGTAGCGGTGGTAGTCACCCTTCCTTGAATAGGAGTCAGTATTAGATAACATGGCGGGGCGCAAAACGAAAGACGCACATCTTGTGGTAGAAGACCTTAGACTCGCCGGACTTGGCAGAGGGGATCAGGTGCTTGTCAAGGACGTCAAGGATATCCTCGCAGATCTTGGCGAGCTCATCTTCGATCTTCTGGCGGTACTCCTTGATGAGAGTAACCTGGGAAGAGTTGCCCTTGGACTCCTCCTTCTGCTCGATAGAAGTGACTATTCTCCAAGACGCACGGCGGGCGCCAATGACGTTCTTGTAGGCAACGGAGAGAAGGTTGCGCTCCTCAACAGTCAGGTCGCGGTCCTCGGAGGCGACGATCTTCATGTTCTCAACCATCTCTAGGGGCGGGGCAAGTCAGCGCACACGGCTCTTTTGGGTGGGTGCTGGTCGGGAGGCGCCAGCTTGTTTTGTTTAGTGACGTACCCTCGTAGCGCTCGGCCTGCTCAGCGAGCTTGGCCAGATAAACGGCATCGTCGTTAGCCATTTTGGATAATTAGGGTCTGCTCGAGAAATGGCGGTTAGCAAGGCGACGGTGATGTGCGTTTGCAGTGTATTGGCTGGGCACTAGAAGGGCGAATTGTATGAAAAAGGGGGACCAAGAAGAGGGGTCGCCACTGGCGATTTCCAAAGGCAGGCAGGTGCTAGGCAGAAATACGAAGACGAGGAGCGCAGCGCCGGACAAGCACCATTCGAATTGCGGATTGAAGCATCGTGAACAGGCCAACACGCAAAGCGTGCGTGGCCGGCAGGCGAGCTCAGGAAGTCAACCCTCCCCCGCTCCTTGGGCGGCGGCTCTAGTGGGGGTTGGCATGCTGGGGGCAGTATCCAGGACGCGCGCCGAGAGGAAGCAGGCGAGACATGGCGAGTTATAGAAAGTCGCTCGTGGAGACTTGATGATGGCTTGCTGGCAGAAGCTGTATCGTCGAGGCGCGCGCGCGCTCTGGAGGGGGACGGGAGCAAGACAGGCGCGATGACGAATGTGCACCATGGGGTCTGGCGGGAGGGGTTGCAGAAGGCAGAGGAGAGAGGGAGCGATGCAAGGCGAGAAATGGCGTGTGCCATTTATCGGGAACGACGTACCAGTAAAAAGGGACGAAAAAGGGTATTTGAGTTGTAGATGGAAGAAAGAAAGGTCGGAGGATTCGGTGGTGGAAGCTTTTGCCGGGGGTGGTGTGTGGAAGAGGCGATGCGGAAATTGGTTTGTTTGTTGGGATTATTATGTAGCAGAGCGAGGAGGAGGAAAGGAAGAGAGTGAGAGGGCGGCTCACAGGCGGCCCTGGCTCTGCAAGGTACCTGGGGGGACACGCGCTACAGGTATGCCGGGTGCTCAAAGCCACCAAAAACAAGATGGCAGTTGTCCTAGAGTACGCTCTCTTGCCCCTACCAGCGCCTGGTGCCTGCCTGGAGGTTGCTCAAGTCCTGCTGCCGTTGTACTGGTACATGAAGGCTACGACAGTGAAGCCTCAGGCAACCAATGATAGCCTATCTCAGCCCGTCACGTGAACTAAAAAAGGTCTCACACGTCTCAGACCGCCCACCAGCATGCCAGCAGCGGACAGTGCAGGCAATACGGATACAGATACTGTAAGTTACTTTGATAACAAGATATTACGATTCACGTGAGAACGGAAGAGATTTGGCTTCTCTGGGAAATCGCGTAAATCGCGTTCATTTTAGGGTTTTTTTTTTCTATTAGCATGCTCTACAAATTTTGTTCGTCTTTCTTCCCATCGCGTTGCACTCCCAGCGCTGTCATACCCGTTCCTCCATGTACCGGTACCTCTGCCAGCTTTCCAACCATCTCAACAGCATCGGTCCTACCCTGCCACTGAATCACCCGTCATCTCACATCTCACTGACTGACGGCGCGTCACACGCGCCGATCCGGCCAACTCATTGTGTTCATCACGTATGTACATTGTATAATTGCGGCGTACTAAGTCTACGGTAGTATAGGTAGATTGCAGGTAGTTACAGCGGATACCGGAAAGCAGCAAATATCATTTCCGCGTCTCCCTTTCTCCCACCGCTCATTGGCCAATCCCTGCATCGCAAACCGCGCATCCAGTAAAAAAGCAGTTATTATGCCTAACAACGGGTGGTTTTCTTCGCGTTTATGTTGAATCTTCGCAAGCTACATTGAAACGCAACGTTTTTACAGTCCTACCCAGATCTCATGTTAAGCAAACCTTGTTTCTGTTCGCAGTCTCGCGGACAAGGCCAACAGGTGGGCAGGGGCACTGGTTGCCAGTTATGCTTCTCAATTGCTTCTCTCTTCATATCAAAATAGGCTCTGGCTCGTTGACAGACTCCCACTGTGACACTGTAATGCTAGATGCTTCGCCAGCTTATTAGCTCAGCTAACGAGCTTGGAACCCACCACCATAGAGGAGTACCGACGCTTTTGTCTTTACGTCACACAAACTTATGTACCGAGCTATTGCTCTCAACTGTTCGAAATCAACCTTTCCTCATGCAGCTTAGCTTATTCGCTGGTAGAGCTTTGCCTCTCAAACCACACCACCTCGGCCGCAAACCACGTCACAGCTAGCTCACCTCCTCTCCAAACACCATCAATCTTCATCGTCCTTCTCCCATCATTAAAAAGCACCTTTGCCCACGATGCTTCGCACAACCTTTGCCAAGACGGCCGCTCTCCGTCCCATCCGCGCCGCTGCCTTTTCCACCACTGCCCGCGCCATGGCCGAGGGTGACACCGGTGCCCCCCCTCGTACTGGCGGCCAAGGGTAAGCAAGCTTCCCCATGTCCAGTTCGATACCAATCAGTCTGGGCCTCGCCTATACTGACAAACGCAGTGACGCCTTCCAGCGCCGCGAGCGCGCCTCCGAGGACTACGCCATCCGCCAGCGCGAGAAGGAGAAGCTTCTCGAGCTCAAGCAGAGACTTGCCGAGCAGCAGGAGCACCTCCAGCGCCTGTCCGAGCACATGTACGTCCCTCTACAAGTCTGCGATGCCATCGCATCGGTTCATACCTGCGCAAATGACCCCGCCTGTTGATTGTGATTCACTAACACTACCCACCGCAGCGACGAGATTACCAAAGACCAGGGTGGCGAGAAGAACTAAGGCGTACCAGCGTTGCCAAATTGACGACATGACCCATGGCACCACAGATGCACAGTCATAGTGACAAGAGACTAGCTGGTCCTCGATTTTGTCTAAAATAGTGTACAACTACATACGAAATGTGACATTAATCCACCTCTCCAATCAGTTTCGGACCTTTATTCCCTCTAGTCCATTGGATCGTGTCTCGCGAAAATTGACTATCCCAATTGGTTTCCCGGTCGTTCATTAAACTCCAATACACACTTCAAAAACAATTCACCTCGGCCTTCACCGGCGTCCCGTGTACGCACGATAGAAGCCCTCAGCCGCGTCGCTCTCCACGCCCGCATAATTGTTGGCCATGCCATTGTTAGTCTTTTGCGCCGACGTCACCTTGGCTTGTAGCGCCGTCGCGTTGGCGTCGATCCACTGTAGCTGTGTCAGGTGGCCGTTGAGAACGCGCACGATTTGGCTCAGCTAGATTGACAAGTTAGCTTCCAAGTCGTTGTCAGTGCATTTGTAGTTACTACGTACCGGGTCCTCGGCCTTGGCGCCCTTGCTCAGAGTTCCCGAAATCTCGTTGATCTCCTTGACCATCTTGGACAGATCGCGACACTTTTCATCCAGCTGTTGTGTGAGCTTCTCAGCCAGCTTGTATGTGCGCTCGCGTTCTTGATCCGGCCCCGCCAAATGCTCGCCGGGTCCAAGCTGCTTGGCAAACATATCCTGAACTTCCGACTCATAGCGGCTGAGCCAAGCTTCCAGTTCTTCCTGTTGGCTTTCCACCGCAGCGAGCTGTCTCTCAATTTCGTGGCTGGCGCGCTCAGCCTCATACGTGTCCATGTACAGTTTCTGGATCTTTTCACCATTTTCCACCAGGTTTCTGTCCCAGGTAGCCACCGTTGTTGCCTGCTCCTTGAATTCCTTCTTATACTTGGTCAAGTCCGATGCCCATCGAGTGACAATATCCTCCATGGTCTTGTTCTTGAGTCGGGCGATTTGCGAGGGTGGTCCGGTGGTAGAGGCACCAAGTGCACTGGTAGAAGCCGCGATTGTCGGTGTTTGAGTGGCGGGTTTCGCAGTATCTGTAGCTGGCTTAGCTCCACCAAACAAGGCAGAGGCGCCAGCGGCCGTGGCCGTCGAACCCGGTATGGCGGTGGAAGTCGGTGTCGAGGCCGTGGCAGGCTTCACGCCGCCAAAGACAGCACCAGCGGTGGTAGTTACTGCTGGGGCCGCAGCCGTGGTGGCAGCAGGTTTAGCGCCAAATAAACCACCAGCGGTTGATGCTGTCGCTGCAGCAGGCGCCGCGGCAGTCGTGGTAGCGGTGCCACCACCGCCAAAAAGATTTCCCGAGCTGGGGGGCGCGGTCGCGGTTGTGGGAGTAGTTGCAGCGGACGTAGACGCAGCTGCAGGTTTGGCGCCAAACATAGAGAGGGCTCCGGTCGATGCGCCTATGGCAGGGGCAGCTGCGGCCTGTGTAGTAGCAGTACCTCCAGCGGCATTTCCGAACAGACCAGATGAAGGTGCACCAGCAGCGGGCTTCGCAGCACCGAAGATACCTCCGGTGCTAGGTGCGGTCTTTTGACTGCCAAAAATCCCGGTGCTTGCCGTCGTAGTAGGCGTCGCCGCGACATCAGTGCTGCTGGACTTTGCTCCAAACATTCCACCACCACCACCACCACCAAAAAGCCCGCCCGCAGCGCCGCCAGCAGCAGGCGGGGCGCCAGCGGGAGTTGTCGATGAGAGTGGAAACATGGGTTTAGCAGGTGTAGCAGCAGCCGCACCCATGCCTGGTACAGCCAGGTTACTTCCAAATGTAGGAGCAGATGACGTGGGAGTCGCGGTAGCACCGCCGCCAAATACTCCTGAAGCCGCAGGAGCAGTTGTAGTAGTGGCAGCTTGGCCTTGGCTCGACGATACAGCTTGGCCAAACAAACCACCTCCGGCAGCGGTAGTCGGTGTAGAGGCGACACTTCCAAAAATGTTTACGGCGGGCTTTTCTGCGGCATTGCTCGCACTGCCAAACAGTCCACCCGATGCAGGGGCGGCAGAGGCAGCGCCGCCACCACCAAACAAACTAGACGCTCCGGTCGCAGATTTCGCGCCGAAGATACCACTAGCGGGGGCAGGTGTCGTGGAAGCGCCACCAAAAACCCCCGATGGCGTCGCGGGACTTGTAGATGCCGGCGCTCCGAAGACGCTGCTCGGTTTGGGTGCGCTGCCTGTATTGCTGGTGCCAAATCCAAACGTGGGTGCCGTAGCACCGCCACTACCGCCCGCCGAGCCAAATATTCCTCCGGATGCAGGTGCCGAAGATGTTGTGTTGTTGTTCGCCGCGCCGCTCGATGCTGGAGTCCCAAACGCAAACGGTGAAGCCATGGTTGCGACGAGCCTCGATGGTGTCGAGGTCAAGTTGGGTTATTCGCGTAACGCTAGTGGTATCGGCCGTGTTCTGCCCCGCGATGTTGAAGTGAGTTAAATTCGTGGCGAAAAATTATAGTCTCGCTTCGGGTGACAGCTCAACTTTGGAAGTTGGGAATGGTTGATTGTGGTTGCAGGTGGACGCAGCAGCCCAAACAACGACCAGGAGCTTTTTTCCTGAGAGCTTGCGAGGTTGGCGCGAAGCTGAGCCGCGTCCAGCACTACGCCAAATATGGCAGGTGGGCAGCGCCGCTTTAGTGCAGCCCTACTTGCTTGTGCCAAGTAGCATCTACGCAACGCTCGTGGAGCTGTATGATCATTACAAAACATGGCTTGTGATCAGGTCTTTGTGTTCTCGAGTGCGAGGCTGTTGGACTTGCTGTATCACGGAATACCTCCCTATCATCAGGCCGATGACCAGGGACCAAACTGAGCCGTATGAGATGTCGCGAAACACGTCGGCGTTGTATTTCCTCGCTACTTAGTGATATCTGCTCTTGTCAATTTACGTTAAGCCTGTCACCGCTTTGTCCTGCTTCGCGTTATTGTCATTGATGTGCTTGTAGGTCTGGTAAGTGCGGCTTCAGGTATTGGATGGAAGGAAGTGACATTCCCGCACTGCTTAATGCAGACTCATGGAACTATTAAATATAGACTAATAATATAAGGGGGTAGACTAAGTCACGCCCTATCTACCTAAGTACCAAACACTTAACTAACATTCAACGCTTTTAGTAGAGCGCAAAAGCATATTTTGCTCGCTCCGTCTCCATGCCGGGTAGGTGCAACGCCCCAAAGGCAGCGGCAGACCTTCCACTACCATATTATGAACGAAGCACAACGCAACAAACCGAGTTGATTAGTGGATGGAATTTCTGAAGCTTCCTCATGAAAGAAAGATCACACATTGACAATGGTTAGCCTAATTTGCCTAATAATGCCTCGCACACAATGGGATCCCGAGTACTTATATCACGTGCCTCCACCCCCACGAAGCTCTTGGAGTGAGCTAAAGGTCTAGAGCAGGTCTACAAAGTGGGTTTGTCGTTCTCCTTGCATTTATCGACTTGCCTTGAATTAATTAATTATACGGATATCAAAATACCGAGTGCAACCTAGCTACTGTGACGACCCCGGAGTGATACCGAACCTTAGCAGCGAATACCAACCCCTCATTGCCGCCGCCCGGCTTGTCCCTGGCTGCCTGTTGGCATTTGGACGACCACCGCCCAGTCTGGCTCGAGCATTTTCCAAGACCCCAAGGACCGCGATTGGCGAAATGTCCAATAAATCGGATATGGAGGGTTTAGGCCCATCGCATATAGTTGACCGGACCGAGTCTGTTGACCCAGAAGCAAATCCAGGTTAGTTACCATTGCGACGAGTCGTGGAGATGCGACGCCCAAAGCCCGTGCTAACAGATTCGCAGAAGACACCTCGGACTCGGACGACCAGTTTAGCGATGCTAGATCAGGACCGGCAACCCCCAAAATCCGATCTCCCACACCAAAAGTGAATAGCAAGCAAAAAGGTGCAACTAGAAAAGAGGAAATCATACCACCTGAAGAGGAGGATGCAGCTGCAATTGTGAACGCCAACAAGCAGACTCATACCAGTATAGCTGAGGAAACAAAACAAGTTGAAGAAAATGCCACCCCCGACGAGGACGATGACGACAGAGGAGACGGGGCCGACGATTTCGGTGACGACTTTGACGATTTCGAAGAGGGCGGGAGTGCCGACGATGGCTTCGACGACTTTGACGACGGCGACTTTGCCTCACCAGAGCCAGCAGTGCAGCTGCAGGCGCCAGTAACTCCCCAATATAAACCACCGCCATTTGTCAGTCAAACCTGCTCATGGCAAGACCCATTACTGACATTTCTAGGCCATTCCTGATTTCGACGGCCTCGACCCTGACCAAGTCCTCGAAGCAACGGAAGATATACTAAACACATTATACTCCCCCGAGATGCTCGAGGTGCCCGCGCCTCAAACTCTTCCAACAGATGCGTCTGTTTTTATCAACCCGCGTTCCGCTTCACTATGGTCGCAACTGGTTGCGCCTCCACCCCTCGCGCCACCCGACTGGATCCGCTCGCGGACACGACGTCTATTTCTCGTGTCGCTCGGCGTACCCGTGGATCTTGACGAAATTCTACCAGCCTCGAAGCAAAAGAAGCTGATATTACCCTCGCTGAACCTCAACGCCTCGTCACCGCGTGCATCCAGCGACGCCCGCGGCAGCGGCTCAGCACGGCTAAAACAGGGCGACGGCAACGCATCGTCGACGTCGCTCGACTCCCAGGGTAAGCCGTCTGCGTCGAAAAAGCGCAGAGGACTGCCGGCAGAGCCTGACCTGGATCTCGTGGCCGCGCGCTACCTATGCACCACGACGGACGAGGCCTTGGACGGCATGACGGACGAGGAGCTCAAGGCGCACGTCGGCAAACTCGAGGCCATGCAAGGCTCCGCCAAGGACGTGTTGGAATATTGGAAAAAGCGGACTGATGAGAAGCTCGGTGACCGCGAGGCATTTGAGGGCGTTATAGAAAACCTGGTCAAACATGCGAGAAAAGTTCGAAAATAACGATAGATGGCATCTTAGAATGATAAAAGGATACCTTGGCTACATAGGTAGCTACATATGTTGACAACGACTACATTAATACATCGTCACCAGACAAATGGTCAGTCCAGGTCCAACGAAATTCTTATCATAATCTAGTCACATACGAAAATGCTAGACATGATACAAGACCATCATATATTATTTTACCAGCTAGTCCAGTTGCTATTTAGCAATAGGAACTCTCAACCGACTGCAAGTTACTTGAGTCTGTCGAAATGAATAAAGTATTCGAGTTTGAGATTTCGTCTCATAGCGTCTCTGTCAATTCACCAATGAATCAAAAAAAATGTAGCAATTGCACGTTTCGATCGTGCGACCTCCGGGTTATGAGCCCGGCGCGCTTCCACTGCGCCAAATTGCTTTCCAATTCGTTGAAGGTGTGTGCGTTATTATACTATATGCATGCTTTAGACTAGTAAGACAAAGAGGCTTGGCTACTAAATTGTGTGCTACGCCACACCTCACACCTCTTGATCCTGATAGATTCATAATCATAATTTCTAACACATCTGGGGGTCAATTTTTGAAATTCGCTGCCGTGTTTTTAGGGCAAATAATTGAATAAACCTCAGTTTTTCTGATCTGAAGTATTACCTTCATACCTACTCGCTAGAATACCTATAATATAAACCGGAGGCCTTGGGCGTTCGTTGGGCGCGTGGAGGGGCACAACTTATCGGCACAAAAATGGCTTAGCGCAAGAGTCATACTCTGAACTGCACACTTTGAATTTTGACACTGATCAGGCGAATTCTACAGCTCTGACTCCTAAGTCGCGACCACGCCAACGAATACCCAAAACAGTGCAAGGTTTTAAATAGGCAATTTTTCCATCGTTGCACGATATTCTGCTCACAAATTTTACCTGTCCTCGTTGAGCGTGCCCGGCGACCCCGCCTAGGTGTAGCTTGTTCAGAAAACCACAAATCTCGTGTGCGCATTTTGCCCCGCCTCGCCGACTTAACATCTACAAACCACCGCTCCTACCGCCATCATGTCTGCCAACGGCGACCGAAAATACGATATCGACTCCGAGTCCGACTCGGGCGAGTCCATTAACAACGCCCCCGGAGATGGTTCCGACACCAAGCCTCTCAAGTCGGCCCTCAAGAAGGGCAGCCAGCCCGCCCCCGACGAGACGGCCGCGAAGCCGTACCTCCCGCCGCAGACCGACCCCAAAGACCTCGACGTTGCCAGCCTGACCCCCCTAACACCCGAGATTATCGCTCGCCAGGCCACCATCAACATTGGTACCATTGGACACGTCGCTCACGGAAAATCGACGGTAGTCAAGGCCATCTCAGGCGTCCACACAGTCCGCTTCAAGAACGAGCAGATCCGCAACATTACCATCAAGCTCGGCTATGCCAACGCCAAGATCTACAAGTGTGACAACACTGCCTGCCCACGTCCTACCTGCTACCGAAGCTACAAGAGTGACAAGGAGGTTGACCCTGCGTGCGAGCGCGATGGCTGCGGTGGCACGTACAGACTGCTACGTCACGTTTCGTAAGGATATCCTTGCTACGTATATGTCATATCGCTAACAAAACCAGGTTCGTTGATTGCCCAGGTCACGATATTCTCATGAGCACCATGTTGTCAGGCGCCGCCGTCATGGACGCTGCGCTGCTTCTGATTGCTGGCAACGAACCTTGCCCCCAGCCACAGACCTCGGAACATTTGGCCGCCATCGAGATTATGAAGCTGGACAAGGTCATCATCCTGCAGAACAAGGTCGATCTGATGAGAGAAGAGGCTGCCCAGCAACATTACGACTCCATTCTCAAGTTCATTCGCGGTACTGTCGCTGGCCAGTCTCCAGTCATCCCCATTTCAGCTCAGCTCAAGTTCAACGTTGATGCAGTCAACGAGGCCATTGTTAACACTATTCCTGTCCCCCCCCGTGACTTCAGCAAGCACCCCCATATGATTATTATTCGATCATTTGACGTCAACAAGCCTGGTGCCGAGATTGACGAGCTCAAGGGTGGTGTCGCTGGTGGCTCTATTCTTCATGGTGTTGTCAAGCTCGGCGACGAGGTTGAAATTCGCCCCGGTATCGTGTCCCGCGACCAGAGCGGTGCCATCAAGTGCACACCCATCTTCAGCCGTGTCGTTTCGCTCAACTCCGAGTCCAATGACCTCAAGTACGCCGTCCCTGGTGGTCTGATCGGTGTTGGTACCCGTATCGATCCTACTCTGTGCCGTGCCGATCGCCTGGTTGGCTTCGTGCTCGGGCTCAAGGGACGCCTGCCGGACATTTACAGCGAAATCGAAATCAACTTTTACCTCCTCCGCCGCCTGCTCGGTGTCAAGACTGCGGATGGCAAGCAGGCCAAGGTTGCCAAGCTCGCCAAGAACGAAGTTATCATGGTCAACATTGGCTCAACATCTACTGGTGCCAAGATTGCTGCCATCAAGAACGATGCTGCCAAGCTGATCCTGACGAACCCCGCATGCACGAGCATTGGCGAGAAGGTTGCCCTGTCGCGTCGTATCGAAAAGCATTGGCGTCTCATTGGCTGGGCCACCATTTCTGCGGGTGTCACCCTGGAGCCTAGCAGCTCCTAAATACAAAGCATAATGAGGGAAAGAAAACGAGGGAAACCGAAAGACCGTCAAGCGATGATCACGACATCCGTTTTGGGATGAGCCATGTCTAAGCGTCACCTCGCTAGAGATTTTATAGAGGAAGATGTTGGGCGATGGGGGCAGGACAGGTTCATGATGCAGCGGTGTTAGGCTACAAAAGGGCACGGTCGTTGTACTTTGTCGAACTGCTTTTTTTGCGAGAGAAAAAGAGGTGTTGGCGTGTTGTTTTTGGCGGACAAAAGGGAGGAATACCAAGCATCTGAACGGCCGTTGTTTATGAAAAACGAAATTTCTTATGAGGTTTTTTGTATCCTGGTAACTCTAAAATAAATGAATAAAAAAGTTAACAATACGGGTTGCACATGTTGATTGACACTCTTGTTTTCTCCGCGCCAAGATTTTGACTCCCTGGCAAGACAGGGTTCACGTAACTACCTATACTCTTGTCTATTCTGTGACATCGTACTTGTTGCTACGCCACCCATCATCTGCTGGGCGACGGAACAGCAGTACGCACGCCCAGCATGCCATGAATTGTCTATCGTCACTCGCTGATAATTAAAGAAAAATGGGACATAGACCTCAGTATTACCTATAATGTATTAGAGGCGCATAACAGAAATAGGTACCTACAGATGCCTGCCTTGTAACTAATGAAGCTACCTTGGGTATTAACAACTGCGTGCGAGACTGGCACTACAAAGAAGGGCGAAGTATGAACGAGGAACAAGTCATGCTTATTATTCCTTGTTATTCTCTTCTTTGTCCTTTTAGTTCTCCTTGCCTTTACTCTTTCAATTCCTTTAGTGCCCGCAAGACTGGCAGCGCTAGGTAGGTAAGTACCTATAGAGGTACCTAGGGACTCTGCTGAAGTATGCTGGACGAGAGCTCGAGGAGTATAGATAGGTACCTAGGAAAAAGCTTTGGAAATGATATTCATGGCTTCCAGTTCATAAAAAGCATGCGCCGACTAGATTATATCACAAATATCCTTGATACTCAGCTTTAGAATTGATCCCCTCCCTCGGCTGCAGACCGGACTTGCGGCGCTGCCAAGGTTCACGGGCAGCCACCATCTACCGTATCTAATCTATCGGTGCGGCGTTGTCAAACGCAGCAGTAGATGACCAGTGTTTCCTCAACACCATCAACCAGAGGCGACTCTGCTTCTGCCGTGCGCCGTTGTCTTCCCCGTGTCTGAGGCTTTGCCATTGCTATCATAACGGAAGCCTATCGGAAACTAATACATGGTTATGACACTGAGTCCGCTCCCTATATCCTGGCGCACCCACCCCTTTTACAGCAACGCCTCAAGTGTCCAACCCCAACCGCCCGCTTCGAGAGAGCCACGCCACCACGATACCCGACCAAGACGATACATAATAATATACCAACTGACGGAACGCCATGGATCAGGCCGACATCCCAGCGCTGCTGGCGCGCCTGTCGAGCGACGAGGACGCCGCGCGCAAAATGGCCGTCTTCAAGCTCCAGTCCTCCATCAACGACCCAGCGTTCGCCGACGTATTCATCTCCTCGGGCGGCCTCGTCATCCTGCGCCGCCTTATCATGGGCGCCGGCGGCAATACACTGGCATACTCCCTGCAGTCGCTCTCGCGCCTCCTCGAGGTCGACATGGGCTGGGACATCTTCGAGGGTCCCAGCGCGGGGGACCTGGTCGAGCGCATCGTCGAGCTCATCGTCACGAACCCGCTGGTTAACATCCTTCGAGGCGCCATGTCGATCTTGGTCGCGCTTGTAAGCCATTCGCAGTCGACCAACGAGGCCCGCGGCAGCTCCGGCAGCTTTGGCTTCCGCGCCCTGCGGCCGGCCATTGCCGTGTATCCGCAGTTTTTTGAGCTCGTCGTCCAGCAGCTGCAGAGCGCCGACCACGCGCTCTGCGCCAACGCGCTCATGCTCACAAACGCCCTGATCCGCGACGCGCTGTCGAGCAGCAACACACCCGAGGGTACCTTTGAGGGCACCGGAGAGGAGTGGACTACCATCATCAAGCGTCTGCACGATCTGGGGTTGGTCAAGGCCGTCTACAAGATAATGCAGAGCTCGACGCTACAGGACCTCGCTCATCCTGTCCTAGAGTTCCAGGCCCTCAGCAAGCTACTGCTGCGTCGTTGGAGGGATGTGCCCGTCGACGTAGACAGACCCGAGCACAGGCGTACCTTGAAAGCGCTGCATCTGGCCAGTAAACCAGAAAAGAATCCCGACGTGAATGGGCACTCGAGGGACGACTCCGCGGACGGGACGAAGAAGGAAGGCAAGCGACGCAACCCCGACAAGTGGCGTCGGCTGGGCTTTGAATCGGAAAGCCCTTCGCAGGAATTTGAAATGAGCGGCTGCCTTGGTATGATGGATTTGGCCGACTATGTGCGCAAGTTTGAGGACAGCTACCAGAAAACACTGCTGGAGCAGTCGGTCAAGGCTGTGCGCGAGCGATGTCCCATTGCGCACGCAAGCACAACCGTGACCATGATATTGTATGACCATTTCGATGTGGACAAGACCGATATGGAAGACACCAAGGGATATCAAAATCTAGAGGGCAAGAATTATGACCAGCTATTTCGACCCCTACTGTTGCAGTGGTCTCGACTTCACACCTCGGCGCTGCAAGCTTTCTTTCGCATTTGGAAGAGCACTGGGGCCGAGACGGACGACTTTGACAAAGTCGGCGAGCTGGTGCGCATTCTCGTGGAGCACGTGGTGGGACAGTCGTCGCGCACTCGCGATGTGCTCGAGGTGGAGGACGACATGGCCGAGTTTGACGTGGCGCGCCTACGCGAGCTGCAGATGGAGCTGCTGGAGCAGTCATTTGACGACACGTGGGGCGAGCACCTGTACCAGGTCCGCGAGACGCTGCGGCAAGAGGCTCTGCAATTCGTCAAGGAGCAACGCGTGCGGTGTCTGCTGCACGGCTCATGGTCGATGCACCCGGCGGTGGCGGCCGGCCCGGACCAGGCCAGCAAGACGAGCGACGGCAGCAAGGAGCAGTGGCGGTTTGCCAAGCTGTCGCATAACCGGCGCTACTTGCACTACGCCGACTTTGACAAGCAGGCGCCGCAGGACCCGGGCCTCGCCAGCCTGACGGAAAAGATTGACCTCAATACCATCAGCTCTGTCGTGTCCAACGTGTCGGCCAACAACGACCAGGCGAGCCAGAGCAGCGGCTCGACGGTGCAGAGTCCGGGTGTGCGCAAGACGCTCACGACGACCAAGATTACCATTTACAGCTACGTGCACGCGGCCGAGGCGGCGCGCGGCGGCGACAGCAGCGAGTACCCGATCCTCGAGCTGTGGCCGGTCAACCACAGTCTGGCGTCGGAGTGGCTCGACGGGTTGCTGATGCTGCTGAACCAGACGCCGATTACGGCGGAGACGAGCAAGCTGGTGAATCTGGTGAGTGATTATGGGTTGAAGATTCGACTGCTGAATGTACGGATGGACGGCGCGCTGGAGGGGCCGCCGGCGGGGGCGGGTGTGGTGCCGAGCCGGGATGGTTTGGATGAGGATTACTTTTATGAGATTTGAGGCGGCGAGTCGATCTTTTGCCCGCTGCAGGGAAAGGAAGGTTGATGTAATTTGGTTTATTGGTTCTCTCTTTTGCATATACCCTCTGTATATGGTGATGATGTTTTATATCATCAATGTATATTCAGTTTCTGCACATGGTTCTTTATATATACTATGGAAATGGTCTGGAAAAACAGTCACGAACTAGACAGCCTTTGTTTTATCTGGTACGCGGTACTTGTTTGTTAGGATGGCGCCATAACCTCGCTTGTCAAATTTATTATGTGACGGCGCTTTTGCCACCGGGGACAACAACACGGTGCATGTGTACACGTACCACACACACACGCACAAGTTGGCTGTAGGGTAATCTTCCATTGATTTACTTATGTAGTTGTTCCCCGGCTGTGCTGCGTGCGTGCGCTGGATCGTATATGTATGTCTCGGCTGACCGACTGTTGGAAGCATGTGGTGAGGAGCTCATGCATTATCTCGAATATATTTGGATCATGATTGGATGGAGGCCTGATTGAAAAACTATGCATACGAACCTAGTCTCTGCTTGGGGAGTTGCAATGGCCTCTTGAAAAGAAGAACAAGAGAAAAGAATGATGCGGCGGCCCGTTGCAAGTGTGGAGTTATTGCGGCATCTGGGGCGCTGGCGGAGCCCGGCTTTGACTTTTGGGTAGGAATGCGTGCATTGCGCGAGACTAACTACTGATAGCAACTTGCAACTGGCGAGCTATTGTATCTTATAGTTGGGTTGTTTTCCTCCGGTGTACCAGTATTGAATACCGAGGAATATCAGTGATATTATATAGAAACGAGTCGGGATCTCTGAGAGAAGCACAGAACTTTGATACGAAATTTTCATCCTTGACCAGCCTCTCTCCTCCAGCCTCAGCCATCGCCGGCCCACCAGAGTGCATCGCCGCCGGTAGGTCAGGTATTATGTACTCGGTACTTGGTACTTGGGCGCAAAGGGCGGTGACTTGTTCGGCGCAGCGTTGATGCCTGGTCAAAGAAGCCCCATGCTCACATGTAACTCTTTTCACCTGGTCCAGCGGTCCGGTCGACGAATGGCCAAGGCTCCGGTGGGTTAGGAAAAGAAAAAAAGCCATTTTTCTCGGCTGGCTTCGATCCATTGGTGTGGGCACATCGTAAGCTCAGCGCGTGGGTTTGGTCCGGATTTGCCGTTCCGGGGGACATAATATCTCGCCTGGCATTCTTCGCTCCCTTCCTTTCCTCCTTGCATCCGTACTTTGCCTTTTCCAACTTCTTTCATTTTCTCGGTGGAAGAGGGGAAGAGCAGAGTGTTGGGGAACGACAAAGCCCGCTAGCTACGGTACGTGCCGTGCAGGCACAGGGCGGAGGACAGCAACGACAAGTGCCTCGCCGGGGAGCTGCTCTGTTGACGGCAGCCAGCGCCAGGTATTGGAGGCGAGGTCTTGTCCTTTTTGCGACCAGCCTCGTTCACCAACGAGATTCTGCTTCATTTGGCCGTCTTGAGAGGCGTTGCTGCTCAGGATTCGCTACTGCACGGTGGCTGACTAAGCAGCTGCTACAGCTCGCAAGCAAACAGCAGGCGCGAACCACGAACCCCCCACTGAGTCCACTGGAGCCCACTGAACCGCCATCATTCCCGTTGTGGATTCGCCAGGACAGTTCCCTGAAAGTCTGGCCTGATCAAGGCCAAGCCACTCGAGACGCCTTCCCCTGACGCGGAGGACACTTGGACGATACAAAAAAACACTTTTCAGCAACGGCAAGAATATTCATCCCTGCACACTCCAATTTCCCATCCACAGGGTCGACCAAGAGAAACGAAACAGCCAATTCGAGCTCCGCTCATTTTCAATCTTTTACCTGCCTACTTGCCTACCAAAACCCTCGCATCCCTCCCTCCTAAAAACTACCTACCCAACCCTTTGCCTACGACTGCAACAGAGTCTCTTCGCTTTGGCTTCCCTCACGCAACCCACAATCTGCAGGTATGTGAATCCCTCTTGCTCAGACAGATAACCCCCTTGATCGCATCCCCCCCTCCCGCTCCTCGCTACGTCCGATAGGCTGGCTGCATCATTCGTGGCGCCCTTGGGCTGCTTTTGCTGCCAGACCAAAATCGCGAAGAACCGAGCTATTCTACTAGGTCGAGCAAGTCACTCGACCTGCGACGGTAGCTGGCAATAGTTAAGTAAAGGAGGCGTCAACACCAATGCCCACCCCCTTTGTCTTTGTTGCTCGCCCCCCCTTCCCGCGCCAACCACCATCTATCTGCCTTATCGCAAGGGCCGAGCGAGCACTCTTTGTCTGCCTGGCTACGACTTCCCAGACGCAATGGCTAATATATTCTCCCACAGCTTCTCTTAGCAATTGCCACCATCACCCAGCTAGCATCTTTGCGCCGCGCCTTCACCCCGCTTCACCATGTCTCGCATCCAGATTCCCCTCGACGCCTTGACGTCCCGCCTCAACCTGGGCGAACGCTTTCAGGGTTTCCGCGCCGGTCCCCTCTCCGGCCGCTTCTCCAACCTCAAGCCCATCTCCGAATTCCTCGACTTCAAGCGCATTTCCAAGCCCGCCAACTTTGGTGAGGCCCAATCACGCGTCAACTATAACCTCAGCCACTACTCGTCCAACTATGCTGTCGTATTCTCCATGCTCAGCATCTACGCTCTCCTCACCAACTGGCTCCTCCTCTTCGACATCATCCTCGTCGTCTGCGGCATGTTCATCATTGGACGCCTCGACGGCCGCGATCTCGAAATCGGCACTTTCCGTGCCACATCCTCGCAGCTCTACACGGGTCTGCTCATCGTCGCCATCCCACTGGGTCTGATTGCTTCGCCTTTCTCGACCCTCATGTGGCTGATTGGCGCCTCTGGCGTGGCCATTCTTGGCCACGCTTCCTTCATGGACAAGCCCATCGATGAGGCTTTTTCCGGGGAGGCGGTCTAGGTGGTCGGCCGCAAGCTCCCAAATTTGCGCCCCAATGGGGAAGACCATCAAGGCGCGGGCGGAGGAGGACAGACGGCGATGCTGGTCTGTATGAATTAATGTTTGGTAATGGTAGGGTGGAGGATGTGGGCTCTGACGACGATGAGAGCGATGGCCATGGAGTGGGTTTGCCTGCGCGCCGCCAAACCCGCTTCATCAGCGATTCTTTGCAATTTACTGGCACCGACCTGGGCGATCGCTCCGATGGTGTCGTCCGCCGCGGGAAACGTTACCAGAACTCGGGCGACGAGTCCGACTCCCAGGCAACATCCGACAATGGTGAAAGCGAAGATGAAGATGAGACCGAGGGCAGCCAGAGCGGGAATTCCCAGCTGTCCCTGAGCGCCAGGGAAGATGCGCTTGTTCAGTCGGCCCTCAAACGAATCAGCCGCGCGCAAGCCCAGGGCCGAACGGATGTCAATCTGAACAAGAACGAGCTGGCTGCGCTCGAGCGCCGACGCAAGCGCATGCAAGAGGAGGCTGAACGGGCTGAGCGGGAGCGCGCTGCACGCGCGTCCGGATCCAGTGGAAGCGATCGAAAAAAGAAGCACAAGGAGCAGCGAGTTGCTGTGCCGCTATCCCAATTTGTGCCAGTGTCAAAAAAGGAGCGCAGTGGCAGCAGTCACCCGCCACGCAAGGACTCGCTGCCCTCGCGCTCTATCGTGGGAGACTCTCCGGACCAGCAAGTGTACCCTCCGATGGGATATTTTCCGCCGCCTTCGCAGTCGCGCTCTCGCAGCTCATCGCATTTGCAACGCCCTGGTAGCCGTGCTCGCGACACCAACAACAACTCGCCCCCGGTCGCCTATTATCAGTATGCTTCCGGGTCTAGTCATAGACATGCTTCCGACTCTATGACGCGCTCTCACACCCGCGGCCTGCCTCGTGAGGATGCCTGGAACCCGGACTCGTCCCTGGACCCGTTTCAGTACCAGACCGATGGAGCGCGTGCCGCTTACCCTGCTTCATCCAGGGGCAGCCGCTCCGAGGCGGGCTACAGACAATCGTCACACGGTCACGGCACCTCGTCGCCTGCCACTAGAAGTCACCACGGCTCTGCGCGCCCCAGCCTTAGCAGGGTGTCTGATAGTAGCGAGACGAGCGGGGAGGACACGGCCAGCGACGAGCTTGGCAACGGAGCACAAATCAGGGAGCAACAGCAGCAGCAGCAGCAACAGCAACAGCAGAAACAGCCTGTACGGGGGAGGAGAAGTAGAGACATCGTCGTCGAGGTAGAACCAGAACCACCATTACCACCACCACCAGCAAAGAAGAAGTCTTCGTCACCAACGAAACGAAAGCCCGCGCCGAACGGGAAGAAGAAGAAGAGGTAGAATGACAAGGGGAGCTTGAAATTTGGGAATTTGGGATGCGGGATAGAACAGGATGTTGAAAAGGATGCATCGGAATGCGACGGGATGCGATGAGGATTGTATTTTTTGCGTTTAGTATTCACTTTATATTCCTTGATACCAATATTGTGTAAGTGGCCGTAGCCTGACACTACAATAAAGACATGTTCTTTCATGCAAGCTATTACTACTATTTGGTGTTGGGTTTTTCATGCAAGCTATTACTACTATGTAGTGTTGGGTTTGGTGGTGATGACGAATGTGAGGTCAACTTCGATTGTCCATGAACCAACATGGATATGCACCGAGAAATGTTGCCCCATGCGTAGCCTCGTTGAATTCAAAACTCTTTATTGCTTCGGACACTTTCTATAACTAAACCTATACATGACACCGTGTGGCGTGCACCCAGCCAGCCACGTCGCACAGCCTTGTCTCCGTGGCCTATCGCAAGCTGACTGATACAAGTCACAATCCTGCTTGTGCCACGTCACGTAAGCCTTGCCAATGCAACGAACGAGCTGGTTTAATGTCTCATTTATCGAGGCAAGTGAGATGGTATACAGCGCATCTTTCGTGCCAAGCCGAATAGAGGTCCGCCTGCCAGAACCCTGAGCTGAGCACGTGCCTTTGTTGTAACAAGAACAGCCTTGTGTTAATATTCTATCTATTTATGTATGGACTTAAGAGGTTGCTGATGTCAGCTTTCAGGGCCAACTGTCGCATCTTCTGTCATCATTTCAACCTAGCAAAGCTCTCTAGAGTACGGAAGCAGCCTTGTTGAAAATATAGTCGGCATGTTGGCAGGGTGAGCAATATTGACCAAACTGTATACCCTTAAGACAGTGTGTTAAAGTTGGCCGAGGCCCAAGACAGGAAGCTGAGCCTTGGTTCAATAAGGCTTTGCGAGCCACAACTATCTGCTTGCGCCAGATCTAGTGTGTTGCTACCAGAAGGGAGAGGGGGGGCGAGACGTTGTCCATGCCGCCGCCAAGCAACCAATCGCCATGTCTTTTATGATTATAATCTTGTGTTCCGTCGTCACGTTGAGAAACACCCTAACGGTCTTTGATCCGGTGGCTTACAGAGACGCCCAATCCAACCCGTTGTCTCTGATCGGTGGGCTTTTGCAGAGCCCGCCCTGTCCCCAACTGTCTGTGATCTGTGTCTTGCAGCACGCAATAGGCAGCGGCAGGGACTGTGATCTGGATGTCTCGGAGGCAACTCAATAGTCAGTTCGTCATGACTGTGACGTGTGCCTTGCAGCACCGAATGACCCAGCGCTCCTCTGATTGTGATTTGTTGCCTTCCAGAGCGCCGCCTTATCCAGCCTTGTTTGTGATCAAGCGCCGTATGGTCCCCCAAGGGGCCAACCCGGTCTGTCATCTGTGGATTACAGAGTGCTCTATACGGATACTTGTTCCTCGGTGGCTGACAGAGCGCAGTTGTCCCGACTTGCCCCCAGGACCGGACACATACTGAAAACAGCAGGCGTTCCGTGCTAGCCATTAGTACGCCAGCTACGAGAGCCAAGGCAGACAGTAGGAGGATTGTAAATATCCGGATGTCCCCCCCCATCAGATTAGAGAAAACTCTAATACAAGACCACCGTCTCTATTCGCGCACCTGTTCACCTATACTATATTAGCCCGTTCTCTGTGTCATGTTTCCAAAGTCCAGCCGCGGCAGGCACGAACGCCCGTCTTCCTTGAAAGAGGGCCGCACCACGCAAGACGGGACGGCCGCGGCGCCGCCCGCGTCCCCGTTTCCGCGCCTCGCCAAGTCCCTGGACCACTTGCGGCCGTCGTACGACTGCGTCGTCATCGGGTCCGGGTACGGCGGCGGCGTGGCCGCGTCGCGCATGGCCCGCGGCGGGCAGTCCGTGTGTGTCCTCGAGCGAGGCGGCGAGAAGTGGCCCGGCGAGTACCCGACCGGCCTGCGCCAGGCGGCCCGGCAAGTCCACGTTTCGGCAGGGCGGGCCGGGGCGTGCGGGAACGCCATGGGCATGTTCCACATCGTGGCGGGCAAGGGCCAGAGCGCCGTTGTCGCCAATGGTAAGCGAGCCTTGGACGGTGGCCTTTGGGAAAGGAAGCTAACGATGGAACCTTGCAGGGCTTGGTGGCGGTAGCTTGATTAACGCCAATGTCTTTCTCGAGGCAGATGAGTCGACGCTGTCCTCGGAACTATGGCCGTCGGAAATCCGGCAAGACCCGGCCTGTTTGTCAAAATGTAGGTATTTTGCTCCTCCGCTCTGTTCAATCCTTGTTTGCCTCGCCGTCTTATGATCCATCGGCACTAACACGGCTCCGTTGTGAACATGCAGACTATCAACGAGTCCGAGAAGTGCTAGAACCCGAGCCGTATCCCCAGAGTTGGCCCGTCCTCGACAAGACCGTGCGCCTCCAGCAGCTGGCCCAGGCGCTCGGCTTGGCGGACCGCTTCTACCGCGTGCCACAGACGACGCGCTTCCGGCCCGGCAGCAACAGCGTCGGCGTGTCCATGGCGCCGTCGACGCTCAGCGGCCAGGACGCGACGGGCATCAACGACGGGTCCAAGACGACGACGCTGGTCACGTACCTCGCCGATGCGTGGCACTGGGGCGCCGACCTGTTCTGCGCGTGCGAGGTGCGGTATATCGAAAAGGCGGCCGCGGAGCTCGGCGGCTACCTCGTCTACTTTGCCACACACGACCGCGCGCGTGCCGCGTTTCCCAAGGATCGCTACGCGGAGCTGTCGTGGGTGCATGCGAAAAAGGCCGTGTTTCTGGGCGCCGGGTCGCTCGGCACGACTGAGATTTTGCTCCGGAGCAGGGCCATGGGCCTCGCCGTGAGTGACTTGGTCGGACAGGGCATGAGCGGCAATGGCGACATGCTGGCGTTTGGGTGAGTTTGTCGTGATGGGCAGGTACCGGCACTTGACTGACAGGGATTTCAGATACAATACAAACCGCGGAGCGCTTGCGAGTACGAACCGGAAGCAGACGTTTACAGATCGAGAAGGGCCTGCCATCACCTCCACTATCGACATGCGTGACAAGACTGGCAATCCGCTTGACGGATACGTCATCCAGGACGGAGCAGTCCCGACAGTCTTGTCAACATTTGTCAACACCGTGGTTGGTGCGTATGCGGCGCTTTCGTCCTTGTCGAAGGGTCCGACTCGTCCAAAAGTGAAATGGCTTCTTTCGAGATGTAAGCAGAGATTGCGACATCCATTCTCTCACAGAAGCAATACTCGAGATATCCAAGTGCTCTTGGTCATGTCTCATGACAGTGAGTGATGAGTCATTCCAACAAGGAATCAACTTGCTCACCATGGACAGGCAGCCAGGCGACCGTTCGGCTCGAGGACGATAAGCCCGTCCTTGAGTTCCTGGGGGCCGGCCACAATGAAGAACGCGTGGAAAGAATAATGGCGCCCCTCAGGAAAGTCATCGAGGAAGAGGGAGGCACATTGGTCTATAATCCATTGCTCCGTCTCTGGGGCAATCACCAAATCACTGTCCATCCTCTTGGGTACGTCAAACCTGCTTCTTTTCAGCAACGAGAACAAGTACTTACCTCCGCGTTGTAGCGGCGCGAGCATGTCCAGGGACAACAGCGGAAAGAGTGGCGTCACAAACCACGTTGGCGAAGTCTTTGCTGGCCAGCAGTCGGAAACGCACGCTGGTCTGATTGTGGTGGACGGTGCCGCGATTCCTGCTGCGTTGGGGGTGAATCCCAGCGCCACGATTGCTGCCTTGGCGGAGAGGTCCGTTGCCGCGTTTGCCAAGAGACAATCGCTCACCATTTCTACAAAGTCAAACGGCACCATCAATCTTGATGCGCCGGCTTTTGCCCACAAACTTGGCCGAGAACCAACGCAGCCCTCCACCCAGACCCTGAAACGACTTGTCAATCCCATCTCCTTTACAGAACTATTGGAAGGATACCTTTATAGCGACACGGCTATCAAGTTGTGCAATAGAGCGTCATACGAGCGTGCATATCGAATGGCTAGCGGTCGTGGACAAGTAGCGCGGCTGTTGGCGAGCATTCAGCTTGAGAGGACGACGCCAAGACCGAAGGAAACTTGCTACAAAGGAACCGTTTCTGGTACGCTGGTGTGTCCTACCATCCAGGGCTCGCCGTTTATGCTGCACGGTGGTACCATTGACCTTTTTCAGCCGGACCTGGACAGGTGCGGGACAAGCAAGCTCGTCTACGACTCCCCCATGACGGGTACGAATGGACGGTCACTGCACCTGCACGGCGTCAAGATTCTCGATGCCTCCGTCTCACTCAGCCCCAGGAAGCTATGGCGGGCCATGACCAGCCTGCTCGTCACCATTGCCGACAACAGCGGCAGCGATACAGTCGCCGCCGGGATACTGAAAGTAAAGCCCGGCCCGTTCCTCAAGCAGCTGCGGACACTGACCGCGACCGGACAAGACCGAGCGGAGCGGTGCAGGCGGGTCATGCAGCTGTCGTCGCATTTTGTGCGCCAAATGGCGCCGCACTTCTTCCTGCCGCTGGGACCCCTGGAGTACGCGGCGACGCCGCCGCTCGGCGACTTCACGAACCCGACGGAGCCGACGGCGACGTACCAGATCGTGGCCCAGGACGGCGTGCAGACGAGGCTGCTCATGTGGGAGCCGGACCCCGCGCACGTGGCCAGGGACGTCCTCGGCACGCCGGTGCCGACGGAGAACCTATTCATGATCCCCGGCGCCGGCGTGGACCACCAGATCTTCGCGCTGCCCACCATTGCCACCAACGCGGTCAACTACTTCACGCGCGCCGGCTACCGCGTCTTTGTCCTCGTGCACCGCATCGGGCGGCTCGAGCACGCCGACCCAAGCAACGAATGGACCACGTACGACGCGCGGCTCGACATCCGCGCCGGCCTGGAAAAGACGCGCCAGCTCCAGGGAAGCGGCAAGCTGTACACCATTGCGCACTGCATGGGCTCCGTCGCCTTCTCGTGCGGGCTGCTCGACGGCACCGTGCCCGCCGACTGGATCCGCGGCATCACCTGCAGCCAGGTCTTCATGCACCCGGTCTGGGGCGGCAGCAACCGGCGCAAGGCCGCGCTGCCCGTGTCGCTGGACCGGCTGCACGCCGCCACGCTCGGGCCGTGGTTCCGCTGCGCCGCCTCCCCCTCCGCCGGCGGCGGCGCCCGCCAGGCGCTCGTCGACCAGCTGCTGCGGTTCGCGGGCTCGGAGCGCTGCGCGAGCGCGAGCTGCCACCGCGTCGGCTTCCTGTTTGGGCGCTGCTGGAACCACGCCAACCTGAACGAGGCGACGCACCGGCACGTCGACGCCTTCTTTGGCGGCGCCAGCATGGCGCTGATGCAGCTGCTCGTGCGCATGGGCCGGCGCGGGCGCGTGACGACCAACGGGCCGGCGTTTGCGCCGCTCGACACGGACCCGAATGTGCAGCGGCTGCGCGGGATCCCGATTTTTCTGTTTTCTGGCGCCGAGAGCGACGTGCTCTCGCCCGAGGCCACGGAGAAGACGTATGAGCGGCTGTGTACCACGTTTGGGCTCGCGGCGCCGCCGGGGGCGCCGAGGCCCGGGCTGCAGTACCGCAGGAGGGTCGTGCAGGGGTACGGGCATCTCGACTGCTGGATGGGACGCGATGCCTACAGGGACGTGTATCCGATGGTGCTGGATGAGGTTGATCGGGTGGTGAGGGGGGAAGAGTGGTCGGCGCTGGTGCGTGGATAGGAGAGTCACACAATCCAACGCCAGCATCTACTTTTTTATTCCCATTATATTCTTAGTATATGGTATTATGTTCTATTCTATATCTATTTTATCTTTATTCTATATCTGCCATTTTATTGAATCCCTGCCTTTTCTATAGCTGCCACTCAATTTGATGTCGCATCGACTCAAGGCACATTTCCAACTGAAATGCCATTCATGAAATAAACTCTAGCCTTTATAGTCCCCAATGCTGGTATAAAATAGTAGTATAAGCTAGTAAATAAGCATCACTCTCATCCGTGTGCTTGTGGTTTGCTCATCTTGCTAGGCCGGCATAGCTTAGCAGGCCTCGGCACGTACCCCTGTAGCATCCGGCGCGGACGTAGCCTTTGCTTCGACGTGCCATCGTCATTCGGCCTCGCAGCTTCCTGCATCATTCTCCTCTCCCGCGCATCAGCTTCCACGACGTTGTATCGACCTGTAGACAATTCCCCACCTCTCCTCGCCCTCCACACGGCCCGGCTCCCCCGAACCCTCGCCCTCCTCTCTTTGCGACCCCGACCGAACGCTACCAACAGCTACCTCGACCACCACCACCACCACACACACACACACAATGGGGTCCTCCTCAACGCTCTCCAAGTCGAGCGCCGGCTCCAAGAAGAAAGACTCATCGTCATCTACACGAACCGGCGCCCGGCGCCTGCTCAAGGAGCTCGAGACGTGGCGCGCCGAGCAGCCCGAGGAGCGCGGCATCGAGCGTCTCGGCCCCGTGAGCGACGAGAACATGATGCAGTGGGAGGCCGTCATCAACGGCCGCGGCGTGGGCCATGGCTATGATGGTGTGTTTCTGTTCCATCCCCCCCGCCCCCCACCCAAACTAACCAGAGGACCACAGGCGGCCGCTGGCTCCTCGCCATCGACATACCCGACGAGTACCCCCTCAAGCCGCCCCGGATGCGCTTCGCCACCCAGGTCGTGCACCCCAACATTGCGCTGCAAAACGGCGAGATCTGCCTCGACCTGCTCAAGGACGCCTGGACCCCCACGTACAGCGTCCTCGAGTGCGTCCGCGCCGTCCGCATGCTGCTCAGCTGCCCGGAGACGGACTCGCCCTTGAACGTCGACGTCGCGGCCCTGCTGCGCGGCGGCGACGTTGTCGGCACCCGCAAGCTCGTCGAGCTGTGGTGCTCCGAGGACAATGGACGGTACGAAGGCGCGTGAACCGCAATGCCCGGTCTGCTATCAAGCAACTTGGCTGTTATGTTTTCTCATTTTCCTCATGTCATGTGTAATAAGCGATGGATTAATCTATACCGGTAATGGAAAACCGTTGGATAGTACTAGAATGATTATTTTCTTTACGTCTACAATCCAAGACATAACGACTACGCTGCTGAAACCCCATCAAGGAGCTGACATGGATTTTGCCACAGTCCTGCACGACACCACATCCAGACAACACATTCCGTACATCATCATTCTATTGTTTCAGTTGCCTATTCCAACCTGACTCCTTCCTCGTACCAGCTGCCTAATGAAACAGAAAAAGGGCCGCCTGTGAAAAAAAGATATATAGTGTACAAGAAATCACACATTTTTTGGAAACCCAAAGCCATGAGAAAGAGACAAATAGAAGAAATAAAATCACGCAAAAAAAAAACAATCGAGGAAATGAAGAAAAAAAAGTAAAACCCTACATTCTCCTGGCTCATCTTGACACCGCTTTTTCATCACCTCTTCTGTTTTAAACATCAATGTTCAAAAAAGATGCGACGTGGTGCGTGGCTCCTTTAGTCTTTCTCCCAAGACTAAGCGGGCGAGATCAATGCCGGTTCCAAACGCCAATGTGTCCAACTCTGCCGGTAGCCATGCACGGCGGGCTGTCAGGCCGACAATGGGCGCTGCAGAGAGGCGACCCCAAAATCATGCATCACCCACGAGCCTCTTATTCATTACGCCGGAAAATGTGTTACTCATTATAGTGAAAGACCTAGAACATTCATAGTAAGCACGTGTTGTTGCCCGGGGGGCACGTCACGACGTCGACATACCCTGTAGTTGGGTAGACCCCATGGTTGCTTTCCAAGACGCTTTGCCATCTTGGCAAAGCCTTCCGTCTCAATCAGGTGGTAGAATGCAAAGGGCGGGAACATGGCGCCGTCGCGGTGCACCTCGGCCTTGACCAACAGGGCGGTGCCGCCCACGCCGTCCAGCGGCATCACCTGGTTGATGTCGCCGTTGGGGTCGTACAGCTTGGCCATGAGCATGCGGTACGTCGGCATCTCAGCGTAGCCCTCGAGCAGAATGTCGTCGGGCCCCATCTTCTTGGCCAGCTCCTGCGCGTTTTCGCTGTCCTGCCAGTTGTTGAAGTCGTACGGGCGCTCCGACATTTTCTTGGTGTCCTCGTCGTAGTAGCGCTGCCAGCAGTTGGCGCTGATGACGTCCTTGTCAAACGCGGCCAGGTCCTGGATGAGGCTGGGCGGGCTCTCAACAACATCGGCGTCGAGCCAGAGCACCCACGACGTCTTGGGACCGAGCGTGGTGAAGAGAAGCGAATTGCGCGCCTTGGCCATGACCTCGCGCCGCGCCTTTTGGTTCGACATTTTGTGGCGCTCGCTCTCGTCCTGGGAGGCGAGGGCGGGGTCGAAGTCCTGGCGGAGGATGATGATGCTCTTGAAGCGGTCCTTTTCCGGGCCGCGCTTCTGCGTCTTCTGAATCTGCTTCTGGAGCGCGGCCGTGGCTGCGTTGCCGTCCTTGTCCTTGGGCAGGATGAAGCCGAGCGTGATGAGCTCGTGTGGGTAGCTGAGCGTCATCAGATTATCCCAATAGCCCTGGTAGAAGCGTGACATGGGCGTGAGTACGAGGATGTGCTCCTTGTTGCGCATCGGCTGCGGCGTCACCGTCACCTGGTTAAGGTCGTACCGGGACACGGGCGGCGGCCGGCTCGTCTTGCCACCCTTGAGGCTCGATTTGCGGTACGGCGACGTCGGCGGCGATAGGTGGTGGTCGGCCGTGACGCTGGCGAGTCGGCTCGAGACGGACGAGCCCGACGGCGAGATGAGAAAGAGAATGATGAAGATGCACAGCACCGCGCCGAGGATGAGCGTCGACGGGTTGGCCTTCTTTAGGCGGACGGCCCCCATGGCTCGAGCCATGGCCGCGGGGGAGTTTTGAAAGGGCGGACGGAAGAGGAGGCGGTTTTGGGGCGTCGAGGAGCCGGGATTCGTAAAGGAGAGTCGAGGTCGATGAATGCAGAGCCGCGAAAAAAAAAAAAGATTAGACTGAAGGGGACGGGGTCGAAGCACACATGGGGATGCGTGTCGTGCAGTCGCAGGGCAGTCAATGGACGCGACAGGGCGGCCAGAGAAGAAAAGATACCCGTCAGCCGTCACGGGAAGAAGAGAAGAATGGACGTGCCGAGATGCAAAGAAGAGGCCAAGACGAGGTCCCTTTTCGCGCGGCGAGGGTCTGGTGATTCTTGGAGATAAAAAAGGGATGCGCCTCTGAGATTTAGAGGCCAGCTAACGGAGAGTAGGGCCAGCCAGAATTGGTTTAGGGTGTCTGTAGCGCAGCCTGTTGAGCGCCGTCCAGGGGTACTTTTGGACTGTGCCCAGCCCCGGCCAATACAATGTACCTACCTACCTGTTAATAATAGGTAGGTAGTATTCATGTAAGTAGTGCTACATATTAGCACGAGAGCTTTTTACTAAGGGCACAACCTAGGTACTTTTTACGGCGCAAGCACCTAACCACTAAGTCGCACGAGATGCACAACGGTGTCATTTTGGCATATATCGAGTCTCGGTCGTGAAATATTCGAGGAAATGTCGGGCTTCGACGTACTGTAGGCAGTGTAGGAGCTCCTCCAACCGAGGGTCACAGCCTTCACGGCAGGGTTGAGGGGCTAATGTGATCCAAACGGTAGGTTGGCCTTAGGCTACAACAACAGTGAACACGCGCTAAGGCATGTATGCGTGGCACGTGGTTTTCTGTCCCAGCAAAAGCTCCGTTTCCACCAAAAATGCCTAGCACCCTCTTCTTCTCCATTCCCAGTTTTCAAATGGATCAAATTGATGTTCTTGCTGCTGCTTTGGGCTCAATCCCAGCTCTGATATGGGGTGACAGAGCTGTAAGTTTTCTTGGAGTTAGGGCGGCCTGGGAGGTAAGTACCAACTAATTTTTGCAGCGTCTGCTTGTGCTAACCAGCTCAGCACTATCTCCTAGTCATAGACGACACTCACTTTCAACGTGCTGTGCAGCGATTGCGAAACGCAGAGTTCCGTGATTGCCCATGGTCGTATGGCTCATTACACCCAGAGTTCTATACAGGAAAGATAAAGGAGCAGGTTTATCGTAATATCGTGAAGGACTACGGTAACCTGGATCGACACTCAGCTCGTTTCCTGTTTCCAACAGACGAACAATCTCGCATGAAAGTTGTTCTTCTTCCGACATCATATACCCATCTTGAAGTTGCGCATCCTTCCAATGAAGCACTGAAGCCTGGTTCCTGTATCTACTACCCAAACGCCGCCCGCCTTCTCCAAAGTTTCGTGCAGACGTTGGTACGTGAACCTGTCAGGGGAATGTGGACCTCGACTCTGACAGTATGGAGTATTTCATATCTCTACGGGGAACTCGGGCTTGGGCTTGATGAGAGCGCATTAGATATGTGCGGCGATGATGAAGCCAAAGATTGGTTCGATAAAAAAATTTTGAGGTTCGCTGGTGGTATGGACCGAGTGACATACACAAAGCGGTTGGGAAGAGTCGGCTACGATGACAGTCTAGCTAGAAAACGATGATTCCTCAACAAGTGGATGTTTCGTCAAAACAAGCAGCAAGGTGATAATGAAAAATATATACATATATGATATGCTGCATTTGCATTTAGTTCAAATTGTCGTCAATATTTTGAAACATTTTCTTCTGTACTACCGCAGTGCAACGACCAAGTTGACATACTCGTGTCACACCCCCACTGTTCGCACAGTAGGGTGTTGTATAGTCACGCGGCCACCATAGCCACGCAGCCACCATATTAATACTATTAGCTTTTAGTAAAGGCTAAGTAATAATTTTAACTATACTTTATTTAAATATTTATAATTATTATTATTTTTTATTAACTAATATACTAGCTAGTAAGTTATTATTTTAATTTTATTTATAGTTAATAAGACTTTATATAATAATAATAATAATAATAATTCTTATATACTAATTAGGCTAAATAACCTATTTAGTATCTTTACTAATTATAGGGTAAGGAAAAACTAAAGTACCTAAAGGAAAACCTTATTTACCTTCTTAGGATTCTTTATAGTCTTATTTTAAAGTATATAGGGGTTTAATAAGACCCTTCTTAATACTATATATTAGGTTTTTATTTATATCCTAGCCTATATCTAGCTTATACTTTTCTAGCTAGTTAAGCCTATTAACTACCTTTCCTCCCCTTAGGTTTTTATTTATATTAAAAAGACTATATTTAATTCTATATATTTTTAAACTAGTTAAGCTTAATTTCTTCTTAATTCCTTTCCCTCTTTTCTTATTTTTATTTATAAGTATATAATAACTATTATAATATAATTCTATAAATAATAATAACTATAATACCTTTAAGTATAAATAAATAATAAAAAATAATAAGCTAAGCTAAGTCCTAGTTAAGTCCTAATAATAATATAGGTAAAAGTAGGTTTAAAGTATAATATTCTATTATTTAACTAAAGTTTCTTATAAATTTTTACTTACTAATATAATATTATTTATTAAAAGTTAAAAAAGAATAAAACTAAAGTACTTCTTACTAAACTTAAAGGTAAAGGTAGTTAAGGCTATCTTAACTACCTTAACCTCTTTCTTAATAATATCCTTCTTAACTACCTTTTTAATAGTCTTCTTAGACTTCTTACCCTTATTTAGATAAAACTCTTTCTCTTTTCTTTTATTCTTAATACCTTTTTAGGCTAGTCCTTTTCCCTTTCTATTAATAAGGGCTTCTTAGGCCTTTTCCTTTAAACTCTATTATACTAAAAATAAACTTATAATAATAATATAGTTAAGAAAAGTTTAAAGTAACTTAAATAACTTTAGTTTATTACTACTAATAACCTTATTATAGGTAATAAGATTAAACCTATTAAGAAATATAAGAATATTATATTAAGGCTTAAAATAATAAATTAAAGTTATAAATAAAGAGTATATTATATATATATTATTAGTAAGTCTTTTAAAAATACTTATTAGTTTACTTTAAACTATAAATATACTTAGAAATAAATATACCTTATATATTAAAACTAGGCTAAAAGGTATAATAAAAGTAATTATACTATAAGTATACTTTCTAATTATACTATTTATAATATAATATTAATAAATAACTATATTATATAACTAAGTATATTTATTATCCTTTTTATTAAAGAAATTATTAGTTATATTAAAAAGTTAAATTAAAGTCTTAAGATTAAATTAAATAATTAACTAAACCTAAATAATAGCCTCTATAGTATAGTGGTTCTATAGTAGGGAGTTCTATATAGGTTAGTATATAGATCGCTAGTTTGAATCTAGCTGGAGGCACCCTAAACGATTTCTTTCTAAAAGTTAAGTAGCGTAGCCTAGCCCCGTAACTAACTCATAAAGGGGATATAGGCAGGGTAACCACAGAGTAGGTTAGGGGTAAAAAGCTAAGAGGCACACACTAACCACTATACTAAATCAGCCCTTATAGTATAGTAAGGCTAAAAACCGTATAAATACCATAGCATATACCTATTAATAGGCGCTATAACGGGGGACTATTCTACTACTTAGAATCGAGGTAGCAGCCTAGGAACCTGCCAACCGAGAATACTAAACACTATTAAACACTACCAGGAATCGTTACATAACAGTACAATCACACGTTAGAGAGGCTAGTTTTCACCTAGGCAGCCCTAGGTCTATACCTAGTATAGTAAGGTACTAGTACAAGAGAGGGGTCTACTACTATAGTTTTTCTAGCACTTATAAGTTTATTAAGATACTAGAAGGACTATAAGGTCTAATTAGGGTAATTTAATAAATAAATAAACTTAAATAATAATAATAAACTTAATAATAAATATATAAATATAAAGATAAGAAAGTTTTTTTTTTATATAATAAAAATAAGAATTTAAGTTTAAAGTTATATTAATTAGCTTTTAAATAAAAAAATAAAAAAAGAAAACCTATTTTTTAATTTATAATAAACTAACTACCTTTTATTTATAAAAAATAAATAATTTATATAAAGAATTTATATAAAATTAATATTTATAAAAATAAAATAAAATATTCTCTTTATAGGCTTTTTTTTTTAAACTTTTATTTATTTTTCTTTTTTTCTTTTTAAGTTATTAAATTAAAAAAGATAAAATAAATAATATAATCTTTATAATCTTTATAAGACTAATAAAAGAAAAAAAAAGAATCTTAAAGGTAATAATATAATATTATAAGTTATAAGTAAATTAAAAAAAAATAAAAGGTTAATAAAAAGTAAAAAAAAAAAAATAAAAATAAAAAGTAAAATAAAAGCTAATAAAGATATATATAAAAAAATAAACTATTTAAAATAAACTAAGAAAACTAGGAAATAGATTAATAAGTTATAATAAAATAAATCTAATTAAAAATACTTTTAATAAAGTATTTTAAAACTATAACTTTAAATTTAAATAAAAGCTTTAATATAAAAAGAAATATAATACTTTATAAGTTCTTAATTATTAAATAAAGTATATTAATAAATATAAAAAATATAGAAAGTAAAAGAAAGTATATATAAAAGTAAATAAAAACTATAATATTAAGAACTAAAAAACTAAAAAAACTAATAATAAAATTAAAAGCTTTTTTTTAATTAAATATAAAAATAAAAAATAATAAATAAAATATTATAAAATAATTATATAAAGTTAGTTAATAAAGAATAATAAGATTTAGTAAGGAAAAGCTATAAATATAAAAAAAGAAAATATAGAAGAAGGAAAAAAAGATAAAAAAGAAAGAAAAAGAAAATATATTAATAAAGATAAAAAAGATAATATTAATAATAAAAAAGGAAAAAAAAGAAAAGAAAAAAAGAAAAAAAAGATACTTTTTATTCCTTACTAACTATTAGCTAATAATTAATAAGATTCTAAATTACTTATTTATATAAAGTCTTATTAGCTATAAATAGAATTAAAATAATAACTTATTAGTTATATACTAGTTAGTAAAAAATAATAATAATTATAAGTATTTAAATAAAATATAATTAAAATTATTATTTAGTTTTTATTAAAAACTAATAGTTATAAAGAAAAATATATTTATTTATTTATTAAGTTTTATTATATAATATAGACTAATAATAGTAAGAATTAGAAATAACCTTAAGAGTATTATTATAATACTTTTTATAGAATATACTTTAAACCTAAGTAAATAAAGTATAAGGTATTAAAGGTAAAAAAGAATATTAAGAAGAAATAAGAATTAGGAATTTTTAAAGAAAGAAAAAGGTAAGGATATTAAGGACTTTAGAAGGCTATAATAGGAATTAAGCTTAACTAGCCTAGAGGTATATAAGGCTAGATATAGCCCCTTCTTAATATAGATAAAAATAAAGGGAAAGGAAAGGGGAAGGAACTAAGAAGTTAAGAGGATAATAAGCTTATCTAGTCTAAAAATATATAGGATTAAATATAGCCCCCTTAATATAAATAAAAATCTAGAGGGAGGGAAGGTAGTTAATAGGCTTAGCTAGTTAAAGTAATATAGGCTAAATATAGGTTAGGATATAGATAAAAACCTAGTATATAGTATTAAGAAAGGTCTTACTAGACCTTTATATACTTTAGAATAAAACTATAAAGAATCTTATAAAAATATAAATAAGGTTTTCCTTTAAGTATTTTAGTTTTTCCTTACCTTATAATTAGTAAAGATACTAGATAGGTTATTTAGCCTAATTAGTATATAAAAATTATTATTATTATTATTTTTATCTATATTAAGAAAAGCTATATTTAGTTTTATATATTTTTAGGCTAATTAAGCTTAATTATTATTATAGCTTTTTAAAGTCTTTAATATCCTTACCTTTCCCCTTTCTTAAGAGTTCTTAGCTTTTATCTCTCTTTACTATTCTTATTTACTCTTAATACTTTATACTTTATTTACTTAGATTTAGAATATATTCTATAAAAAGTATTATAATAATACTTTTAAGATTACTTTTAATTCTTATTATTATTAGTTTATATTATATAATAAGACTTAGTAAATAAATAAATATATTTTTCTTTATAATTATTAACTTTTAATAAAGGCTAAATAGTAATTTTAATTATACTTTATTTAAATATTTATAATTATAATTATTTTCTATTAATTAATATATTAGTTAATAAGTTATTATTTTAATTCTATTTATAATTAATAAGATTCTATATAAATAAGTAATTTAGAGCCTTACTAGCTACTAGTTAGTAGCTAGTAATAAATAAAAGGTATTTTTCTTTTTTTTTTCTTTTTTTTTCTTCTTTATTATTAATATTATTTTCTTTATCTTTATTAGTATATCTTTCTTCTTTTCCTTTTCTACTTTTTCTTCCCTTTTTTATATTTTCCTTTTTTATATTTATAGCTTTTCTTTACTAAATCCTATTATTCTTTATTAATTAACTCTATATAGCTACTTTATTATATTTTATTTATTATTTTTAATATATTTATTTAATTAAAAAAGGGTTTTTAGCCTTATTATTAATTTTTTTAGCTTTTTTATAGTTAATATTATAACTTTTAATTACTTTTATATATAATTACTTTTTACTTTTTTTATTTATTAATATACTTTTTTTAATAATTAAAAACTTATAAAGTATTATATCTTTTTTTATATTAAAGCTTTTATTTAAGTTTTAAGTTATAATTTTAAAATACTTTATAAAAAATATTCTTAATTAATTTTATTTTATTATAACTTATTAGTTTATTTTTAGTTTTTTATTTTATTTTAAATAGCTTAATTTTCTTTATAAGTTTTTATTAGCTTTTATTTTATTTTTTATTTTTATTTTTTTTATTTTTATTTTTATTAACCTTTTATTTTATTTTTAATTCTTTTATAATCTATAATATTATATTATTACTTTTTAAGTTCTTTTTTTTCTTTATTAGTTTTATAAAGATTATAAAGATTATATTATTTTTTTTATTTTTTTAATTTAATAACTTAAAAAAAAAAAAGTAAATAAAAGTCTAAAAAAAAAAGCCTATAAAAAGAATATATTATCTTACTCTTATAAATATTAATCCTATATAAGTTCTTTATATAAATTATTTACTTTTTATAAATAAAAGGTAGTTAGTTTATTATAAACTAAAAAGTAAGTTTTTTATCTTTATTTCTTTATTTAGAAACTAATTAGTATAACTTTAAATTTAAACTTTTATTCTTAGTATATAAAGAAAAAGCTCTCCTTAAAGTATAATAAATAGAATTACTATATATTTATAATATTATTTTAAATATTATTAGAATTATTTATATTTAAATTTATATTATTATTTTAATATTCTATATTATATTAATTAAAAAAGGTATATATTAAAAAGGTTATAATTTAGATTAATAAAAAGTAGACTTATTCTTAAGTATTTTATATTAAGTTTTATATATTATCTATCTTTAGTTATCTTTATTATAATATTTTACTTCTTAGTGGCCGCGTGGTTATGGTGGCCGCGTGACTATACAACACCCTACTGTGCATACAGTGGGGGTGTGACACGAGTAGAGGATTTGTAGCCTGCTTGGCCACCCTGATGGCGAGGTGGGTGCTGTGGCACACACCACACATACCGCAGGGACCGTTTGTAGCCAATCTCGCCATGTTGCAGTCAGCAGCGGGCTGAGTCTTGGTGATGGACCAACCACATCAATAGGAGCCGTCCTGGGGCCGAGAGGTGACTGACCAGGGCGCGTAGAAAGCGAATCAGAATATCTGGCTGGTTACACCGTGGGGGTGTGGCACGTGTAATCAGAAGGGTTTGGAAGGAAGAAGACACGGTGTCAATACGTATATTATTCTTAAATAGACTGGCCTGGCATGGTGCAGTTTGTCTCCGTGTCTCTCATGTATTATACACACTGCACCCTCTCCGTTGCCCAAGAGCTATTTCTTGTCGAAACTTTGTTCTCAATTCCTGAATATGCCCCAACCCACGCAGACTACGGGACTTACCCTTGAGGAAGTTGAGCAGGCCGTTGCAACTTTGGTCCCATACTTGCAGGCAGCAGGAGCGCGGTTCAGCATCAGCGGGGGAGCAGCATCACTGCTCATTCGAAGGCATCATGGTGTGGCGGCCCGTGTAACCGAAGATATCGACCTGGTTGTTCAACCCTCCGCCCGGGTAACCGCCGAGTCCATCTCATCCTACCTCTTGCAGGCCTACCCCACAGTTTTTGTCGGCAAAGAGTTGTATGGTACCATTATGCCCGCTCTTGCATTTACCCGCCCAGATGGATCAGTCAAGCACGTTGAGATCGAGATATTCGACGTCTCTGTCTGGCCACAGCGTCCGCAATATAACCTGGATGATCCAGCCAACGAGGTTACTACCCTGTGTGTCTTGGGTGTGGATACTCCGGTTTTTAGCGCCCGCTGGCTCATTCGAGAGAAGATCGTGACGGCTTTTGAGCGACGCGGATCAAGGAAAGAAGCCACGGACCTCGACGATGCTATCGCTCTTCTGAATCTTGTGGAGGATAACAGCATAGACATGACCAATTTCGAGGACGCAGTACGACATATATATTCAAGTTGTCCTGAAGATCGCCAGATACTAGAGCTGAAAATTCATTGCCCAAATGTTTTGGGCGAATAGTGGATATGGAATGGATCAGCTGGGGTGTACTGGCGTTTGAACGCGAACGAACTACGCTAGGTACCTTGACGACAATTTACGACGTCACAAATTTAAGTGGGATTCGACGGCCAAAGTATGGTACTTGATTGTTGGAGGACAACGATGGTTTCTTGATGAGCAGATTAGAGATCTTGTTCTTATGTAGATCAAAGTTTAAAATCAGTTATCTTTTTAAACCGTTCGTTTCAGACCAAATTTTCAAAAAGCCCATCCGTTAGTTCCCAGGGCTGCGCGGTGTGCCCAAGACCAGGAATTTATACCGGTGCCGCTGGAACCAGGCAGAGATGGGAAGCGCATAAAAACCGAGGCGGGTTTGACGCACAAGGCATCAACCATCTAGGAGCTAATTCTTGGTTGGCTTTGGTATGCATGCAAGCTTACAAGGCGTCGTCACGCTATGGACAAAGAACAATCCAGCGTACTAGCATCCTACTGCCTAGCCTTATCTTGCTTAGGTATTAGGGCTAAATATAGAAAGTAGTTATTATTTATTTTACTTATTTTACTTATTTTACTTATTTTACTTATTTTACTTATTTTATTTATTTTACTTATTTTACTTATTTTACTTATTTTACTTATTTTACTTATTTTATATTTATTTATAAGCTAAAATATAAAAAAATAAGTTTAATAAATAAAATAACTTAATAATTAATTAATAATAATAATTTTTATATATTAATTAGGCTAAATAAACTATTTAATATACCTTTATAGTATAGTAGTTTTATACTAGGAAGTTCTATATAGGTTAATATATAGATTGTTAGTTTAAATCTAGCTAAAGGTACCCTAAATAATTTTTCTAAAAGTTAAGTAGTATAGCCTACTCTTATAACTAACTTATAAAGGAATATAGATAAGGTAATTATAGAGTTAGCTAAGGTAAAAGCTAGAAAGTAATATATACTAACTATTATACTATCCTAGCTTTTAATTAATAGAATAAGGCTAAAAACTATATATATACTATAATATATACCTATAAATATATATTATAGTAAATAACTATTCTACTACTTAGATATATATATAGATAGTAAGTAATTTAATATACCTAGATAGTTAATAAATGTTAAGGGCTAGGCTACAGAGCCCGCCCTGGTCCTTCCAGAGTGGCCGGCGTGGAGCCTTTAGGGGGCCCCTTATAGGTGCAACCAGACAACAATAAGTCAGTATTGTTGTTACGAATCCTTTTGCCTTCCTTTGTCAAGTGGGCAAGAGGGTTGTGCGCCGTAAGGCCTACTAATAGCCACGGGGCTGGTTGCCCCTGAAGCCCCGCTAGGGCTAGTCCGTTATAATAAATAATAGAAGATATAAAGTAATATAGATTAAGGTAGTAGCCTAGGAACTTACCTACTAAGAATATATTAAATACTATTAACTACTATTAGGAATTATTATATAATTATAGAATTAGTATATAGAAGAGGTTAGTTTTTACCTAGGTAGCCTTAGTATAGTAATTATAATAGTTAGGTTAGATTAGGTAGAAAAATAGGAAGGGAAAAAGGTAGGTTATATTACTTATTAAGACTAAAGCTTATCCCTTTTTTCCTTCTAGGAAATATCCCCCTTATTTTATAATAACTAAAAGGAGGATAACCTATCCTTTTAATTAGAGTTTAAATACTATTTAAATATTAATTAAAACTTATATAAGATAGTCTTATTCTTATAAGTCTACTTAGGGTCTTAATTTAAGCTTAACTTATATATAGGTTTTACTAATCTTATAACTAATTCCTTTTTAGGCTAACTCTAGGTACCCCTCTATCTTATAGCTAATTAGTTATCTTATATAATTTATATTTACTATAGATCTTTAGCTACTATATATCTAATACTAATAGTATTAGCTTTATTAATAGTATATAGTCCCCTAATTACTAGGGTTCTTTATAATTATAGGTATTAAATTAGGTTTAATTTAAATTATATATATTAGAGTATTATAATTACCTCCCCTTCTAAGAGGTACTTCTCTAGGTACTATCTTCTTAGCCCCTATATTACTTTTTTATTTATTATAAATTATACTTATATCCTAATAATAAATCTATTTTATAAATATAGTATATTTAATTTATATAGGTATTATAATTATTAGTTAGTAACTACTAGCTAGTAAATAATTAATAGAATAATATAAATATTCTTTAAGTTATTTTTAAAATAGATTCTCTTCTTATTATCTTCTATATCTTCTACTTATATTATCTTTATTTTTATATTCTTTTTAACTTATTATATCTTCTCTTTAAAATAAATATACTTAGGATAAGGTATTCTTAAACTATATAGTATTACCTATAGTTATTATTAGGTAATAATACTAGTCTCCTATTCCTTTTAAGTTATTAGTAAGCCTTTATTAAGTATTATAAAGCCTATAATAAGTTATTATAACTAGACTAACTACTTTAGCTTAAATAGCTTATTAGCCTATATTCTTATTACTATTAAGTTAGGTTAATATAATAACTACTCTATTAAACTAGATATTCTTAATCTTACTTTAGTTAAGCTTATTATATAGTTAATTTAAAGACCTTATAAACTACCTAGCTTAGAATAATACTATATATTAAAGTATATAGGTATAGCTTTATATTATTATAATAGTTTAATCTCTATTTATTTTCTTATTTTAATAAATATTATTAACTTATCCCCCTTTTTTTCTAGCTTAAAAACTCTAAAACTATACTATAAGTTTACTTTATAAAAGATTTCCTAAACTCCTAGTTAATACTACTTACCCTAAGTCTAACTCTTAAAGTAAGTATAGCTTAGATAATAGCCTATTAACTTAAATAAGATAGGGAGGTACTTTAGCTTTATAATAAGGCTATATATACTATAAGATAAAGTAATAATACTAACTCTTCTACTTCTTCTATATATACTTCTAGAATAGGCTATATTTTATACTTTAGTATTTAGAAGGGATATTATACTTATCTTACCTAAGGTTTAATCTTAACTTATAGTTAAGGCTCTAGTTATAATACCCCTAGTTATATTTCTTAAGCTTTTACTCCTAGCTATATTCTATAAACTTCTATACCTATATCTTTTTTAACTTATCCTATTATATCTTCTAGGGTAGAGAATCTTATAGTTATAGAGTTATATTATATCTTCCTTAATAATTATAACTTTATACTCTATCTATAACTTCTTTAGCTAATTATTTTAACTATCCTTATTATTAATCTTAATAAATTAAATATAAATATTAAAGATATTATTATTAAAGATAATAATAATAATAATATAGATTATATTAATACTTATAACTAGTCTTTTAAAGAAAAGTAAGTAGATAATATAGATAATAAAAGAGGTATACTTAATTTATTTAATAAACTAATTAATACTATACTTAATACTTATATAACTAATACTTTCTATATATATTATATCCTCTATTTTTTAATAGAATACTAATATAAGCTTATTTTAGGCTATCTTTCTAAATAATATTTTTTTATAAAATACTACTAGTCTATAGCTAAAATATCCTAATATATATACTATAGTATTATATATATTAGTTATTAACCTATATATTAGTAGTTTAATACTTAAATCTATTTTAATACTAATATCTTTTCTTCTTCTTAGAATCCTTATAAGATACTAATAGACTATACCTAGTTTATTTATTTCTTAAACCTAGGCTAATATTAGTATAAAATAGTAAATAATAATAATAAATATCTTTTATCCCTTAAGGTATATTAGGCTTTAGCCTAGCTTAGTTTTAATTTAATATATACTTTTAATATAGTTAAAAATTAGTATAACTTAGTATATAATTTAATAGTAATAAAGAAGTTTTTATAGGTATATACTTTCTTTTATAACCTTTTTAGACTTATAACTAACTATCTTTTTTATTAGTAGGATTCCTATATTAAGTATAATAATCTAATAAATATATATAATATAGTTATAGTTTAAGTTAATAATAAGCTCCCCTTATTAGGGTTAACTCTAACTAATAATAGTTATAACCCCTAGTTAAGTATAAAGGTTACTTTTTAAAGTTACTATTTATATATTTTATTACTCTCTTTTCCTAAGTAAGCTTAGGAGTTTAAGGAAAATATGCCTAGTATTTATAATATTCCCCTATAATAAATAGGATATAATTTAAAACTTCTATCTATTTTTTATTTTTCTATTTTATTATATAACTAGTATTATTTTATAAAAGTCTTTTATCCTTTTAGTAGTTATTAATATAATCTTTTCTTTAAATATCCTCTTCTTTTAGGTATATTTTTAAGACTATTTTAAGTCTTATATTCTTTAATACTTACTTATATATTAACTATATTTTCTTCTTATACTTATTTATTATATTTAATAGGCTATTCTTTTTACTTAACTAGGAATAATTAAATCTTTCTTTACCTATAGCTATTTATAATATTCTCTACTTCTTATTTATCTTTAAGATCTTTAAAGTCTAGTATTAATAGTAATTTAATATTACCCCCTTTCTAAGGCTTTAATAGGCTAATATAGAATATATTATATAAATATTTATATTATTTAGGTATTATAAGCTAGTAAGCTTATAAACCTATTTTATTTAATATATATAATAGTTTAATCTAGTATAAGGCTAGTTTTTTTTAAGTTACCTTAACTTAAAAGTTCTTTATAAAGAGTATAACTAAATCTCTTTTCTTAAGTTCTAATAGCTAGTACTTTATATTATAATATTAGTTCTAGTATACTATTATTACTTCTTAATACTAAGTTATTTTATCTTATATTTCTTATAGTTTCTAGACCTAGGTTTTAGGTTCTAGTAGTCCCTTCCTAAGTAAGTTAATCTTAACTTATATATATATCTTAAGATAGAAACCTATAAATAGAAAAGCTAGACTATTCTTAATTATAGTATTTATAGTATTATTATATATATACTAAGTTAT